AAAAAACATCTTTGTAAAACCATAAGCTTCTTCGCTTCACTCAGAATCTAAAATTAAATAAAGGAATACACAGAAAAAAAATATTTTAATTGGAGAGGTTATTTAAAATGGATTATTGTTAGACATAAATATGTTAAGAAATTGAAATCATTTGGTTATTATTTATTATCTAACATATATTGATACAAGATATTATTTTTAAAATCGGCTTGTACATTTAAAATATTATTAAAATTACTTTTCTTTATTTCATTGTATACCTACATATAATTATTCTAAAACTAAATTAATGTACATTTTATTTTGGGTATTTAAAATCACTAAGTATGTATTTATATCAAAAATTATATTATGGTTATTTTCTAAAAAGTGTTAAGCAAAATTTGAATTAAGGACAGTCTTTTAGATTCTGAGTGAAAGGAGGAATGTATTAGTTTTACAATGATATTTATTTTTTTATGTGAACACTTTTTCTACCAGAAAGCATACTCCGAATACAAATGTAGCACCTTTTCTGAAAGGAAAATTCACTAGGGAGGTACTTTAAGAGGTCGTGAAAACTCTATGAAAGCCATTTTTTTTGAAAAAAAAAACACTCATCTTAGTAAAACCATAGTATAATCCGAATCTACTACTTTACTAATACTACTTATGTATATACTATGCACAAAAATAAAATACTTACCTATAAATAACTTTAAAATCGTCAACATTTTACCACGTCTAGAAAATATACGACAATATAGCAAATATTAAGTTTTCTACGAAGATTTCAGCTCTCTACGATAATTTTTGAGAAATTTACTACAAAAAATTTAATTGAAAATAATAAAATTGTCAATGTCGTACACTTTCCCGTATTTCCTACGTTTATTTTTCCGATTTTGCCCAATTATTAAGAAAACTACAGATTAATTTTGCATTGAGTATTAAAAAATGACTCATAAAAAACTCACAAACTAGAACAAAATTGTCTATCAAAAAAGGAGCTACTCGAGAAATATGAAGCAATATTTCTGATAGGGAATAAAATTGGAAAAAATAATGACTTTTTTAACGCCATAAATAATTGTTCAGCTTTTATACCACGTTTTTTCCGGTTATTTTCCTATGATTAAAAAAACTAATTGGGAAATCAAAACACGACTTTCTTACTTGATTTCACTTCTCTCTAAAATATTAAAAAAAAGGCCTGATATCATTTTTTTTTTAAATCAAATTATTGGTACAGGCAGAAAAAACTAAAAAAAAAAACATGAAAGTTCTTTGAAAATAATGAAATAATAAAAAATGTATAACAATAATAATAAAAAAATAATAAAATAATAATAATAATGAAATTAAATAAAAATAATGTGTTGTGGTAATAATAATAATAACAATGTGGTAGTTGACCTGGATTGAAATTGTTTACCAGGAATCTATGAGTGGCTCGAGGTGCAGCAGCGACGGTCAGGCGTCATTTGGTAGTGACGATGGTTGATCATCGGTTCTTATGAACTCCTGATACCGATTTTAATCTGAGCGACGACTATGATGACCCTTTCCGACCTCTTTCTTGGAGGTTAGTTTAGGTTCTACAGAACTGAATTATTTTAGGGAGATTAAAGTTATCACAAAGAAACAGTATTTCGTTCAGGTAGAATGGTATATTCAAATAGTAACTCACATACTTGGGCGATTGGGCTCACTAACTGAATGGGATACTTCCAATTGAGCTAGAAAACTTTAAAATAGAAAAATAATATACAAATTTAAAATAATGAATTCGTAAAGTTGATAATTTTTCATTTTAGATTTTTACATTTCTTTTCAGTTTTTCTAATTATTACGAAAACTACTTAAAAAGTTAGAAAACTACTTTCTTTCTTAGCAAATGGATTAAAAATTCAACGGAAAAGATCTAGTAATTTTTCTATTGAAGCAATATTTCCGGTTGAAAACCGTTTGTAATGTTGTATAATTTATATAAAGAAACTCCTAAAGTACCAACCCACACCGATTTCCTCGGAGAAAGGTGCTACACATAAATATCGGAGCAAGACACCTGGTAGAAAAGTTGTCCACAAAAAAAAAAAAAAAAAGTTAACCCTCTTTGTAAAGTCATAAGCTCCTTCACTCCACTCAGGATTTAAAACTTATTGACGTTTTTAAGAACATACAAAGGTAATTATAATATTAATTATATTTTATTTTGTAATAGTTTTGTTATTTGTTTACATAAATTCAAAACATTTTTGCTTATTCATTTAGCAAATCAATTTTTCAACAGGAAAATAAATATTTATCGTGTTAATAAATTGTTTCATAAATTAAAAAATGATTTTATTAATAATTTTGCAAACTATAAATATTTGTAGATTTTATTTTATTTGAATAAAGCCATTCATTAACTCGTCAGTTGTATTTTTAATTTGCCAAATAAATTGTTAACTGTGAATAAAAGTAGTTATTGCATTAACACCAAGTTTATCATTTTAACTTTTAAGAGTCATTATATTGATTATTTGATAATATAATGCTTAGTAATATGATAATGTCAATACTGAATTTAATAACTGTTAAACTATGAATCTACAATTTTTTTGTTACATTTTCGTTAACAATATTTTATAACTTAAAAAAATGTATTTTTTCGGTTTTGCTTATCTATCAAAAAAAACTATTGAGAATATCAAAAAACGACTTAATTACCCACCAACTAGATTAAAAATTCAACAAAACAGGTCTCTTAATATTTTTCTATAGGAATAATATTTTTGTTAGAAAATGTTTGTTCATCGTGAACAAAAATTAAAAGCAATGAAAACGGTAACGTTGAGGCACGCCACGTGAATATTTACCGTTTTACCTATAATTTTGTTTTCGGTTTTCCCCAATTATTTTGAATGCCCCTTGGAAAATCAATAAATGCCTTCTCTAATAAACCAACTAAATAGGATTTCCTTTCAGAAAAGATGAGACGAGATTTTTTTTCGAAAATTTGCTTATGGACTAAGAAAAAAAAAATAACCGATAGATCCGAATCTAAAATAATATTATTTGAACCGGAGACCGCTAAGATGGAGTATAGCGTAAATGTCATTGCACAAACGTAGGCATACTCGTACGTTCGTACATTGCGTTAATTTCAAATAGTGATTAAATTGTTTGTTTTAGTATTTTGGCGTTTTAAAATGTAAATAATGAAAAACTGATTAGCCTATGAACACCGCGGTAACGTAAGGAATCTAGAGAAAAAAAAAATGTTCAAAATCGGTCCAGTAGTTCCGGAGATTGCTCGGGGTAATCTCTCATACAAAACTAACCAATTTTACCTCTGTATAATATTATATTATATAAATGCAAGACGCATAGAAGTATAGATTATTATTATTATTATTATTGTTATTATTATTATTATTATTATTATTATTATTATTATTATTATTATCATTATGATGTCGGCACAGAGCGGCTAGCCTTTGACAGCGACGTTGGCCACGCCGCGGGGAGGAGCCTACGATGACGACGTCGTCGGAACCGCGAGCAGTGTACCAGGGTCCCATGGCTTGTGTACATTATTGTATACCTACATGTTGTATTGCGTGGTCTATGCATGGATCCCGGTGGCGGTGACTGCGACATATTCTGCGCCCAGTGCTTTTTGCGATTTCGGACCATTATCATTTTCGTACAAGTGCCCCACAGAGTAATGCCCCATGTTATTATTCTATGGGATACTTCCGTCTCCTCCTAACAATGTCTTTATTATGGAAATCGGAAACAAAACGACAAGGTATAAAACGTCAAATGTATTTTATTTAAAAATTGCAAATATTAGTGGCTACAGGCTGCTGAAGTATTATAAAGATAAATTCCGTCGTATGTCTATGTATTCAAAAGGAGTGCCCTAGATTTTTTTGGTGGATAGAAGTGGAGGGGCTAAATATACTATTTTAAAATAGTAATAGTATTTTTTTTTTTTTCAAATATTATGTACAGAAGTCCGAAAGCACGCTTGTGATCTTTTACGCATTTTATATTAGCTTATAGTATACGATATTTATAATATTATTTTTTTTTAATTGATTTAAAACTAATGTTCGTGATTTTTAAATAAAATTCATTTGGCGTTTTCTACCTTGGCGGTTTTTATTTTTTTTTACCATAGTGTGATTTTACTATTAGATCCTCAATGTTTTGAACTTGACGTTTTTTTAAATAGTTAGGCATTCCATAGATATTAAAAATATGGATGAGCCATCCTATTGTATTCATGATTGCTTGAAGAGAAAGCTGATTACCATTAATGGTATAATAAACAACAGTGGTTATCACTGTGGTTCATAGGTTCACAGCGATAATAAATATGTCTTTATTCTTTAATAAATAATAGAGAATGTTTAATAGATACCTAATATTCTAATATATTTAATGTTATTTATTTTCTTTAACCGCGTTACTTTGTCTGGGTCTAAAGAAAACAAATTAAAATCAAGGCTGCCGGTATTATTTTTCATAAAAAAAAAAATAAAAATGGTTTATTCAAAATGTTTATACTGTGGTTCATCCTCAAAACGTAAGAAAAATTTGTCATTCCATATGTTAGTGGATATTACCAAATTAATAATTAGTAACTACCTGCTAATTATAGTAATACTAATTAAACATTATTGAGTAATAAGTAATTATACTTTTCATAATTAACGATGATAAGTCAATTATTATCGTGTATCATTATCAACTATCAGTCAACCACATTCGAACCACTCCTAATCACTTTGGTAACCGGCCATTTCTTTTGTCGTACATCGTATAAGGTAAACAGTATAAGGCATGACCTATCCATGATTTAAGTATATTTCAATCATGGTCTATCATCCATACCTTTAATATCTATGTTTTTTCCTTCCTAGATTCCTTTATTATCTATGTGTAATTATCACCCGTGATAAGTGATAATACTGATAACAGCTATCAATTCTTCTAATCATAATCAGTTTTTGATTCTTGATTTAATCATAAGGTCTGTCATAGTTTTCCGTTTTAATATATTTTTCACGGGCACGGATTGAGCAAAAAATCAAAAACTCCAATTAAATATCATAAATTAAAAAATGGTAATTGCGTTTCTTTTTGCATTTATTTTTTATGTATACAATTTTTTGTAAGTCCGATTTATTTTCAGGCTAGTATTGTCATTGTTGGGGTTGGTTTAGCTGTAGCAGGTTTTGCTGGTCGACAGGCATTACGAGTCGCTCCTCAAGTTGCCCAAAAAATGTCTGAAGTTCTCAAAACAATGTCTTCAGAATCGGCTGGGTTCATGGTAAGTTACCTAAAATCAAAATAATATTACCCGTGTTATCAGAACAAACTACCACCATTGTTTTTGTTACTGGTTCTAGTCTGGCAGTAAATTTCACAAAGGTGGATTTGAACCTACCATGTCCAGACGAGAAGCCACACTTATACTTGATGTTTCAAACAATGCTCCAAAAAATAAAATCAAGGTAAACTTATGTAATACGATACACTACAATTGTAATAATTTTAAGTAATAGAGATGAGGACATTTTGTCCAGTCAACAAAATTAGCTAGCAGACCTGATGTTCCCAACCGTAGGACATTTAGGTATCCCAGGAAATTATTAACCTTACGATATCTTCTAGTATTTGCAATAGAAAATAAATAAAGGTAATAGTTGTAGTTATAAAAAAATTTACAAAATGTTTGTCTAATTCAGAGGTTCTTGACCTTTTTATATCTTTGTACCATTTACATATTTTGAATATTTTTACTCACGACGTAACACTATTATTAAGCTTTGTTTTTTTACTTATCAAAAAATATAATTTGTACATTGTCAAGCTTTTTATTATTAAATCTACAGTCTTATAAACATTAAACACACACTAGTTAAATTAAATATATACAGTTAATATTTGTATTATTATTTATGAACTAATGAACCACATAATAACTAATAACTTTTTTATTGACTTATTAAAAATTTGTACGCGTACCACCTATGAGCATTCCACATACAATTTGTGGTATGCGTACCACAGATTGAGAACTGCTGGTATAATTAATTAAAATAAATAATTATGTTGTTGATATTAATGGAGGCAGCAAGAGTAATGAAATAAAATCATGATATAATTGGAAAATTGAATTTTTTGAAATTGAAAAGCTTTGCTAATATTAGACTTGTATAGAATACATATACAAACTTTATATTTTATTATTTAAATTTGACTGCTGGTTTAAAATAATTTGAGGCCTCAATTTTTTGTACCTTTAATTTAAAATAAACGTTTCATATAATATGATTTAGGTATTCAGTATAAGACATATTTGTTTATTAAAATTTCAAAATATTTAATTTTTTCACTTAAAATTAATATATTAAAAAATTACAGAATTATTTAATATTTATGTAACCTGAAAATGGCTTAGGCTGCTATTATTAATAACCTTAATTATTTTATTGTACTTTGGCTTTGAATATTTAATAATTCTATAATTTTATAAAATATAAATCAAGCATACAATTTACCATTATTATTAAAATAAATATATTAGTACTTTTTGTCTGGAATTTTAAGTTAACTTCAAGCTGCTTTTTTTGTATTTTAATTTATTTTTTAATAGGATGTTATACCCGCATGTACTGTCTCCGTCATATGACTGCCCAACATAGCAAATTTTCATTCAGCAGGGACAACTATGTGCTGTTCTTTTTAAAATTAGAGCGAATTGACCTATTATCAAATTCAAGTATATGAACATAATCTGTCATCTCGTTATCTTTTTTTTTTTTATTATTATTTTGATTTTTATCAGATGTGAAGTATGGTCGTGTGAAATATCATTATTGAAAAATGCTTATAACTTTTAAAAATTAAAATAATGAAGAAAATAATGACGAGATGACACAGATTATGTTCATATTTTTGAGTTAGATAATAGGTTAATTTGCTCTAATATTAAAACTAACAGTACAAAATTGTTCAGGCTGAACAAAAATTTGTTACCTATTTCACGGGGTTGTATGACGGAGATAGTACATGTTGTACATTCACAGTCCTACTTATATTATTATTTAAATTATTGTACCAAATTAGATCACATATTTAGACTATAGTAAATCACACATCTATGCAAAATGACCAACTGAACCTTGTAAGTTGTTATATAAATTAATATTATTATGTGTGTTATACTGTTATCATTACGAAATCATATTTTAAATATTCCACGGCAATGATATTGTTTTCTGGCACAAAAATACATATTTTATTTTGTTTGTTAAACCTGTGGAGGTTTTTTTTTTTGGCAGTATGTTAGCCTCTTATTTCCACCACATAATTATAATAATTTGGGTATACATTATTATTATTTTATTACATTCTATTAATAATTATAGTTTAGGGTCAATGTTGGCATGCGTGTCAAGTGCATTTTTGATTTTCACAATTAGAACAATAATGATATTTTTGCAGGACGCACACAAACGTATTATGTTGATCAATCATCCGGATAAAGGGGGTTCTCCATACATAGCAGCCAAGATAAACGAAGCCAAAGATTTGTTAGATAAAAAATGAACATCCGGTCAACAAATTCAAAGCTGCTAAATTTATAGTGATAATGTAAATATTAACATGTACAAACTATTAGAATAATGTTTATTGTTTACAGTCAATTCAACTTTCTTGTATATATATATATATATATATATATATATATATATAATATAGATCAATACAATAATGACAATGCCCTTGTGTATTTCAGTTTTCATTTTGTTACTTTTATTAATATCATTTTTTTTTAAATATTTTTGTACCAAACTGAAAACATATTATAAAATATTACAAAGTAATTTAAAATAAATATGTTTGTACTTCAATTAAATATTTAATCATAAAAAAAAAAAATATTTAGACATTTCAAATAAAATTATTAAAAATAAGATTATTTTTTTAAGACTTTGCAGTGATCTTTCAACAGTTTTTTCCTGAACAGTTCGTAATCGTGTTGCATTAACTCGCAAATCGTCTGTCTTAACTTCTCGACTCGAGATAAAATTTTCTTTGGTTCACTTTTCTTCGTCTCCATTAAACGGCGTAATTGATGTTCCGTCAGTCCCTCCACAGTGGTAGCACAGTCGACTATGGCGTCATAATCTTTTCTGATTTTTACTGATTCTCTGTTATAGTCAAACACAAGTTATATGAATCATAATAATATACTATCTATTAATTTTTTTACATACAATTTCAAAAAATATGTATACATTTTTAAAAATATACATGATAAATAATAATCAATTATACCTACTTTTCGATTTTTTTATGATGCATGTAGCGCAACAGGCTGTTGCACATCTTCCACAGTTCCAAAATGTCCACAGAATCCAATTTACATGTATGCAAATAGTCTTCAAACATTTTTAAAGATATCTGATTGGCCAACACGTATTTGAGACCATTCGTCCACCGGTCCAAGTCTTCTTTGGACACGGAACTACACGGATCTCCACAAGGAACACAGGCCATTATAAGATTATGACACGGTTTATAATGAATTTAACTGGAAAAATAAAAACCCAAAACTATTAATATATTTTTAATTTTGTGCATTTTTTAAATAAAGTTAATATCAATGGCGTAACCACCCTTGCCATACAGGTTAAAAAATAATAATAACAATAATATATATATATATATCAATATTTTAGTAAAACATATTATAATATAATATAATATTTATTATGAATTTCGCATTTTACACCAATTTTGCTGTGTTAAAATGAAAACAAATTTTTGTATTTAAAATAGGAGCAAACTGTAAGTACTTATCGTGTTAAATGAAACTCCAACTCTCCCTCCTTTCCATTTTTAAATTCTAAATACGCCATTGGCACTATAGTTGATAAGTTTATAAAAAAATAGTTTTTATTTGATTTCAATAAATATAATAGTGATATATTGGAAGTATTTCATTTCCCGTATAATACGGTCGGGATCATGATACTGTTGACAAAATTACATATTGATACTCGCATACATTGAACTTGAGCGTATACTTATTTTCTTTAGTGTAATTACTGTGCTATTAATTTAATCAACCAACCGTATGAATAAAACTGAGAAATTTTTACATTAAAAAAAAAAAAAAAAAAAAAAAAAAAAAGGAAAACTATTTCATACAAGTCATATATTTTAATTACGTTTAAAAATGACCTTCTAATTTAAAAAAAAAAAAAAAAACCAACTACTTTAGACCCTAAACCGGAGTGCCAATATAATAGAATCTAGCATCATTGGTTTTTTTCTTTTGGTATATTAAATTGAACACAAATCTATATTAAAATGTATTTTATAACAGGCGGGTATACTTTTCGAGTTATTTCATTATTTTCATCCATAGGTTATAAAAGTTTTTAAACTTTCTCATCAGTTAGTATGACACTGCGTTTTAAATTTATATTTTAGCTTTGTACTTTTATTACAGATATCCGATTCGGTTGTATAACTATATACAGGATATACCTACTTAAAACAAATATCGTTTTCACAGTTTTGTTAATTAAAATGAAAAATATTGTTCTGTGGAAAATGCTCAAAACCTAAATACCTAGTACTAAATATAGCTGGTTTACTGCAGCGGCGGTACCTACACGTTTTATGTAAGTACGAGTCACCGCGGCATTATGCCAATAAATTATCCAAAACATACTAAATATGCAGCTAGAATAATATTTGTTTCGTCGTATTTTTTAAACCTCTCGTTCTAATTTGAACATTTGCGCATGCCTCTACTCAAGAAATACATTACACACCTACTCGTACAATTCGTAATGAAGATCAACACGAATGCTAAATACGTATTATATACAGTGAGTGTAAAAAGTATTTGTACACCCTATTTTTTTAAATAAATATACATTTTTCTTCATGATATTCTATTTTTATCGATAAATTAATACATGCATATTATCCATTGACGATTTTAAATTATATTAAAAAAAAAAAAAAAAAAAAACCACGACAAATGTTATATTAATAATAATATTCAATAACAGACAAAACAATACATATAAAATAGGAACAATAAATATTCGTACACTTCTATTATTTTAGTTACGGAATCACCTGTTTACTCACAATAATGTTAGTAGAAAATGATAAGATATACAAAACGTCACATTAAAAGTTTGTCCCCGACCACGTTACAAGATTATACCAATTCAGTTAGCTTCGAAATATTATTGGAATATCATCTATCACAAAATGAATCGAAAAAAATGCGAGACAAATAAAACTGAACGTGAACTAATTCTGCGGTTGTATAATCAATACCAATCATTACGTCAAATATCAAAAATTGTCAACAAAGCTCATAGCACTGTGAAAGACGTGATAGATCGATACAGTGAGCGGAAAAGTCACGAAAATAACAATCTGGTCGTCCAAAAAAACTTTCTGACCATGATAAACGTATAGTTTAACGAAAAGTTAAATTGAATCCAAAAATAAGCGCTTCTAAAATAGCACAAGATCTTGTGAATTTTTCTGGAGTACGTGTTTGTGTAAAAACAATTAGAAATTGTTTAAAAAATAGTGATTACCATGGACGAGTAGCTCGTCGAAAATATTTTGTNTTTGCTTTTGCAAGAGATAACTTACATCAATCTGATAACTTTTAGAACAAAGTTATATTTACAGACGAAAGTAAATTTAATATTTTTGGCTCTGATGGAAGACGTTTTGTTTGGAGAAAAGCGAATACAGAAATGGAACTAAAGAATTTACAGCTTACAGTGAAATACGGAGGAGGTTCTGTAATGGTTTGGGGATGTATGAGTGCTCAGGGTGTTGGAAACTTGCATATTATTGATGGAATTATGAACCAATATATTTATTTAAATATTTTGAAGACAAATCTTGCAGCTAGCGCTGAAAAAATGGGCATCAAAGATTATTTCATATTTACACAGGACAATGATACCAAGCATACTGCAAAAAAAGTTAAGGCTTGGTTGTCGAACAATGTAACTGAATTGTGACGCCACCACAGTCTCCAGACATTAATCCTATTGAGAACTTTTGGGATTATTTGGACGGAAAAATTCGAGATCACAATAATTCAAGTAAGGAAACTCTAAAAAAAAGCTCTAGTAGAGGAATGGAATAAAATCGCAGCAGAAACAACACGTCATCTGGTTGATTCAATGTCTAAGAGGTTGGAGGCTATAATAAGATCCAAAGGCTACCCTACAAAGTACTAAATAGGGCTATACAATAATTTAAAGGCATTTTTTTTTATAAAACTCTTTATTATTATTATTATTATTATTATTAATATAACTGTTGTCATGGTTTTTTTTTTTAAATTTAATTAAAAATCGTAAAAGAATAATATGTATAAAATAGAATATCATGAAGAAAAATGTATATTTATTTAAAAATGTAGAGTGTACGATTACTTTTTACATTCACTGTAGGTACCCGAGTACCTCCCGTGCGCTGAAAACGCGCAACGAGTGTAAACACAAAATAGAAACTGCACAGCTATAACACCTAATTATTTCGTTCATATATTGCGCATTGTTTTCAATAGAAGAATGTACAAACGTATATTTAGGTCGGTTTCGAATACCACGGGGGGGGGNGGGGGGGGGGGGGGGGAGGGTTGAACGTTCAAATCCTTTCCGCACTATAATAATTGTATTTAAGTAATTATTCAGATAATAATCGTTTGTACAATTGTAATGATTTACAGCAGTTCTAAGGGCGAAGATGGTAAAATTTTTCGCTGCGTTAGCCCCGAGTTAGGTTCAAAACGTTTAAACGACGCGAACTAAATAATAACACATATTATGGATACGAATCCGCGATAGTCAGGAAAAAAAAAAAATTTGCAGAATATTCACCGATATTTAATTGATAATAATAATAACAATAATAATAACAATAACAATAACAATAATATTTATCGTCGATATCTCAATATGATCAAACGGTAACACGCGAGGTTGGCGTAACGGCGGTACAATAATAACTACGTCGCTACAACCGTGGAAACACGTCTGTGCGTGATAACTAATAAGCGCATACCTGTAACCTGTACGGCCCATGTGCGTATCGCGTATTCCGAATGATAATAATTGTTGTTGGTTTTTTGTCGGCCATTTGGAACGCGTTTATTGTGTACAGTCGCGCGCGGAAAGGGGGGAGGTAACGTTGTTGTTTCTCGTATTTAGTGGAAGTGAAAACCACGGCGCGTTCGTGGTAAATCGTCAACACTAATAACGGTTGTAATAACCATTGCTATTATTATTGGATACAGTGTCAATGATATGCCCAATCGAAACGTTAATTTGTCGTTCAAATACAATTATAGAAAAACCCTACGAAATCGCGGCGTAACGGCACGCAGCGGGAGGAATTGTTAAAAGTTCAAACCGAAACTGTGTATAGTGAATGTCGCGTCGGTTAGGTACACGGATGGCAGATCGCAGCAGATGATTGAATGTCGATCTCCGTTTGGTCGGAATTTATTTTTCACGCGATTAGTGGACAAATAACACGGTATTGCTGATCATTTTTATCTTAATATTAGATTATTTTTATTTTGTTGTACATTTACCGGGTAATACAACAGCGTAAACGCCTGGCAATGGTGTTTACAATATTATGATATTAGTCTTAATAATAATAGTGCGATGAAAAGTTAGTTTTACCATTTTGTACTTGCATCCGTATTATCAATACCTATTAGGTATAATTAATAATTTTACATTTTTTTTAGGAAGTCGATCTTCAAAGGAAAAATGTATTCTTAGTAGATATCTACCGAAAAAAGTTTGCCCGCTCCTGGTACATGATATTATTTTTGCAAATGTCATACCTACGTATAGATTTTGAGTAGATACCTACTGTAGGATAATGAGCAGTCGCCAGGGCCGGCCCCAGTGTAGGTTAACTGGGACAATTGCGCCCTATACCCCGGGTGAATTTTAGCCATTTTTAGGGCCCCGCGCTTGCGACATCAAAACATTATTTGTAAAAAAAAACATCTCGTAGAGAGGTTAGAATACATTTATAAGACAATTAGTATTAATTGTACGAGTATAATAACGTATTTTATAAAAGTAATAAAATTAAAAATAGCTTTATGGTCAACAATAGTAATAATAATATTAATGCTGAAAGTGTCTTATCGCATCAAATTATTTAGTTTTATTTTTGTTTGTTTATACATGAAATTAGAATAGGACAATGCCGATCGCAATGGAGTGATTAAATTTCAACATTACGATTTCACATTTGACTTTTGTCGTCGATTGAACTAAGACTGTTGTTTTTGAAAAATATAGAATATTATTGTCAATACTAGTGATTGGATTTATTTTCATTACATTATTGTACGTTAAATTATTTTCTACCCAATTCACATTATTTTTTTAAGGTTTTGCACACCCTCGTGTTTTCTCCATCAAAATGAGCCCCGCTACTTTTAACATTTTGACTATTTCCAGTAGTTCAATATTGATTTTCAACAGTTTCGATCGTGTAACTCTTTCCATTAAAAAAAAAAAATATGTTTAATTAAAATAACCCCGTACGTTTTGAGAATGTTTAAAAATAATTAGTTATTGGGTATTCGATTTTAAAGTGCCATTTGACAGTCAAAATTTCGTTTTATTCGGATTGAATTCCTTAGGTTGTTCTTTCTGAATTTTTGAACAGATCACATTACGTAGTACAGGGTTGGACTGGGTGGGTCTATGAATCGGTAATGGGGCTGGTTTCATAAATGGGTTGTATCAGGTACATTTAATGTTGAAATGTAATTCAGTGGTGCACCGACGGGAAATGCTAAAGGAGCTTTATCCCATTCACCATTGACCGCGTCAAGTACAAAAATAAACTAGATAAATTTTCCAGCACTGACAAAATTATCAACTAAACACAAATAATATTGTGCTGCACAATTATGAACAATTTAAAAATCGCGTTCACTGAAAGTGGACCTCTCCATTTTCCACCAAAATGAGATGTTTTTCAGGTTTCCGCCGAAAAAACAAATGAAAAATTAATGTAAATACAGGCGTAGTACAGAAATCGTTTTGGTGGAAAAAGGGAAAGGTCCGCTTTTGTCGGTAACGCGTTACGCCCCCAACCGGGCCGTTATTGAATTTCGCGAGAACCCGTCCCTATATTATACGGTGAATAGTAACAGAATTAATATTGTGTTACTGTTTACGGATGGGTAATAGATAGGCGTACGTTCTCGGGTATCGGGTAAACGTCGCTCGACGAATTTTATCGGTAATGTCGTGGTGACTCATTTTCGCGCAACGTTTTCGAACCCCTGTAATATTATTGTAATTAGGTATTGTTTCGAACGGTGCCATTAAAATGCGTCGTCGTCGTCGTAGCATCACAGCAGCACACGTCGCTCCAATTTCGGCCGCGTTGTTTTCGCTCAGTCATTTTCCGTGCGAGCCTTACAACGCGGCAATAAATAATAACACACTTGGGCACCCACCCATCTAACTAAATAATATTACACAACGATATTGCCTTCACGGTTCGGCACGCACCGGCGTCGACGTACTGCGATATTTTAATGGAGGAAGCCGAAAAACCGTATTACACTGCGGACGTATTAATATTGTTACAGTGCGTGTACGGCGTGGAGACTCTCGGAAAGAATAATGATAACGAGTGGATCCGTCAATCCGTCTCTACGCGACGCGCACACTGCAATATACGGCGGTCACGTTTTTCATTCGGGGCCGACGGACGGCGACGCATGACGGCGAGGGGGAAAACGAAACAAAAAAAAAAAAAAATAATAATAATAATAAATAAAATAGTATCACGTCTTGTGGCGATTTCGTGTGTTACGAATCGCCGACGACGCAACGCCCGCGGCCGCGACGAGGAGGAGCTACGCGAGACACGCTGGCCCGTTCGGTTCGCAGGAACAATAAACTGGGCCAACGGCACCGAAACCGTACGCAACATAATGAAATATAATAGTGTAACATCATTATTTATAGACAAACGCGATAGGTATACTATCCGCCATCATAATACTCCGATAATACAATATAATATTATTATTATTATTATTATTATCACCGTCGTCGTCGTCGTCGTCGTTCTTATATTATTGCATTATCTGTTATTCACGACGCCGCCGCGAGAACCGCAAAACAGCCGTCCGTGCCGGTCTCCACGAATGTATAGTTTCGGCGGTTCGTTGAACCGCCGAAACAACAAAAATTTGGGGTGGTTACTGGTTGATCGTTCGGATTATCGACAAAACCCCACGAACTACGTTTACGCGGTATCCCGACGATGTGTGGCAGTATTAAACGAATATTGTCGTTAAAGACGAATTTTTTTTTTTATACGCATGACATTATTTTACTACAATACGACAGTTTATTATATAGGTATTGTTGACAAAGCAACGCTATCAACAGAATCGGTTTTTCGTTAGCAACGGTTAACCGTTTTTCCCAATTGTTATGAAAAACTCTTTCACGGCGAAACGCTACGCTCGGGGAATCAATAGAAACCCGGAAATCAAACATACTTTATAGTGTGATAATATCATATTGCCTGATGTAAAAACGAATATGTTTCGGTCATTTTCGGTGTCACAACGCGTCCGAATTATACCGAAAGAGGATAAATTAACGTCCCTTGAAATAGGCGCGCAAAAATAACTCCTAAAACGCAAACAAAATATAAATGGGTAAACAGCGAGAACATAAAACATAAATTTAGTATTATATAGTAGTAATACTGTGTATAATAGTATTTCAATAATCAACAAGAAGAAACGTGTGAAAAGTAGGATGACAAATAACTAAAAATAAGTTTATACAGTATAGTTGGACTTTTTTTTTGTTCACATCTCTCGATCAATTTCGCATTCGTTCTTTGGGCCGGGTTAAGCATTAACCCCCCCCCACCCTCTCTTTAATTTTAACGTCAACCGTTTTCGTGGAGAATAATATTAAATCGATAGTAATACGATCCACTGTGAATTACTCTAATGTTGGATAGGTAACACAGACGCCGCGATAATGATTGTTTCATTTAGTTCGTTTATATTTTTCACGAAAATATTACAGCGTTAGGCGGAGAGGGGGATTTATTTCATAAATAAAAACTGGCCTTTTAAACAATTATTAAGTAATGCTTCATATTCATATAGTCTTCGTCGGTATTTGTTAATTACAGATTAAATGTTTTTTTTTTTTTTTTATTTCTCAGAAACGATTATTACTAAACTGTTATATTATATATACAAATGCAAAATAAACGAACAAATTTACTATCTCATACGTAGTCGGTTGGTCAATAATAATACGTAACACCAATTTTATAATAAGTAATAGCTAAAGCTAATCACAATTATTAGCGTTTTGGAAAAAACAATATTATATTTATTTAAATGTCATTTGACGGATGTTTTGTTTGCCTACGGTTCTTTTATTTGTTTACGAAACAATTATACATTATTTGGTTAACCAACAAAGAGCTTATATGTATACATATCTGTTAATAATCACCTAATAAATTCATATTGTAGCGAAGATAAAATTTCAAAGCCAAATGTTCAATATAGATACCTATGCCGGAGTAATATTTAAATTATTTATACCGACATCGTTATCGTTATTGGCGTAATAAATTTAATAAATTATTGACAAACAGCATTACTATAATCGCCGATATACAATAATTTATTAGCATACTCGGGATTTCGTTGAAAACTCTGTCTTATAAAAAGTATTGATTGAGAAAAAAGTAAATAAAAAAATTCGTCTGTTATTGATTGTATTGTTTCCATAGAAAAAATAAATAAATGATATTATACAATTTCGTTTAAGATTCATTAAAATATTTTTTCCTATAATATGCGAATGGTAAAAAAGACGGGCGTATTTCGCAAGTGGGTGCAGCCACTGATGTAGGTGGGAAGTTGGGAAGGCTACAGACGGGAATTTAATGTATATCTGTAAGCAACGATAAACCATTGCTAACGAAAAAAAAACGATTCTGAGCCGAGTTCAGTTGATAATGTTGCTTTGTCAACAGTACAATATCTGGTGTTATGTCACATAATGGTAGAATTATTAAAACAATGTGCGTTTCCATGATAACAATGATTGTTTAAAAAAGATTAAAATAATAAAAACTTAATTATAATAATAAATAAATAAAAACGGTTGCCAATGATGACCTTATTTTTAAACTTTAAATATTTTTTAACCTAAAGACCGAGGTTTTCCTCATTATCTCGAATATTAATGAGAATTTAAAAAAATGACCTTTTTGAAGTACTACCCGGAAAAAATTACTTTTCAGAAAATGCGTTATACTTTATAATCGGAGTATGCTTTCTGGCAGAAAAAAGTGTTCACATAAAAATAAAAAAAAAAACATCATTGTTAAACCAATACATTCCTCGTTCCACTCAGAATCTCAAATATGGTCGAAAAAGCTTCCCTGTGATCACTTTCAATTTTAAATATGTTCGCTAGATAGGCACTTACGAGTGTTATTTGTCGTATCGTTTGTTATTAACAAAATAAAACGTTTGTTATTGAATTTAAACAACGGTCGATAAAAATTAATTTGATGAATATTCTGTTGTTTTTCTTCGATATCAAACGCGATTGTTGATATGGTAGGTATATCCAATTTATGTATTAAAACCGCGTAAATGCGTATTTAAGAGCAAAATGCACTTTACCACGCCGCTCAGAAGTTTGAAAAAAAGTTTTTTTAATTTACAACATTTGTTTGACCAACGCTTACAAAAAAAATAATTTTTTTCAAAATGTGAACTTTTAACCGCCGAGAACGATGATGCAATCAGAGTTTTGCAATTTAAATCTTGTGGTGGTGCGAACGTGTGGTCGTTGCGATTGTTAACCTAAACCTCGCTACGCAAAACCACTACATCCATCCGTTCGCTTTTTGTTATTACTTCCAACGTTTTGTTTTTGCTGTAACTCTTTTTAAATGACTTCCACCGAAAAACAAAACAAGTAGGAACACAGTCGAAAAAAATAATAAAAACGTTGAGAACCGCCAGCTTCGGCACGGCAAAGTGCATTCTAGACCGTAATTATAGTGTAGATTTGTGTAACGCGTAAGATAACCTAAAAATAACTTGCCCGGTAACAAAACCCGACTGCATAAGTGATATTAATTTCCCTTGTATAATTATAGCGTTTTTAACTTTTTAATATTTTAATAGCGCGTCGTGCTTTGGGAAAAAAAAAATGTAGTGCACGCATTGTTATGAGCTATGAGACGACCTCGTTTGGGACTATTGAAATACGCGACGTACGATTACATTTCAACACTCGAAGGGAATCTACGGGTAAGTAACAGAAAAGGGTTCCCCTTATTTCCAGTTTGTCCCAGGTCCCAGATGTCCGAACTAAATAACTGTCGAAAACCATAATGACATTGTGTACCTGCGAAGCAAAATCGTGGATATGATCGAGAGTCACACTTATCAACCTGTACGTATTTAAATCGTGATGAATGATGATCACCGAGGTTAAACAAAATATGATAGGTAATCGATAATTTATTAAAGCACGAACAAATCTTAAAAAATAGAGTCAAAACCTACAGCAGTACTTCAAACGAGGTAGGTAGGCAGGTACCCAACCTACTTAATTTTGGCCATTGAATGTAAAACTGGTTGAGATAAATTAATACGTTTACGGCGATTGGCGAATCTTTTCATGTCAATAAGACCCCCATTTACCCGGCACCCCGGATCGTATAGAAGAGACCAGACAGCCGCCTTCAATAACGAAAATTGTCAGTTTGATGTAACGATTTACACAATTATATTGTAATGTCCAGGTTCTAAATACCAGCTACCGCTACCGTATCGACATTATCGTAGTGAAAATTAGTAACACACTCACCGCTTTCTTCCGGTATCCATTGCGCGATAATAATAAATAGTATTATTGTCGGGGTGCACGCAGGGACGGGCACGACAGCGACGACCGTCCGGAGGTGGTGTCCGCACGCCACGGATTCATCGCGATATATGCGCCGGCGTAATCCGACCGAAACGGCGATTATTTCGTCATCGTTTATTCGCCCAAGATTATTATTTTGTCTGCAAACAGCCGCGCGGGCGCAAAACGCGCCGATAGGAAAACGAACCGTACGCGTAGTTTCGGCACTCCAGCGCCCGCCCCGGTTACGCTGTTGCCGCCGTTACCCGGACACGATTACCGCGTTACCGGCACTGCCGTGCGTGTACCGCGTAACGTAATGCGATTGTTTTCAACACGCGGAAGCGCTCGGACGACGCGGAACGTACGCACGCGTCGACGTCGGTATTAATAATATCGTTATTCGTGCGGCAACCGGAGTTTTTGGCGAGTGGAACGGACGCGGACGCGACACACGGCCTGTGGATAAAATAACCGTACGGGGGTGAAACAGCTGTGCGTTCGGTCGATACTTGCGACGAGGCGCGGCTGCAGCGACGACGGCGGTTGCGTTATTATTAATCGCGACGACGACGACAACGGTGACGGCGTCTTGCGCGTGAAGCGGTGTTTGTTGAATAATACGCCGGGCAAACGACGGCGCCGTTGCTTCACAACAGCTGATGTCTGAAACAGTGTTTTGCTACGAGGGACGAGGGAAGAAAAAAAAAATGTACACACCGTGTCCGGACAATGTTGCACCCATTTGCCGATGCTCCATATTATTATTATTATTATTATTTTGCTGACTAATAAATCCCGTGTACGGTACACTCACCGTTAGTCATTGTGCACAATATACACGTTACGTCCTATAATACGCACTCTAGTGATCGTACTTGTAAGGCATAAGCTCGTGTTCTGCGTCAGTTTTCGGATATTTTTCTTTTTGTAATTGAACTTTTTCTTAACTAATATAAATTGAGAGCACTGATAGTATATATTGTGGCGGTCGGGTGGAAAGGGAGGAGAAGGAGGAGGGGTTAAATATATCTCAACTTGAAATTTTTCCCGTAAATATGCAGAAAAAATTGATACTGCTCACGGGTACGGGGTAGGCCATTGCATTAGGTACTGTATGCAACGATAAACCATTGCAAACGAAAAAACGGTTCTGAGTGGAAACATATAGGTCCTGTTCGTATAAATTGTTACCAAAGTTACCTATCCAGAAATTAACAAAAATTGAACAACACCAATAAAAGGCATAGAAGATAAACCGTTGAACAGGAAATTATATATAACATTGGTTTTATTTTTGTTAATGTCCGGATTGTCTTGATTGCTAAGGTGAAAAACACATTTAGTAGGTACATATTTTATTACAACAGTTATAATTTCACTAATTTACTGAGCTCTGCTCAGAACCGCGATTCTGATTGCAATGATTTGTCGTTGCTTTCAGTGTATAAACTATAACTTCTATACTTGCCACCTACTACAGTGGCTTACCGCGGTGCGAAGTATGTTATCTTGAGTTTTTTTTGTTTTATTGCATAAAATGTATACTTTTCTTATGCATTTTATATAAAATAAATAAAATATAATTCGCCTTAATTGTTTTGCATCGTAATTTGTAAATTTATTCATAAGACGTATTTTGGGGCTTTGTTTTTTACACAACGAATCACGAAATGTTTTTAATGATGTGATCACATTACAAACAAACAAAGAAACAGTTTAATATTTTGGTATCTCGAAATAATATTTTGTTACTATGTAGTCGACGTGATTAGAATAATTTTGTCGGTAGACGTCTTATGCATAATATTATGGTCACATTCACTGAATGAAATTATTTATTTCTTCAGCATTGTATTCGGAACGCTCCGTGTTTAAAGCTAGTATTCAAAATCGCTAAATAATAAGTTATAATAATTAATAGTACCATCAAATTTTCAGTAGGGTACTTTATTTGATTGATTCATCGATAAGGCGGTAATGATGATAAGCATTAAAGGTCATAATATAATTTAAAAAGTTTATAGGTTCAACTGAAATATTACTATAATAAGTTATGGTAATTTTAGATTTTGAGCTCAGCAATAGGAATATATTAGCTCTATTTTGATATGTGTGTTTTTTTTATTTTTTGTGGTTTAAAACTGAGTGAAAAATATATTGGTTTTACTAGTTTATGTGGGGGATTTTTTTTTTTTTTTTTTGCGTCCGTAAGAAACTTTTATACCAGAAATCTTGTTTTTGAAAAATGTTAAGATATTTTTTGTAGCGTTTTTGATTTAGTTGTTGCGTTAGGTAAATGGTTTTTTTTGATTTCCCAAGAAATTTTCATAGTAATTGGGAAAAACGGACAAATTTATTACAGTATAATAATTTTATTATTTTAAATTGTTTCCAATTTTATTTTTCTGTCAGAAATTTTGCTCTAAATTTCAAGTGCACCTATAGCATCTCTTCTGAAATAAAATGTTTTCTAACTATTGCAAGAGAAAGTCGTTTTTTGATTTCATGTACATTTTTCTTAACAATTAAAATAAAAACGGAAAAAACGTAGAAAAAGTAAGAAAGTTTACAACCCATTATTTCCGATTTTTTTTTTTTGTAATTTGATTAAAAATAAATGTGAAAATCCGCAATCTTGACAGATTCCTTATATTGGTTTTATTTAGATATGGTACAGTTTTAAAAACTGATGATTTTCGATCTATTTATAAGAATTTGACATTATCGAGTTTATTTGTTTTTATGTGGATATATTTGTGTTGACTTATTAGAAATGTTTGCAAATTTAATACGAGGTTTGAATTTGATATTAAAAATTAACCGTATAATGTAGTAATTTTTTATTAAAATTTTGATGAAATCGCGTTTTTTTTTATAGGTCGTATTGTTTGTGTAATACAATAATATTGTCACTGCGCTTTGGTTTTGTAGCGAAAATGTCATTTAACACAACGTCATTACATGAACAAAATAATAAAGAAGACTTGGAACGGCGCGTGTATTAGGACTTGGTGCCAGGTGTCTAGTTTATTTACACATCGTTGGATAGATACGCGAGATAAAAAAAATGATAATATTGCTCAATAATACAGCAAAATATTGGTAAGTTAATCATTATTCGTGGATCGAGGACCAACCATATTATATATAGGCGTTTAATTAAAGATACCAAAATATTATGTTCGTATACTGTACAATATCATACTAATGTAATGAATCGCATTATTTCATACGTATTATAAGTCTGCCCAACGGCTATAATATACGATTTTTCAACGAGATAATATTCGAATAGCATCTTCATTAAATATTATTGAAACATTTCGACGGTCGCAACATAATATATTATGTAGACTTCAGTATACTTGTAAATTGTACCTGCGTGCTTGACGAGTATAATAACATTATTGCAGCATATATTCGTACCTACATATGCGGCTGCACATTATAATGTGTACGGGCGTATCATTAATGATGCGCGTTTAGTAACAATAATTTATTTACGGTTTTGGTACCCGCACACAACCTTAATAAGCTAATAAAATATTTAGGAATAGGTTAGTACACCTAAAATATTTAGAAAAAATTTAATACTCCTAACAGGTGTCCCAATAGTTGTAGGTGGAAAGTTGGGAACGTATGTAGTATTACATCATACCATTTAATTTTTTGACTTTTTGACTATTTAATTTATATCTTATCACAACGATAAATCGTTGCTAACGGAAAACAATTCTGATGGGCTGTTCAAATTTGGTTAAACACGTGATTTTGACGATTTTCGTGCAAAATTTGAACCTTATAAACGTTTGCTTATAAAAAAAAAAAAACATCAACTTTTTAACTGCTTATTTTCAAAGTATAATGAACCTCACGTAAAATGTTCAAGCATTCCCATGTTTGGTCAAAACAATTTTATACACATAAAACCAAACAAACAATTAAAAACTTGAACATTTGAAATACTTATAAATCACTCAAATATTAGCAGAATTTGTAGAAAAATATTGTAAGACGTAAAATAAGAGGGTTTAGAAGAGGGCTTTGTTACTCTCCCTATTGGCCGTTTTAAAATACAAAAAAATTAAATAAATTATTCAGCATTGAAACTTAATTTACTAAAATATCTTGGGTACTACATGAGTGGACATTTGATACATTTTTTTAGAGAATGAGAGAGGTAAAATAATTCTAATATGTTTATATTATAGAAGACTGACTTATTATTTGGAAACAAAAAAGTTAAGGGGACTTTAGGTGATCTTGAACGGATAAGCCACTGTACATATTATTATATTCAAACGGTTTTTTACGTATCATTACAGAATAAGGTGTGGGCAATACATTTTTTCTATTCTAGAAAGAAAAGAATACAACATTCGTACGACTGGTTATTATATTATTATTATCATTGCAGGTTCATTTTGTAAACGGTGCGTTTCGTTTGAAATCTCTAGACTATAATAAGTATTTTATACATATTATACTATAGATAGTACGGGTAGGTACGTTCAGTTTTTTTTAATGTTTATTTTTAATCCCACGACCTCCGCCGTGACCCGTAAACGACGAACAAATCGACATCATATTGAAATAGGTATGTATATACATACCTATATATGAGTATAATTGCGTAAAAGAATTTTTTTTCTTTGCGGGCTTATCTACACATAACCGTATACATAACATATGCGCGATGATGTGCTGAAGAATAGGTAAATAAATGTTTAAAAACCGATTATCGGCCAACGAAATGGCTTTGAACCTTCAACGTACCTACACCTATAATATTATCCATAAGATAGTCAAAGGGGCGTCGAAATCTTCAAAACAGTAATTTTATATTATATTATTTATAGGTTTTTTTTTTTAGTATACTGTGAACTAAAATTCCACCAGAAATCTTGTTCGAATACGTACATACGGCACCAAAGGAAATATCGTCTAGATCAGCGGTTCTCAACCTATTCATATATCCGCGTCCCATTTACACATTTTCAAAATTTTTCACGTACCACTTGCCACGTTTATTAGGCTTTTTTTTTTTACTTATCAAAAAAAAAAATGTGTTGTTACGTGATTTATACGTATAATACTTTTTATTATTAAATCTACATAATTATTAGCATATTATGTGCAAAAGTACAGTTATTATTTTTATAATTTTGTATGGATTACATAGACGTTATAACTATGATAACTTTATTTTCACTCGTCAAAAAATGTCTTCGGTACTACCTACGAGCTTTCCGCGTACCGCAGGTTGAGAGTCCCTGGTCTAAACGATACTTTAGGAAGGTAATTTTTTGATTTTCCAAACGGTTTTCATAATATCTTGTAAAAACCGGGGTAAATTTAAGAAAAACAGGAAATTCATGAAAATAATGTTTTTACTATTATCAATTTTGTTATTTATTGTAACTCAGTTAAAAAAATATGAGACTTGATATTTGGACAGAAAATTTACATTTGCCTTTTCTAGACATAAATGTCAAAAAATGTCAGCTATTTTAAAGCTATTTAAAGACTTTTAAATTTTGTGAGTTTTTACTTATTTTTTTATTTGGTAAGTGCTCTGTAGACGGATTGTCAAACCTAACAGGAATGTTTGAAAATTTTACAAGAAGTTCATTAAAAAGTTTACTTTGTGGTTAAAAAAAAAGTTGAGCTTATAATAATGTATTTTTTTTTTATAAAGGAATTTTACATATAAAATTTTTACGAAAATTCGTTTGAGTAAAAACGTATGTGTAAAAAATCTATTTTTTCAATTTTTTGTTTTGAACATATGTATATAGCTGATTTAAAAACGATGGCGAAGTCAGAATTGAGTGGACTGATTTAGTTTCGAAATTATAGCTTTTTAAGTATTGATATTATGCAGATATTATATGCTATGTTAAAAACTCCACATTACCATTTTATAGTATGTCTATCGTAGTCTAGTGGTAATTACTAGTCTAGTGGTGTATGCACCTGTTGTTATCCTAGAGATCGTGAGTTCTCAAACCCGTGTTCCAAAAAAAATTGTTTGTATTTGTTTTTTCACTTTTTCCTAAATAAGGAAAAAACAAATGTATTTTGGGTGTACCCAGAAACCCAAGCCCTCGCTCGCTCGGAATATTTTAATCGAAAAATACCCCTCGATTTGTTGTGCAAACTTTTCTACTAAAAATCTTGCTCTAATTAATCAAGTGTAACACCTTTTCTGAAAAGAAATTTTATCTACATGGTACCTACGTTAAGGAGGTTATTTTTAATTTTCCGAGCGTGGTTTTCATAATATCTGGGAAAAATCGGCATAAAATTTAGGAAAAACGAGAAAATTTACGAAAATAATATATATATAACTCAGTTAAAAATATTCGTAGTAACTAAAATTTTGATAGAAAACTTATATTTGCCTTTTTTAGACGTGGTAAAACTATAAAAACATTTGAGCCATTTTTGGGTTTTTTACGGACATTTTAATTTTGTGAGTAATTTTCTATTTTAGGTGCTATGTGGATACAATTGTTAGACTATATAGAAATGCTTGAGATGCACACATGTGGATTCCTGGTAAATTATTATAAAAATGACTAAAATCAAAATTGGTCATTAATTATTCTAAAAACATACGATTTAGTTGGTAATAAGTTGATAAACGTAGCAACATTATCAGTGGTTATCATTTAAAAAATATTGTTATCACATAATTCATCATTCGTATTTACTATATTTTTCACTCCAAAGTCTAAAGATACCTCTAACAATATTCTACAAGTGTAAAGGGACACATAAATATAAAATATATTATTAATATACTGAATTATTAATTTTGTATATTGGATATTAACATTGATTCTTCGTAAAGACTATCGCTATAATATTGACAAGATGTCAAACGTGAAACATGTTATTTTAGTGATGTCTGGCAAAGGAGGTGTTGGTAAATCAACTGTAAGCACACAATTAGCTCTAGGATTGGTAACTAAAGGATATCGAGTAAGATTATGAATTTATACAAAAAACTTTACTTGTGAATAATGATAGATTGTCAGTACTATCCAAAATATACATACCTAACTCCAAAATGCAACAGATATATTTTTAATTTAATTGATCTAATGACCTGGATTTTCATGTCAAGTAGCTCATAAATTATTTTTAACCTTAAAATTCTGCAATTGTCCAACAGTATAGTTTTGTTAAATGCTCGTGGTATGATCTACCAATGTTGCCTGAAAGTTGAAATGTAAATATGTTATGTTGAGATTCAAGCCATGAAAATATCCTTATTTTTTTCCCGATAACTCAATAAGATAATTTTGTATATTTTCCTTGATAAATTGTCAATCTTAAAAAGTAAAATCCATTTTTATTGTTTACATTTATGTCAATCAAACAGTCTTTAAGTTTTTAAAATTGATCTTATATAACTACATTCAACTCTGAATGTTTTGAATTCTATAATTTACCTTAAGCCTTTTAAATCCAATTTACAACTAGTTTCGTTTTTTAATCACTGCATTTGTATTCATTGAAACATTGTAGGTTGGAATTTTAGATGTAGATTTATGTGGCCCATCTGTACCATACTTATTAAAATTAGAGAATCAAGAAGTACACCAGTGTGAAGCTGGTTGGGTACCAGTTTATACAGATGAGTCAAAATCATTAGGTGTTCTTTCAATTGGATTTTTAACAAAGTCCAGAAATGATAGTGTAGTATGGAGAGGACCAAAAAAGACTGGTTTGTTATTTCAAATATTGTATACATGGTACAGGTATTTAATAACACTTTACACTTATGTTATTAACAGCATTTATAAAACAGTTGCTTTCTGATGTTTTCTGGGAAGATGTAGATTATCTAATTGTTGATACACCACCAGGCACATCTGATGAACACATTACCGTTATGGAAAATATCAAGTATGTAATAAAATTGATTTTTCATTAACATGTTATTAATATTTCTAAAAATTGTTGTGGATTTAATAATTTTAGAGAAACACCTTGTGATGGGGCCATACTTGTGACCACTCCGCAACAAATTGCTTTGGATGATGTCAGAAAAGAATTATCATTTTGTCGTAAGACAGGCATTCCAATATTGGGAGTTGTTGAAAATATGAGTGGTTATGTTTGTCCTAATTGCTCAGTAAGTTATTATTTTGTTTGGTACTTATTTAGTATGTGGCTTAAAAAAAATACTAAAAATTAATCTTAATTACTATTTATTCACTTTGAAGTGTATTTTCCACTAAAAAAAAACTGATATTTTATCAAGTTTGCATTTTTCTGTGGTACAAATCTTATTGTTGTTATCCAACGTAATATGTTTGTTTTTTAAATATTGTAAATACACAATTTTGTTCCTGATTATATTTTCATACTAACATTAATAAAGATATAAGTTTCTTTAAATTAAATAACATGATGCAGAAAATATCATTTGATGAAAAATTTGAAAATTAACTTCGCTACATAATGATAACACCATAATGAACACGGCTCAAAAATAATATTTTTAATCTGAAATTCTAATCTGTCAATTTGCACCCTAAATAAATAACATTTTAATAAATGTACATTAGTTTATAGTAAAAAACATTCCATACAAAAATATAATACATTAAAATAATCAAATGAATAAGGCCATGAATTACTCATAATATGGTAGTTGCATACTGTACTCAAAACTGTTGCATATTTGATTTAAAGAGAATTGAAGGATTTATTGGTTTTATTATGATTAAACTACTTTTTGATCAGAAAGCTTGGTTAAATTGAAAAATGGCAAGATGCCTTTTTTGTTGCATTTTGGATCTAATAAATGTGTAAGAAAGTTGTTTTATGATTTTACATGTAGTCTTTTTTTTAATAATTAAGTTCAAAATATTTATTATAGTTTTCAAAAAATTACAGAAAAATTATATTTGCCTTTCCTCAGTGATAATATTTTTAAAAATTTGTCGTGACTTTTGAGCTATTTATAAGCATTTTATGCTTGCAAATTTGTTTACGTAGTTTTTATTTGATAAGTTCTATGTGGATATGATTGGTTTCCTGAACAGAAATACTTGAAAAATTAAGGAACTCACATTGTATGCTATCCATATTCCTGGCAATAAATGTGGGTCGGACATCAATGGTATGCTCTTATGTTGTAGGTATAGTTATGTATATGTTACCAGTTAAATCCAATTTCAGGATGAACTAGTTTATTAGTTTTTTGTTAGCAATGGTTTACTGTTGCTTACAAATATAAATTAAATAACTTTTATGTATCCTACGCTTTCCACCTATTTATATGATTGGTTATTCTTTTATGATAATTAAAAACTAAAATATTACTATAATTCTATTGGTAATATTTATTTACACAATGTAAATTCCATATTTATTTAAAATTTCATGAAGTAAATGTACATTTTTGTATTTTACAGGAGTGTACGAATTTATTTTCATCAAATGGCGGAAAATCATTAGCAGAACGTTTTCAAGTTCCTTTTTTAGGAACTGTACCAATAGATCCAAGAGTATCTTCAGAAACATCAAAATATGTTGGCGTAACTCATCCCGAATCACCAGTGGCAATATCATTTAATTCAATTGTCGACAGTATAATAAATCCAAACTAAATAAACTTTTATGTATTTTAATATCACAATATGGTATTGGTATATATTACTAGCAGAGTTAATATTTTATTTTCCTTACATGTTACAGATTGTTTTCTTGTTCTATGGAAATATTTTCTCCTGGTTGTTTTATTTCATTTTTAAACTCATTAAGTTCAACTAATGGTTCTATATTTCCAAGTGGTGATCTGCTTGTAAATAAAATTGGTATTTTTGTTAGCCTTGGGTTCCCATCTTTCTCTAAGAATCTTATCTATAATTTCAACAAAGTATAAATGAAAATAATGATTTATAATATTGGTCTTTCTGGAATTGTATACCCAAGATAATAATGAATTTTTACTGGATGTACCAGTAGCAGCAACAGCGAGTATTGTACCATCTTCTTGTTCATGTACAGTTTTTTTTTTTGCAACTTTATTTGATATTTTTGGCTGATCGAAAAATGGTACATGAAATTTACTTATATCTAAAAAATAAAAATTATTGTAATCATAATTTAAATAAATGAAAATGTATATATTACCATCCTCGTCCTCTTTTTCATCATTTTCTTCTTTAGAAGGTTCAGTTCTTAAAATGAAATAAACGATACTCTGTTTACGTAGCCATATTCTAAAACCTCCTTCAATGTAAATAGGAACAGTATCTGAATGCTTGGCAATTAATTTCTTTTGTTCGGGACTTTGACCACTGACTATCCATGTATCTTCTATGCTTTCTTCCAAATCTTTAGTTTTATATACTTTAACTTCAGATTCAACATCTATACTACAAATTCTGTTAAGAGCTAATAAAGCTAGTTCATAAGGATCGTTAGGTGCTGGCTTGGGTATAGGCCAAGGAGATTGGTTATTAAACTTTGGCATCCAATACATCATACGCCAGTAACGTCGTACAGGAATACCACGATTACCAAATCGTTTAATAAGCATATCCTCTACTTCCCAATCTGGGATTACTCCTAAAAAAATTTTAAAAATTAAAATGTATTACTTAATAATTAATAGGTATATACAACTTTACCATTGTCTTCCATTTTTTGTAATACATCAACAATACACTGCTGATGTTTTGGATAATGCATAAATTCTGATTGTAAATAATTTTGAGGAACAAATTTTCCAGCTGGCATCACCTGAATTAATGACTTGTAAGTTTCCAGATCTTCACTTACACCAAATTCGTCCAAATGTTTCAATGCAGTGTTAATAAATTCCACATGGCCTGTTCTATATTTTTCCAACTTGTACATTTTTAACATATCCAAATATGTTTTCTTATTTTTTTCTTGTACATTATTGAAACTGTCAGCGCTTATTACATCTACTTTAGGAGGTTGATCAAAAAATGGTTTTGTAGAATGAAACTCTCGTTCAATAGACTTGACAGATCGGCGATTTGCTTTAATTAGTTTCTGGACTATAACTAGTATGTTATTCATTTTGTTAATATAAATATATTTTTAAAACTAAATTACACTATTTACATAACGAAATTTAAAATATAATATAGGTACTATACAAATTACAACAAATTAAGCTATAAGTAATTAATTTTCGGACGTTTGGCCGGTTATCTATTTGTTCTTATCAATTATCATTTATCTAACGCAGGTTAAACAATTTTGAACCGTAGTAATAATATACCTATAATACAATTTAATAATAAATAGTAAGGTAATCCATCTTGATAAATAGTATTTATAATCGATGCGTATAGCACATAGGCATATAATATTATAATAGTTTCTATTATATGTCTATGGTATAGTCACAGACATATAAACAAATTATTTGTTTATATATCTGTGGGTGTAGCACAGAATGGAAGATTTAAATTCTGTGACCATTTCTTATACAGCTTTAATAAAAAAGATATGGATAGGTTATCCATACCTTATCAGTGCTTACTGTCTGTTATTCCAGAGATATATATAATATATCTGTTAGTTACTCCAAGTTTCATAAGGTGAGGTGTTTTATCCTTATGTTGTTGAATGATAAATCGCCTCAGTTTACTGCCCCTCCGGGAACATCGTCTCACTTACAAATTGTTACAGAAGTGGTCTATCCATTTCTTTATTATCTATGGCTTTAATCTAAGACTGTGGCTTACAATATGGTATGGAGTATAGACATGATCTCGGATTTACGACTGGATGGTTACGCATCGCGGAATTTAAACGCGGCATACGGCATATTCTATGAAACGCACATATAAATGTTCTTATCTACAACAGTGTTCAAAAACTGAACGGTACCTAGCGCTACCTAGTGTATATTCAATTGTCAATATAGTACACAGCTATAGCCAGTAATAATCAGAAAAGAGATATTCTGTACCAGTGGTTCTCAACATTTTCGTATTCGCATACCATTTACAAATTGTACAATTTTACAGGTAGGTACCACTTGACACGGTTATTAACTTTTTATTTTTCTATTTATCAAAAAATAATGTGTGTACGTTGTTTTACATTTATGGAACTTTATTATTAAATCTAAATAACTATAAGCATATAATACTTACAAGTAAAATTAAATATGCATCTACAGTTATTATTTTTGAATTGAAGTTTGAACTACATTATAGTTGAAACATTTTTTTTTCATTTATCAAAAATTTGCTTCACATACCACCTACGAGCTTTCCGCATACCGCTAGTGGTACGCGTAAGTACCACAGGTTGAGAACCGCTAATCTAAGCTATCTATAGCTGCCAACGCAGATAATGTGTACTGAATACCTACCTACTGATGGTATTTACTTTTAAATTGTTTAAGGTTTATTTATTATTTTATTATATAGGATTTTTTGAAACTTAAAAAATACACAATACCTTTTAAATGTTGTCTACGGCACTTCAATTTGTCCAAAACTTTAGGAATTTCCTTTAAAAAAAACTGACCGCGTACTTACATGTGCAGCGCATTTTAAAGATGGTGATATATCATCAGTACAGTAATAGGTATAGCTACTTAGTTAATAAATATATTATACAGTTAGCACTGGATAACATAAATGTTTTTTCGATTTGTCACCAAGTCAACATTTCTTAGAATATCCTTTGACTGTTAATACAGAATTGAGTTTATTTGTTTACAAAAGTGGTGTTATTTTTCATTAATATTTTAAAAATTATTGGATAGATATGCATAAAATCTGAGCATTGCTATCCGAAAAGTTGGTCAAACTATATACATATATGCATAACTATAAAATAAACAATACAGTGCAATAGTCTCAATAATTACAAATTAAATAACAACACTTAAATATCTAAACTACAGCTATAGATATAGGTAGGTTTCTATATGACTATATATCTCTATAAATACTTGGGTATATCTTTAGAAAATTAGAACATTAGTTAATTAATTAGAACATAGTTCGGTAGTTAGGTGTCTATTATAATTTAAATTTTGAACGTTATAATATTTTAAAAATGTTTGTATAAGAGGTTTAACACATAAGTGTCACGTATAAATTGTCAGTTAATTGTCTTTGTCTACATCTGAGGCATAGAATTTCAAGTATTTGTTTATTATTAAAATATGTTCATGGTCCATATTTACTAGTGTTATATTATTATCTATAGTAAATATTTATTTAGATAAATAATTGTGATAAATGATAATGTATGGATTATGATGCATAGGTAGGAGGTACCACGCAAGGCCGTAGCTGGAAAAAATTTTCGAAAAGAGTTTTAAATTATTAAATCATATTATTTTAGTTAAGTATGAATATAATAATTAATATTTATATTTGTATTTATCTTAAAAATAATAAACAATGCTTTTTGAACCTGCAAAATCCCATTCAGATACGGCTTTGTTACCAAGGATATCTTAATTTTTAGTCCATGATAGGTACCTACATACTTACCCATAACCATGGTGGTGTATAAAGGAATTAGGTGAATTGGATATTAAAATATTGTAAGACGGATTTTTAGAATTATATCTACAATTATGTGTAAATTGTAGAGTAGTCAATAATACAAATTGCATTTACCTTAATGTCTTTAGCTTCTTATATTACCTATTTTGACGAATACACAAGGACAAGTACAAGTAGATGCATAATAAATAAGTATCTAACTAACATGATATAATAGGTATTTCGGATAATTCATTACTTGGTAAATTATACTTATTTTTAACCAAGCTCGAGCATTTAGGTCTGTAATAAAGAGATTGTATTCATTTTAGTTCACGATTTTTTTGTTATTTATGTTGAATAAACGTTTATTATGCACCTATTTAAATATTCAATCTTTGGGTATCACGGTACGTGTTACTTTGTTTTCTAAAATAAAAAAAAGCTAAAAAATCATGCATTTATTAACATAGCTGTTACTCGCTGTTTACAATAATTCAGAATTAAACAACGCGATGTACCTATATGCGAAAATATTCATTTTAAATTTCTATACCCACGTTTAAACTAAATAGTAGGTATATATAATATCAACCTAAACGCAAAAATTTTAGATTTGAATTATGTAATTTTCCTGGTGCCTGTTATTGTTGGACTGAGACATTATAAATGCGGATAAGGGTAATACGTCAATTTAATTCACTATAGGATATTGTGTAATTTTTTGTATACTTGTATGGATTATATAAGTGGGTCATACATAGATGCAAAACAATATGCTGTTCGGACGCCTTACAAAATGTGCCTAACTCCGTATATATCATATTTCCCCTACTAGTGCGTAGATAATATGCGATGTCGTTCTCTTTAGTGCATTTATCTATTATGACTTGTTTCAAAGTTATGAGGTTTCACCACTGGACCCTTCAAAATCATTTCGATATAAATGAAAAAAAAAATCTTTGAGAGACCATGTAACCAATATTATATCTATTTTAAGTCACCAACAAACAAATAAGCTATGAATTTGAAGTATACTAACAAGTTCCAAGATGAAATTAATTGAAAAGACCTCGTGCATGTTAAAGCCTTACTAAGTTAAAAATATTGAAACATCATGTTTTATCTTTGGCTACATTTATATACTTTTAAATAATAAATAATAATTTAGTTAACAAGAAGAAAAGATGTATGGCCATAAATAAAGTGTGGCAAATTTCTTTCTGCTTGTTGGCGAAAAATTGCTAATCCACCGCTGCTACCTATTTATTATACCTATACCTACGTACTCTGTACACAGAGCTTGAAGTAATATAAAATAGTAAAGATTAGATTTTGTGATTCCTTAACTATTTTGAGCTTTTCATAATTCATATGCAATGTCCCCAACTATGGAGTATGAGTATTAGGGTGGTCCTCTATTATGTATGAAAAAAAATAACCAAATTTTTCAAATTACTCCCCCCTAACNACTAAAAGGTCAAAAAAAAAAAAATCATAATTATTATCGGCTATCGGTCGATTGCATAAATAAATAATATGCACTTTACCCAGTACCCATATTTTGCGATTATTACCTAAAGATTATTTTTATGACTCAGCCAATCAAATAATATATTATCTACATTCTTTATTCTCTACATCACACATTATTACAATCTATACTTATACTTATATGTTATCGGATATATTATGTCATTGTAGTCATTTTGCGATTTATTGATTAATTTCTCAGTTGACTTACTACAACAACCAGTGTCACACTAAAATTGTTGAGTATTAAATTTTCAAATTTTGAACGTCATACATTTTATTTTAGTGACTTACAATGGTTACTAGGGATAGTTTACGTGAATCGAAATATATTTTTTTAATTGGATATAGTACAAATCAAATTGTTGGTAGTAAATTATCATCAAACAAACAAGTTTTGTCGATACTATTTTTTAATATGCGCGAAGTAAACTTAAATTTGCATCAAAGTGCTACATTAGTGATACAAGAAGCAATCATTTTTTGGCGGAAGGCACGCATACCAACGAGAACAGAACAAAAGTGTGTGAACAAGCTGGAAGGTTATACAAAGAGTGGAGAAATTTACAAAAATTAGAATATAGAAAAAGTGCAACGCAAATGGAAAAAAATACGCAGTTTCTATCAAAGTTAGATGATTTATTCGACGTAGCGAGTGCAAATGCATTAGATTTACTGTCTATTGAGAATGACAAAGCATTTTTAATAGCCCAGAGACAGAAAGGTCGACCTGGGTCGTTGCTTGGTATTGATCAAAAAATGATAAAAAAAGAAAAAATCATAGAAGATAGCAAACAAGCGACAAATAAAAGAAAATATCGTGCCCGTGATGAACTTGAAGCTTTGTGTACGTTTTTAGTCTATAATATTAATTTTGATTTCAATAAATGTGTAAAAATATAAAATTAATTTCAGATAAAACTATAGAACTACAGTCGTCGAGTAGTTCTGACGAATGTGACGATGTAGATAGTAAGGAATTTATACTTTTAGAAAATCACCCAAGAGATGATTACCGAGAGTTACTAGAATTAACAGTAATTTTTCTGGGTGTAAAACTTCCTAATAATATTCGATTTAAAATGCCAGGTGCCATTCATCATGCGCGGTGGATGGCCAAAGCTATTTATAGCTTGAAAATATATTTATTTCGCGAACAATTTCATTTAACACCAAAAGAAGAAAGTGCTTTGAGAAGTATTTGCGTTTTTATGCAAATGAGTTATTAGAAAAGGAAATCGATGATTTTATATGTGTTAATACTAAAACACTATTTAAAAGATTTTCCATCAACACCATTTTTTTGAATGAAGATCCAATTAATTGGGAAAATAATGAAGACTATTCTAAAGCTTTGTTAGTTATAAAAAATATTCCAGTAATAAACGATGTAGCAGAAAGAGGAGTAAAACTTATAGAGGACTATAATGACAAAATTACCAAAAACGAATCTCAAAAACAATACCTTCTACAAGTTGTTAGTGATTACCGCAAAAAATATCCTGACCACAAAAAAGAAACACTTACTGCACTATCACAATAATTTGGTTTTATCATTTATAATTAAAATATATTACAGATAAAATAATTAGGTAACAATGTTATTATAATTAATTATTAGTTGTATTTTAAGTTGTCTTAAATATTAAAATGTTTAAGATTATTCTTGTTTTTACCTTGTAATTAAAATATTTGAAAAAATAATATATTTGCAAAATATTATATATGAAACAAATTGTAGAAAATGTAGTGTTCTATCATTTATATTTTAACAAATTTTTTGTAAGTATTTTTTTCCTGGAGTTATATTAAAAAAAAATTTAAAAAATTGATAATATTGAAAATTTTCTATTTTTGTAAATTTAGAGCTGTTGTGGNCTTTGTTAGTTATAAAAAAATATTCCAGTAATAAACGATGTAGCAGAAAGAGGAGTAAAACTTATAGAGGACTATAATGACAAAATTACCAAAAACGAATCTCAAAAACAATACCTTCTACAAGTTGTTAGTGATTACCGCAAAAAATATCCTGACCACAAAAAAGAAACACTTACTGCACTATCACAATAATTTGTTTTTATCATTTATAATTAAAATATATTACAGATAAAATAATTAGGTAACAATGTTATTATAATTGTAAATTGTTATTATAAATAATTATTAGTTGTATTTTAAGTTGCCTTAAATATTAAAATGTTTAAGATTATTCTTGTTTTTACCTTGTAATTAAAATATTTGAAAAAATAATATATTTGCAAAATATTATATATGAAACAAATTGTAGAAAATATAGTGTTCTATCGTTTATATTTTAACAAATTTTTTTGTAAATATTTTTTTCCTGGAGTTATATTAAAAAAAAATTTAAAAAATTGATAATATTGAAAATTTTCTATTTTTGTAAACTTAGAGCTGTTGTGGCACGGGTTAATATTAATATTAATTAATAAATTTGCCTGAAATTTTTTTTGTAGCGATTTTTTTAGTAATCAAACCTTTTTAGGGGGGGGGGGTAACCTGAAAAAAATCACAAGCGAAAAATAAGGACCACCCTAATGAATATATGTTAAAGATGACTCTCCTTTTTTTTTTTTTTTTTTCTAAACGTAATCAGAGGTAGACGATGAGTCCCTTTGTTCAATATAACGTACATAAAAAATAAAAAGCGAGTCCAGTAACTGTATTAATTTTGTTTTCATTTTAATATTTTTTATTTGGTCGTCACTTATTGTAATTTGTTCAATATATACAATATAATCACATTATACAAGGTGATCAACATACCGTAAGATACTCATATTGGAAAGTGTTAACTTTTTACAGAATTTATTTTTTAGATAATTTAAGAAATAAGCAGTTCTAAAATGTTACATTACTAATTTGACAATCAAAAGTATGTAGTAGTTTTATCCCCAAAAATAAAGATGACAAAAAAATAGTTATGTACAATTTTAGAGCTACCTACTTTTTTTTGAAATGTTTTAAAAATCAAATTACGAAAAAAATTAATACTTTCCGAGAAAATGAGTGTCTAATGCTATGCTGAAACTCTGTATAATACTCCTCTAGGTTATTAAACTAACAATTTGTATTTATAATTCGTTTTAAGCTTGTTGATTCGGTAATATTTTATTTTAAAATATGTACTATAGGTAGGTAGGTATTATTTTCGAAAACCAACTCGAGTAAGAAAAATAATCAAAAAACATAAACAATAAAAAATAGAAAAAAATACAATGTATTATATAATCCTAGAAATACAATCTGTTCAGATTTTGGTTTCTTTGTAACATAATATTGGTAAACTTCTTATTTTTATCTATGCTTGTCTATAGATTGTAGTGAGAAGTAAATATAACAACGTTTAATAATGCGTTATTATAAAATATATTGTATTATTATATAGATAGTTCATTTTTTATATTAAAAATTATTCTGGTACGTATACTAAAATTGATAATTATTATGACATACCTATTAAACTATTTTTAAAAAAGATAAGTGTATTACAATTTAGATTTAGAAATATATTTAGGTTAAGAATATTTCATTTTTAGCGTGATTTATAATTACGGTGAACAATATGCGCGAATTTGCATAAAATTTGATTTCAAACGGATGAGCAAGAAATATATAAGTACTAAAGTACATACCTAGTACATATTAATAATAATTTTCGAAATTACTGACATAACTGTTGAACAGGTTTAAAAAAGGAGACTTTTACATACTAAAATATTTTAATTTAGATATAACTGGTATAACTTAACCATTGAAATAAATAATCAAGTGAAACGGCCAAATATAATATATATTATAATATATTATATAGTTCTTTGAGTTTCATCTGCAAGTAAAGTGGATGAAAAACGCGGCGAAGTGTGATAAAATAAGAGCTGATGGGAAAATATTTCTAATATAGTTAGTATGAACTAATATTATTTTATCAAAATTGTTTTTTTCAGTGAACTTATCGAAAGATTATTCCGAGCGTAGTTCGGCAATACATAATATGAAATGCCGTATTTTTTTTTACGATTTTCGTTTAAATTTGATTGCAAATAAAAAAAGTCGTCCGTTGATTTTGGAAATTTTACCACATCTAGGTAAGTCCAATATAAGTATCATTATCAAGTTTCAAGTTTCTACGTGTATTTTAACCCAATTTCTGTAAAAAAACAGCAAAAATTAAAATTCCTTAAAAGCTCAAAAGTTTTGGCGATGATATCGTAAGAAAATAAATCAAAAAGGCAACAAAAAAGGTGTTTTGTGATTTTTCGATTAAATCATTTTTTCCAGGTAGAAAACGTCCGTGTTTTTATAAAATAATGAAATCGTGAAATTTTACTTTTTTCTGTTTTTTCCCACTTAAGTTATTTCATTTAAAAAATGAAGTTGAAAAAAAGAAAAATAGTTTTAAAGTACAATCTGGACAACTTGAACTTTTTAGAAAAGTTACTACACGTAAAAATCGGAGCGATTTTACTAGGAAAAAACGTGTCCACAGACTAGAACAAAGAAATGTTTTTCAATTATGGTCGATTCTCCCCTGATATTTCACATGCAGATCAACTTGCATTCATACTTAGATATGTAATAATTATTGATGAACTTGTAGAGCTATTCATAAGATTTTTTGCTAACCCTGGACACAAATATAAAGATTTAGCAGATGCATTATTTGTGGCGATTGAAGAAAATGAATTAGACATTTAAAATTGTCATGAGCAATCATATATGATGTACGACTGCGTCAGACATGTCGGGTATGTATTCTGAATTCCAAGCTAAAATAAAAGATTCATGTTCTTATATTATTTTTGTTCCATGTGCAGCACATTCATTAAACCTGGTCAACGAATACACTGCTAGTTGCTGTACACTTGGTACTGAATTGTTTTTCAACAATTATATAATTTTTGTCTGACTACATTTTTAAGAATAAAACAGTAAAAAGATTGCCAGATACGATGGGCAGCTAGACATAAAGCTTGTTGAAGTCTTTTTCAGGACTGGACAGAATTTCTTAAAGCATTAAACAGTTTTGTTGAAAATTCAATAGAAAATCTTAAGACAAAACGTGAATCAACTGGACCAATAAAAAAAAGATGAATAATTTCAAAATTAGTATTTTCGCGTCATTTTTGAATTATATTTTAGAAAGTAAAGTTTCGAATGACTTTCGCCAGAACCTGCCTGGGCCTTTTGATAAACAGGTCGACATAAGGAGGGGCATAATAAAATCAAACACCAATAATTTATAACAAAATTGCATAAATTATCAAACTGTTAAAATTATATTTGAAATTTTGAAGTCCAGTGTTGGGAGGGGGTGGCAGATATATAGTTAGAAATCTATCGGCGCGAATAACATGATATAAATATGTAACACATTCGAATATCGATCGGCGCAGTTAGTATGTATACCTTTTATTTTATAATTTTTCTTTTTTTACCTGCGATGATTTTCGGCGCAATTGATTATAAATCAGATAGGAAAACATTATTGTTTTGACTTGTCTATTTCACGTTAACGGTTATCGCGAAGGCGGTGGCCGCCCGAGTTAATTCTTCACCTACTCACCGAATTCCGTGCGGTCGGGAATACGCGCAACCCCGCCGCGCAACGATATTTTCCGTATGCCACGGTGGTGCGGCGGCTGTCCCCCCGACCACGCATTGTTCGGTTGTAGACCGTAGTAGTACGACCAGAATTCGAACGCAGCGCCGCAATATCTACGTCGGAGCAGAATAATATTACACGTATCCGAGACACCCGGTGGTAAATAATAACCCGACGCGCACACGCACGCGCTCCACCGTCATTACCCGGCGACAGTACGACACGAGTTTTGTATCTCGCGCGCGCCTGTGGCCCGTCAGTCGTAGTACTAACTCGAACGCGATAGGTCGTTTCGTCCTACGTCCCACGGTCTTGCCGATTTAATACATACCAGTGGCCGTCACATCATTAACAAATTATCAATTGATAAAAATATTTCGCACTCGCGACCGGTGTGTTGTACACGCGTTCGTTGACCGCTGCCGTATTCCAATTGAATCCCCGGCCATCGTGGTCGTCGTCGGCGCGCATATCATTCATTTCTCGTAACATTACCACGCGCGCCATGTGTCCCGCCGGACCCGGCAACTAAAAAGCCCGCCGACGCACGTCCTCCGGAGAGGAGAAGACGAGAAGCCATCGATCGTTAACTCGGCTCACACGGCTAACGATGACATAGAGACGTGCACGGCGCAACTCTCGCACGCAAACCGTGGGCACATCACACGGGGCCGTCCGTTACGACAATATTATTGTGCGAGGTAAGGAGCGTTTTATTTCTTGTTTTTAAAACCATTTACTTACGTCGGGCATTATAATGCACGCAACACGATTTTATCGTACGATTAGATTAGGTTAGGTTATTATAAAACGTATTCAAGTACAAAGACCAGCAATAATAGACGATTTATTTGTCCTGTAATATAATAGCTACCGGGAACCGTGCTTTCCCCCATTGGCCGTATTTTATAAACAATTTTTGCTGACCATAATCTTTGCGTGATTATCGTTATATTTTGACGTAGGTACGAACGAAGGTATGTGGTTTATTTTGAAATTTTACCAACTGGAATATTATTGACGCGTATAATTTTGGGTTCGGTATTTTTCACGCGTTTTTTTTCTTGGCTCCCCCAAAGAGAAATTCCGACTGCGCCGTTGCAGACGGGTACCTATTATTATGATGATAATGGCGATGACTAAAATGCCGGTCGCCGCCGCGGACCGTTCGGTGTCGGAGTTGGCGAGTGTGAGAGCGCGTGCGCGCATAATAGCGTATAAATACACACGACAGCGATTTTTGAAAAATCCGGTCAACCGTTTTTTTTTCCTGTACGTTCTACGCATCGTATTGTCCAGACTTTTAAAATAGGCTAAGTAGCGTCCCCTCCAAGCGAAAAAATAAATCGTTTGTACAATTTGTGAGCCTATTTTTCGTAGTTTTTTTCCCGACGATTTAAAACGAAATAACAGAGTATGAAACGCGAAAAGCCTGTATGCTTTTGAAAATCTAAAATCCCAATGGCCTAGTCATCGGGATACACGCTTGAGCAGTCGCGACCTATTCTGATGTATCTATCCGGCAATCGGTGCACCGCCAATATTTATGTGTAACGTTGTTGTCGCGTCTTCTGACGTCGCCGACACATAAATCGGTTATAATATTATCATTTTGAATTGAAATATTATTGTTGCAATAAAATTATTACTAAAGAAATTCCAGCGCCGCGATCGCGGCATGAGCTAAAGTAAATATATAAATTTAATATTATCGGAAATACAAAAGCTATTAACAATAACAATAGGTAATCAACGATTATATAGATGTTCAAAATAATTTTTCTTATTATTCTCATAATTTAAGTTTAATGGAGTGACTAGTGTAATCCCTCTGGTAACCTCCGTAAAAACGACAACGAAAAAAAGTTGTTTTAACCTAAGCTATTGTGGAATGGAGTCATGAGTAGGTGTACTTCAAGCAACATGTGTCACAAAGTAAGTATTAACAAAATAAAATGTTGTCGACGAAATGGGATGTCAGCAAAACGGGTTGTCGGAAAACTGGGAATGAACCTTTGTTGTACTCTCCCCCCCACGCTGTGTACCGATTATTATGAAGATTGTCGTTAATTGTCGAGTTCTGAGCGTTAAACTCACTCGATAGTAAATACTTAATGCTAACTATTAATTAAGTAAAATTTTTCGTCGACATACGACTTGCAGGTGTTCCAAAGAAAATTAATTAGTGATATTTTCAAATTAGGAATAAGAAAAAAAAATGTTTTGGACTACATTAGATATTCATGAAGGAACATTTAAGTAAGGAACGAGGAAAAGGAACGTTAACAACACCGAATAATAGTCCCCGATAATAGTTATTATGCACTTGACGTTAAATTTTTTGGAATTCTTTTTCGATTTACTTTTGTGAACATTTTTTTTTCTGTTCCCGATATTGGCCCTATTTTCATGTAAAAACCCATGTAAACCATATCAAAAACTCAAAAATCAATGTCCCATAAAACCTGTTTACATGGGCATAAATAATTTTAATTAAATAACTCTCGCGATTTCCGTGGTTGTTCTATCCCGTCCGGAACGTTTAATTATTGATATCTGAAAACTGGTATAAGTTAAAATACTTTGAAATGAGTTTAAATGTTTTTGTAAAAGAATAACAAATATTTATACAATAATATAACGGTGCCCCAGTTCGAAATGCGTTGTTGTAACGGCTAAAATGTAGAGTAAAATGTGAGTTTGTGTTTATGATATTTTCAATTAAAATACCGCGATAGAGCATTGTTTATAAAACGGGCATATTATATCGGTTGTGCCGGAAATCGCAGGAAGTAAAATCGTGTAAGATAGATAAATTAAAGGTACACATCAAATGCGCCGATCGATGTTCGAATGTTATATTATGGTAATTGTGCCGCTCGATAATCCGTGTTTGTAATCTAATATCTCTAAGGATAATTTTACGGTTTATCATGCATAGACAATATCCGTTTAGTGTATTATACATCCGAATAGTGTTGTTCCGAGCGTTATGTAGTATAAATCGTCGTGATTTGTGTTTTTGTAGGTAATTTTAAGTGAACGTGGTAAGGAACAAATTATTTACCAACATTATAAAATTTCCTCGAAATTTTAGATTCTGGGTGCAGCGAAGAGCTGCTTATGGTTTTACAAAGATGTTTTTTTGTTTTTTTCTTTGGGCAATTTTCTACCAGAGACCTTTCTCCGATTTCCAATGATAGCATTTTTTCTGAAAGGAAATCTGTCTGGGAAGGTACTTTAGAGAGGTAATATTTCGATTTTCTCTACAAATGTGAACGACCGGGAAAAACTAAAAATTGGTACGGTAAACAAATATTATTAAAAATATATATAATACCTACTAAAATATTTTACCATAATATGACATAATACGTACATATATTGTTCACAAAGCATCACTATCAACTGAACTGCGTTCAGAATCGTTTTTACATCAGCAATGGGTTTATCGTATACATTTTCTTATTATAAATTATACTAATCATTAACTAAGAAATTATTATTAATGATTCGGCGTAACTGATGTGCCTATGCCTTTTTTTTGTACCGGCGCAATAAATGTGTATTATTCAGATAGCGTCCCAAAATCGGCGCAATTGACGAACAACCTACAAAAAATGCTGACTAAAAAAAAGATTTTCGCGAAAATGATGAATTGTTGGGTTGAAGAAATCGGATCTCTTACAACTCGGATAAAAATATTGTGATTTTAGACTGTTGAAATAATAAAATATAATAATATGACACCTAAACATATAATTACTACTACGATAGGTACATTAGGAAATGTGGCAAGCAGATTTATATTATTTTTAAGTAGATATTTTATTAAATAATTATATTATGACTTAATTATGTATAATATTATATTTAAATGGGTCATGTTTATACTTGTTTATACATTAGATATTTAATGTTCAAAACATTTTCAATGATTAACATACTATTTATATTTTATTTTACTTATTTTATACATAACGTACATATTATGACATTATAATTTATTGAGTACCTAACTGAACAACATTGCAATTTATATAAAATCTAGATCAGCGAAAACAAGTATAGAAAAATAAAAAACAAACGGACATACTTCGCACAATGGGTGGGCCACTGTTATAGATTTAAAATCGGGAAGGTAGAGGGGAAATTGAATGTATATCAGTACACAATGATAAATCATTGATAACGAAAAACAATTCTGAGCGGAGTTCAGTTGTACATGTATTGAAACGTCGTAATATTTACGATTTTAAAGTATTAAATTTCGTATGTTTTCCCGTTTTTTCTATGAGTTTTCCCATTTATTATGAAAACTCGTGAAATATTAAAAAATTGCCTCACCAAAGTACCTACCAAACCAGTCGGATTTCCTTTCAGAAGAAGTATTACACTTGAAAATCGGGGGAAAATTTCTGACAAAAAAGTTGTTCACAGATAAGAAAAACTTTAATGTAAATGTAATACACATTACTAGTTCCGCTCAGAATCAAAAATTTCAGAAAGAATGAAATTATATTTTTTAATTATCGTTATAACTAAAGACCGGATTTTTGTGCAATTACACCTAAAAACGTGCAATTAAAATGCTGAAATCTGCAAAATCGTGTAAAAACAAATTTTTATTTGTAATTAATAATTATGTAACAAATTTTTCATTATAAGTATCTTAAATTTTATTTTTATTTCTATTTATTTTAGATCCCGAGCGTAGCGAGAGAGCTATTGGTTTTATTAAGATGTTAATTTTTTTTTTTTCTAGTCTGCGGATACGCTTTTTCCTAGTAATTATTAAGATGTTAATTTTTTTTTTTTCTAGTCTGCGGATACGCTTTTTCCTAGTAAACTGATACGCTTTTTCCTAGTAAACTTGCTCCAATTTTTACGTGTAGCAATTTTTCTAAAAGCTCAAGTTGTTTAGATTGTACATTAAATATCATTTTTCTTTCGACGCCATTTTTTAAATGAAATAACTTAAGTGGGAAAAAACAGAAAAACGTAAAAATTCACGATTTCATAATTTTATAAAAAAAACGGACGTTTTCTATCAGAAAAAATGATTTAATCGAAAAATCAGAAGACACCTTTTTTTGTTGCTTTTTTGATTTATTTTCTTACGATATCATCGCTACTTTTGAGCTTTTAAGGAATTTTAATTTTTGCGTTTTTTTACAGTAATTTGGTTACAAATACACGTAGAAACTTGAAACTTGTTAATGATACTTGTATTGGACTTACCTAGGTGTGGTAAAATTTCCAAAATCAACGGAGGACTTTTTTTTTTGAATCAAATTTAAACGAAAATCGTAAAAAAAAGTACGGCATTTCAAATTATGTATTACCGAACTGCGCTCGGAATCGTCTTTCGTCAAGCAATGGTTTATCGTTGCTTACAGATATAAGTGTAATAGACTTATGTATCCTACCTTCCCAATTTCTCACCTACAACTGTGGCCGCTCCCATCCCCAGTATCAGCCCTTTTTTATAATATTGTTATTTATTAGTTGGCATTTAGAATATTTGATTCAAATTTATTATCATGCACATCTGGGATGAACTGGGATTAACTGGGATTTCAAGGATATGAAATATTCAGATATGTTAGAGACCCACAATCCAGTTCCTTATCAAAAGGCGGTGGCGTTCTTATTGCTGTCCGGAATTGTTATACATCAAATCCCATAGTATTATATAATATTAGTATTGAATTATTATTTGTTACTATCCAATTACCAAAACGTTCTCTTATTATTACCTCAGTTTATATTCCTAATCGGTCTACAATCAATTTATTTAATGAATACTTTGATATAGTTGAATCTGTTTACAACAAACACCCTAATGCGGATCTATTATTACTGGGTGATTATAATTTACCATCTGCTAACTTTTCTAATAGTGAATCTCATTTTAGTGATAAATTGTCTTATTTAAATTTGTGTCAATGCAATCATGTATCTATTATAAAATCCGTAATTCTCGATTATGTAATTTCCAATTATTTATCCGTGTGTGTCGAACAAATTAACTATCCTATTATGCCTGTTGATGATTTTCCCCCCCCCCCCCCACTATCTATAACCTACAATTGTTTAGTATCTTCAAATTTATATTTACAATTTACGATTATGTCTCTAATTGGAATTCTGGTGATTACAGCAGCATTATAAGTTACTTAAGCAATATTAACTGGTTCAGTTTAATTGATTCTAACTCATGTGTTAATAATGATATCGATTTTTTATTTACCAATATTAATTACGCTATAAATCGATTTATACAAAAAGTTCGCAGACAAAAATTATTAACATATCCTATTTGGTTTAGCAAAGAATTAAAAATGTTAATAAAACGTAAACAAAATTCCCATAATATTTATAAAACTTTAAAAACACCAAATTCTTACGTAAATTTTTCTAATCTTCAAAGTAAAGCTTCTTAAAAGAATGCTCATTTATATTGTCACCTATTATAACTTTTTCATTTAACAAATCATTAAAAACTGGAATTTTTCCTAACATATGGAAATTTTCATTTGTATCTCCAACTTATAAAAAAGGGAATAAATCATTAGTTACAAACTACAGGCCAATTTCTAAAATTTCAATACTTCCAAAGATATTCTCTAAATTGGTTAACAAACAACTATTACCTTTATGTGAACGTTTATTTTCAAACGAACAACATGGATTATGTCCACGGCAATCATCGTTAACCAACCTAGGCATTTTCAAACAATTCATCTTAGAATCAATTAATATACAAGCTCAAGTCGGTGTTATCTATACGGACTTTGAAAAAGCGTTTGATAGAGTTAGTCATTCTCTTTTATTAATTAAACTAAAAACATTTGGTTTCGACAATCCGTTACTTTTATTTTTTAATTGGAAATTTCCGTAAATAAATTATTATCTCTAAGTTCTTTTCTGTAAAATTATGTCTTCTCTCACTTAATATATGTTTTAATTGTAAAAACACACGTTCTACATCGACACTTGTCATCGGACATTGTTTTTAGCAGCTTATTTAACATACGAGTATTTAAATTAAAAAATATTAACTTTAAAATTGTTTTATAAAAAACGAATTGAATACGGCTGCTGTAGTACTGTATGTGTATAATATGTAATCGACAATCGTAGCAGTATCGTCGTTATCTTAATTTCGTCGAATTATATTATATCGATATAATATATATAATAATATTATTAGATAAAAAAGTCCAATACTTCATATAATAACATAATGTAACAACGATAAAGCAACATAAATTCCAAAATAATATATGTTAATAATAGATGTTTTAACAGATTATAGAATACACAAGTAACTGAAACGTATAATTTTGTGCAAAATAAATCTTTCTTTAAATTAATCTAGATTTTATGATTTGGGTTTGTAGCTTGTTTGTATAAGATTTAAAATACGCCATAAAAATATGCAATTGCACCAGATTTCGGTCTTTAGTTATAAATATTTATTATTTTAAATGTTTAGCAATACTATGTGTTAGCACACTCATTTTCCTGTATACAGGCGTGCACAGATGTTCTTGGCAGGGGGGAATATTGCATTTTTTTAACAACAAATTAAACACTTAATAATAATTGGTAAAATGGAGAACTAAACAGTTAGGTGCCTACATATTTTATATTTGTTTTATTTGTTTTATTATTGACTATAATATGGTACCTTTATAATTATACATGTTGTCCCACGAAGATCTGACAGATGCAAATATTTTTGTACTGTTCAATATTTTTAAGTTTTTTTTTTTTTTTAATTCCGAGTGGAGCGAAGAATGTATTGGTTTTACAATGATGTTTATTTTTTTAAATTTTTTTTTTATGTGAAGACTTTCTACTAAAAAGCATACTCCGTTTATCAAGTATAGCATCTTTTCTGAAAGGAATTAATGTTCTTTAGGTGGTACCTTAAAGAGGTTATTTTTGAAAATCTCATTATTATTCAAGATAATGAGGAAAACCTCTTTAAGTTAAAAAATATTGAAATATTTAAAATAAGGTTGTCATTGGCAACTATTTTTATTTATTTTTTGTTATTATTAAGTTTTTATTATTTTAATTTTTTTTAAACAATCAATGTTGTCATAGAAACGCACATTGTTATAATCATTTTACTATTATATGATATATACCATTTATTGTATTGTTGGCAAAGCAACACTATCAACTGAATTCCGCTCAGAATCGTTTTTTCGTTAGCAATAGTTTATCGTTCCTTACAGATATTCATTGAATTCCCGTCTGTATCCTATCTTCCCAACCTCACCCCTACAACAGTGGCTACACTTCACTGCACTCGTTAATTTCTACAATTTGTTGAAGTTAACAAAAAATTTAAAATTTTTAAACTGTTACCAAATAGTTTATGGTACCTGAATATTAAATTGAGTTAAATAATAATATTGTAATATCAAATATTATCGTATTACTAAAAGTACTTATACTTATGACATGTTCATGGAAAAATTGGTAAATTCTGAGGTAGGTAAATCAGTTGACATTTTTCTATTTATTTAAATAATAATAATATTTATTTATTAAAGATGAACGGGTGTGAGCCCAGGTTATAATTATTGTGTAAAGTTGACAAAATACAATACATATTATTAATGTGGAATAAAGACAAATGTAAAAGATAAAAAAAATAAACATAAACACAAAACAAAAATGAAATAATATGGTAGCATAATTTTAGCAAGAAGAGAAGGGGAGTCAACAGAGCTTATTAAGAAAAATAAGATTATGAGTACGGCGACGGTCAGCTAAGGAAGATTAAGGAGATGGAGAAGGAGAGTATAATCATGAGGGGTGCAATTAACATTCAAAGTATGTTTCACGAAGCAAAAGAATTTCCGCTGAACTCGTTTGAGTTATAAACAGCCGTCAGCTGTTTGAAGATCCCGAACAACAGAGCCATATTCGAGAATAGGTCGAACCAGTGCACAATAGATGGATTTAAGAGACCGGTTGAGTTTAAAATCATTAGATATTCTTTAGACGAAACCCCAATACCTTTAAGGCTTTATATGTAATTTTATTGATGTGAGTACGAAGACAAAGAGAGGAAGTAAAAATAAAGCTAAGATCAAAAATGCTAGAATCAACAGGAATTAGGTTGGAGCCATTCAAAGTGTAAAAATAAATAGCATTTAAACCAGCATTTATTAATATTTAATGATAGACCGAGAGTATCAGGCCAGGCAGAGAAATTATTGAGATCGTCTTGCAATTTGAGACAATCCTCAATAGTGTTCAATTTTAGGAAAATATTATCTATATTAGTGGCAATTTTTATTACTAAGTATAACTTTGCTTACGATGAATCTCGTATTAAATTTTTTTCAAATATTTCTGCTCGGCTAAAATAATTTTATCCATATACATATTACAAATAAAAACTAAAGAAATGTCAAATAAATGGCTGAAAAATTGGTAGAATATTTTTTAAATTTAACTTATAACTTAACCCCTTTAATTCCTTGTGACCAAAATCATACCTGGACAAAATCCTTAAAATAAAAATAAAAAATGCAATTCAAGTATAAATATTTGTAGTCCTTAATCTTACGAATAATATTTAAAAAAAAGACGGACATACTCGCACATGGGTGCAGCCACGGTTTTATGTAGGAAGTTGAGAAGGTAAGCTACAGACAAGAATCTAATGTATATCTGTAAGCATCGATAAACTATTTCTAACGAAAAAACTATTCTGAGCCAAGTTCAGTTGATAATGTTGCTTTGTCAATTATACAATATATGATATTATGCCATATTATGGTAAAATGATTAACAATGTACGTTTCCATGACAACAATGATTGTTTGAAAAATATTAAAATAACAAAAAATAAATTTCCAATGACAACCATATTTTTAATTTTTCAATCTTTTCAACCTAAAGAACCAGGTTTTCCTCATTATATTGAATATGGTAATATATATTATTCAATGAGAATATCAAAAAATGACCTCTTTGAAGTACCACCCAGAGAACATTTCCTTTCGTAAAATATTGTATATTTATTAAGTGGGAAAAACTGTGGAAAAATTGTCTACTATCAATTTACTATGATTTAGGTATAAATAAAAATATATTACGACCTTTTTCAACCATGCGAACAATTTTTCTACCAACAATTTCGCTCCAATTTCCAATGATTGAACTTTTTCTAAAAGAAAATTGGACTGGTAAGTCATTTTGGCAAGATTATTTTTTTGATTTTCTCAGGAGTCTTCCTAATAAATGGGAAAAACAGGAAAATAGGTAGAATAATAAACAAATAATATTAAAGAAACAATATAATGCACATGTAATTATTTTTGCACAATATGTCATATATATTGTCGACAGCAACACTATCAACCAAATTCCGTTCACTATCGTTTTTTGTTAAAAATGGTTAATCATTGTTTACAGAGATACATTAAATGACCTATAGTAGTGACTGCACCCGTCCCCATTATCCTTGGATAGCTTTTGAATTTTGTAAAACATAGGTTATATAGATAAAAAAAAATTATTTTTCTGACGGTGAAAGTTGGGCAAAGCAGACATTTTTGTCACGGTATTAGAAAAAAAAAAAAAAATTTTAAATCCAATAGGTACATTTTTCGCTACATGATTGTTCCCACTATATATTTTCCATATAATTCTATCTCACCCTTGAGAGAATATTTATTGAAATTTATGAATGAGAAATGTTTTATTCTCTTTTCAATCAAAGAATTTCCAAGATCTGGAATCATCTTCCATTATTGCATTTGTACTTATTTGTACTTAAGAATAATTGATAATTTGTATAACAAAAAATATCATCACACGGCCCCTGGGAGGGGTGATCGCCCCCTTCTTCCCACGGATGCGTCTGGTTTATTTTCTTTTTTTTTCTACTATCGAAGTGAAGTCAATACCTCTTATGTATACTTAATTCTTATGCTATCTTTTCTCTTGCACCACTCCTCATTCACCGGTAAAGAAAGATGAATCCAAAATTATAATTAGACCTAAGATTCATATGCATAGGTATATGCTATATTTATTCCTATTTCCGAATAAACAATTTTTTAGAAAAGACTAAAAAAAGCAGTCTGAAAATGTTATGTCCATTTATATCTTTGACCGAATAATAAAAAAACAAAATCAAAAATAGTGAAACTGCAGTTGTACATTTCCGCTTCTTTTCCCGACTATTAAGAAAACCATAAGGCACATAAAAAAAAGACTTCCTTAATGCACCAACTAGATGAAATTTAATTTCAAAAAATATATCTGGTAAACTTATAAGGTTGCTCGGTATTAGCGTTTTCTATGTCTAAAACTACTGTTTCCAATTCTAACGATACGAGGTGAAAATCATCTCGATTTTCATTTTGAAAACATATTCGGATTGTCTATAACATGTACGAAAAAACGGCCGAGTAACAATTTTTATTTTTATTATTTGAAATTCAATAAATCTAGTCTCTATTTAAAAGTTTGCGGAATTTTAAACTTAATTATTTAATCAATTAAATACAATTTTTAAAATCTGCCTCGGCCGATATCTGGTACATGTAGTGAAGAATTAGAATACTTTTTCAGAATCTAAATCGAGGTAATATTTGCAGCCTACTGTTGGAATTAGAATCGTAGATTTGAGTGAAAAATAAACATTTTTCTTACTAATAAAATAATTGTCTTCTGACGAGTGCGTGCAAGTGTCCACCGTACCTCCGCGCGCGCTGCATGCTATATCTATAATATTATTGTTGCCGCATTCCTAAAACAAAAATCAGATAATGATCCTATATATAATTTAGTACGTTTATATTTATAAAGGTTTTATACTGTTCATAGCACAAAAATTATACACAATTATGTAACCGCGAATTGGTTTAGTTATTCGACACTCATACAATTAAATATTTTGTTATTTTGTTTTATTTTATTGTGCATTAAAAATAAGTTCCAAATATAAAGCGAAAACTATAGTTCTCTTATCCAAAAAAAAAAAAAAACAAAGGTTTCATAAATAATATAAGGGGTCTTCATACCCTTTCTTCTACCATTAATCAGCCGAATAATAGCGAAGAAAATTGATAAGTATTTTTATAGAATATAATAGAAAAATATGTTTTGGTTGAACATATTTTTATATTTTTAACTAACATAAAAAAAAGGTTATTTTTTTTTTATGTTTATCACCTTAGAACTCCGTCATTTATTAACCTATTTGGACAGTTCTTTTTTTTATATACTTTTAAATTGGTCCCATAGACATTTCGTTAAAATTAATTTAGTAGTTTGGTTTTTTTATTAAAATATTAACCAAATTAAAAAAACACAAAAAGTTACTACTCTAAAAAGAAAAAAAAGAAAAGTCGATACCAAGCCTGAAACAAAATAAAACTTGAAGATATAATATAAAAATACAGCTTTTGTCAATACCAATAATGAGTTACTCGTATATTAGTTATATTCCGGTATGTAGCACTGACCTCAAACCGGTAGCACATACTAATAATTGATTCGAGTAAGATTTCTGTTAGCAAACATGAATTGTAAAAATTTAAAATAAAAAAGCATTTAAAAATAAATTTGTAAATATTTTGAAAATTTTGCAGTAAATTTGTCCTTTTCGTTTTTTTTAGGTTTTTTCCTATTATTATGAAAACCACTCGGAAAATTGAAAAATTATTTTTATTCTTATCAACTAGATCCAAAATGCGACAAAAAAGATCTTTTGTCATTTTTTGATTGAAACAAGTTTTCCAGAAGAAAAATTGTTCAGACACCAAAAAAAAATCATAATAATAACAATACATTCCTAAAATTTAAAAACTAATACATTCCTCGCTGGGTAAGTTTAGAATTTACAAGTAATACGGTCATGCTATAATAATATTGCACACCGTGGCCATTATTTAAAATTTTTAAACTAGCGGCTAGTTACTATAGCCCATAACGCTCGCATAGTAGTAACGAATTCATAGACTCTTCATTTGTTGAAATTGCTTTACTACTTACATCAACTACTGAGAACGAAATTCATAGATTCCATAGTAGTTGGTAATAATCTGGTAAAACCAAAATAAATAATAATATTATAATAGTATTATGATTATTGTATACAAATTGTAATAAACCCAAAAATAAATTTGAGATAACGATGCGACCTACTACCTATTACGATGATCATACGGTGGGGAGCGGTGCCCTCATTGAACAGACTTGCATTAATGATCGTTTACGACTAACACGAGGATACCGGGCGGCGACTGTGAAATTAGGAATTGCCTAAATTTTGCTCCTTAGAAAACGCTACTGCCGAGGCCTCTTAATAGACAAGAATAAAACTCATCTTAGTAAAACTCTGTATATTAAAATCAATACATTCCTCTGCAGTGATTAACATTTAAAATGTAACAAATAAATTTAATTTAAATTGTGAATTCACTTTAAAATCACCTTGTACATAGGTATAAATAATGTTTTTAACGTTCAATAATTATTTTAAATTATTATAAGTTATGGCGTTGAGAAAGTTTTGAAATGTATATAGTTAAGAAAATGATTAATTTGTATTTGACATGGCTACACCTAATATCCGTTAACCAGTTCAACTAGTTATTCCGCAGTTTCGGGCATAATTTGGATTTAATTTAATGCATGTACAAGGTATTTAAAAATAATAAATAATTAAATAATAAAATAATAAATATAGTACAAATTTGTTGATTAAATATTAAGTAATTTTAATCAAGTTTTACTACTTACCTGTATTATAGTTTATTATAGATTATTGTTTTATTTATGAATAATCTGGTGAATAATGAATAGTTTTGTGGTGTACAATTTAATAAGATGGACATACTCGGTACTGTTCAGTGGCGTAGCCAGGATTTCTCAATGTAGGGGGGGGGAGCAATAAAAAAACCTTATACAAAATTAAAATTTGTATTGTTTTCACTAATTTGTATACTTATCATATGACCAGATAAAATATGAAATACATCCTGCTGGAATGAATAAAATATCTAACAACTCTTCATTTTAATAATTTATTGTTAACAGCTTAAATAGTTAAAAGGTAAATATTCTTAATGAGTTATTTACCTACTTCCTATGGTTTATAATATAATATTATTATTGTGTTAGAACAGAAAATGTATGTTCCCAGGTAGCGGATGTTACAGGCAGAGTAGCAAATAAATGAATCTTCTTTATTTTTGAAAAAAGCTCTCTGCAGTGTTGAATTAATTCTACAGCAGTCTGGTCAATTTTCTTTCATTTTGTCCAATTTCTCCATATGAATAACTCTGCTTTCAGACATAAATTCATACTAATTAAAAAGTAATTTTCGTGAATAGAAGCAGCAGCTAAGATTGATTGGTCGTCATAATCTGTTAAGTTAGAAGGTATGAGTCCTTCTAATAGTATAATTGTTTCTAGTATTTTATCAAATCTTGAATTACTCATTTATTAATTAGATTATCAAGAAATGGTATAAATATTGCTATTTTATAATATTCTTCTGCGTCTTGAGCATTTATATTGTTTCGGGCAGTTTGTCTCTCAACGGCTCGAGGCATGCGTATTTCAACGTCTAGTTCAGAAGCATTGTGGTAACATTTTTCATTATTTCCTTAAATAATTTTTCAGCATTTGATCGGATAGCTTCTAAAGCTTTTCCGACAATCATTACATTATTTAAAGCTTTACATCAGTCTTGTTGTTTGCTTTGTAATACCTTAGACTTAATTGTTTAATATACGAGAAGCAAGTAACAACTACATCAAGACAAACAAGAAAATCGTTCTTGGTTATAGCACTCGCATATAACGACACTTTTGTTGAGGTTTCAGGATTTTTATCATATTTTTCAAGATGTTCTAGAGTAGAAATATAAATGTAAAGTTCTTTGAAATTAATATGTAAATAATGTCGATCGACCCTTCGTGTTTCACAAAGATTTTTCAATTTTGTTTTTTTAACCACTATTATTGGAATTATTATTTTTATCAAAACTACTACTTTTATGTAATTTGGATATACCTTCGTCAATAAAAGGTTTTAATCTATCTATATGTTTTGCTGAACAAAAAAAAATATACCAACTGAGCTAATTATACCATTCATATTTTTAATATAAGATATCTCATGCCTTAGAGAGACAAAGGTTTAAAGAATGACTGAAAAAGTATGTATAGAAAGCCAACAATTATTCATCTAATATAAATGCTTAATTACAGTACTTATTATTTATATATTTATTAATGAATTATTCATATTATCATAGGTACTTACGTATTCATAGATATAATATACATTTATGTATGGATGTACTTATATAAAATCAATAAAAATAAAAATACGTCCGATGGAAGAGCCATGGCCTCTCTACCTCTCATTGGCTACGCCACTGGTACTGTTGTGTATAGGTGAGAAGTTGTGAAGGTAGGATATAGAGAGGAATTTAATGTATATATCTGTATGCAACGATTGATCGTTTCGCTCAGAATCTAATAATTAATTTTTAATAATTTATTACTATTATTCTAAATCATTGTATTAACAAACAATTTAATAATTCGTGGTGAAACTTAAATAATATTTTATAAATTATTAAGATATATATTATGTATCAGCACCTACAAATTAATATTAACAGTTTTTAATAGTCTGATAAAAATGATATAAACACTTCAACAATATTTTAAAATTAAATTCAAAATATTCGTTAAATACAAATTTAATACTATGGTTATATACATACCTATATAGTTATTTACCTTTTACTTAATGGGTAATACCATTAATTATAAATACCATAGATAGCCCACTGCGATAGAAAATACGCTTCGCCGATAATAATTGGATAACATTTTTGATAGATGGCAATAAAAGTTCCACAAATGAATAAATTGGCATTTTATTTTGGCTGTTGTGTACGATATTATTATAGTATGGATAAAGTGCGGGGAAATCTAATTTTGTCTGTTCATCTCTAAACCGGTTCGACAGGAATATAATCCGCACGCCTTGTATTCACTATTTTGCATATTGGTCGTATAAATTATAATGATACTAATTATATTATTATTGTATCCAATATTTTAGTTTTTTTACAATTTATTTTGTTATTGACTACAGATGGTTTAAATATGTTGTTAAGTTATTATGTATGTTTCCCCGTAGATGTATCTTTTTTATTTACCTCCATAAATACTACAATACTGCGTTATAAAAAGTTTGATAATAATACATTTTGGATTTTTTATACACACGAACATAACATGTTACTTATCAAAAATATATCATTATGTCATTATGTAGGTAAATAGCTGTATTGTTCATATATGGTTTGTTTTTTATTTAAATTATTGTGTACGACATTTTACTTCGAATATATTTGCATCACGTCATGCTACAACATTGAATTATATTTTTTAACAGTTTGCTTTTAAACATGTTCGGTGGTGATAAACGCATGTACTTCAATTGCTTTAATACACGGATAACAAGCAACAATACTTATCATGTATGTCCATCAAATCTCGAAATATCAAAAAAATGGATAATTAACTCTGGTATTTTTTTCATAGAGCATGGAATTAAAATGTTTCATCAATGGTAACACCTACATGTAAATTTTTTATTACCGGTATTATTAACGTAAAAACATTTGTATTTTCTTTTACTGCCATTTGTTTGAACTTCTAAGAAAAATGTATAAATCATATTTATTTAATTACTTATAATTCGTGGACATACTTAGCAAATATAACAACTTGACTCTCTAACCTTACAAATATTAAATAAAAATAATTACCAGGTTTTGGTAATCCAGTAATATAATAACGTATACATTAAAATAAATACCCCAATGTTTAAATATTACTATATTCTGTTATTTTAGATTCCGAGCATAGCGAGAGAGCTATTGGTTTTAAAATGCTGTTAATTTCTTTTTTTTCTTTATTCTAGTCCGTGGATACGTTTTTTCCTAGTAAACTTGCTCCGATTTTTACGTGTAGCAATTTTTCTAAAAGCTCAAGTTGTTTAGATTGTATTTTAAATGTCATTTTATTTTCGACTCCATTTTTTTAAATGAAAGCATTTGAGTGGGAAAAAACAAAAAGAACGTACAATTTCACGATTTCATTATTTTATAAAAACATGGACGTTTTCTACCTGAAAAAATGATTTAATCGAAAAGTTAGAAAACACTTTTTATGTTGGCTTTTTGATTTAATTTCTCCGCCAAAACTTTTAAGCCACTTTTGAGCTTTTAAGGAATTTTAATTTTTGGGATTTTTTTTGCTTTTATTCGCTTATAAATACACGCAGAGACTTGAAACGTGGTAATAATATTTATATTAGACTTACCTAGATGTGGTAAAATTTCAAAAATTATCAAATAACTTACACGAAAATCACAAAAAAAAATACGGCATTTCAAATTATGTATTACCGAACTGCACTCGGAATCGTCTTTCGTCAAACAATGGTTTATCGTTACAGATATAAATGAAATAGCTTTATGTATCCTACCTTCCCAACTTCTCACCTACAACAGTGGCCGCTCCCATCCTCAGTATCAACACTTTTTGTTTATAGTTATTCTATTTGTGAAATATTACCTGCATTGGGTGATTCCACCATTACCTGAATGGGTTTTTGAGAGGTTCAAAATTTTAACATTTGTTAACTGCTATTCTTTGGAATATTTTTACATTATTTAAAGTTTTTTTCAAATATATTTTCTGAATATTGTGATCATTGACCCAGAAAATTACCTATTTGAGGTACAAAAAAATATACTACTGAACTTGATACTTAATTAAGTATATATAAAAATGGATTACTTTATACAAAATTGTATGAAATAAAATAAAATAAAATTGGAAAATTGTCAAGGTCTTTGATTATAACTTTTATAGGTAGGTATTAAAAATTTCTTCTGAAATTCATTGTTTGATTTCATGGAAATAAGAATTTGTTTATTGTAATATAATTTTATCGTTTATATTGCTGATGCATAATAATATAATATATTATAAACTTTGTTTTAATGTATGCATAATATTTTCTATTCATGTGGTACCTACCTATTATTATAGTGTTTAAATTTAATTTCTTAATTTTAACATATTATGTAATATATAAAACTAAAATTAAATCAAAACTATTAGTCTGGACAATTTATTTGTATACATTCCACGTCAAATTCAAATTTATTTTCAGAATTATTATTCTTATCGCTTCATTAGATACATCCATTAGATTACAAGCAAATTGGTCAAAATATTGTTATGTTGCGCGTGCGTATATGTGTTCGTCAACAGGTATTACGGTATCTACGACTATCCCTTTCGTAATTATTTTTCAACTATGCTACTCATAAATTAACATAAAATTAACTTATATTGACACATTATTTCTATATTGTAAACAAAATAGTAAATTCTTTGAAAAACACTAAATAAATTCATTTTTTTCTACCTGATAATATATTAATTTACCTACCAATATGGCCTATTATTAGATAAATTTAGGTTAAATAATTTTGAGTATTTTGAACTATATTCAATCTTACGGTTTTTACTTTTTACTTTCTCGTTTTGGAGTCTTACAAAATTGAAGCAAATGAGTTATTAGTTTATAATAATAAGTATTTAAGTATTTAATTATTTAACATATTTGGATGTTCGATTTATTCTGAAATCACATACATATGTTTAAATAAATCTTAATTGTGCAATTTTTTTTTAAATTTTGATTAATGTGGTAGATATAAGAACTTCTCTTATACAAATTATAATTTCTATGTTCCGTCCGGCTGTAGTTTTGTTCGAGCGATTAACTGTAAATGAATCCACGGCTATAAATTATTATTAGCGTAACATTTAAATTTTAAATAGCTCACCTATACGTTTCTTACGTAGCACTTTCAAATTGTAATCATTGTGGTTAGCATAATTTGAAATACATTTGTGATTATTGTCCTACCAAAACTTGTTATTTTTTAATGAAAGCATCAACTAAATGAATATAATATTCGGTGTTCATTTATTTTTATTCATTTTCAATGTTAAACTGCAGAATATACAGATACTGGATTCTTGTTTTATTTATAGTTTACTTCGTAGGAAAAATTAAACGAACAATTATAAATATTTACTGTACAACTAATGTCTACTTTGTATATAAGGCTTTTTTGAAAATTTTATCTTTACAAATTTTGATCTTGGAATCATTATACTTATTACATATATATAGCTTTATTAAAATATTGCGAAATTATAGAATTATTTTTTCAAAACCCAAAAGTATAATAAAGGTGACTATTATAACTTCGGTTTAATCCATTTTCAAGTTACACAAATAACAAATGTAAAAAAAACTGACATATTCGCACTATGGGTGCAGCCACTATTTTAGATGAGAAGTTAGAAAGGTAGGATACAGAGGGGAATTTAATGAATTTGTAAGCAAAGATAAGTCATTGCTAACGAAAAACGATTCTGAGTGGAGCTCGATTAATGGTATTGCTTTTACAACAATATATATGGAAATGCAATATATTATAGTAAAATAAATATATACCTATATGTACATATATATTGAAACAATTCGTAACTAGATTTGTTCCACATGATGTTTACTCAATTGATTTTCGTCAATATTTGATATTAAAATTACTTAATAAAAAAAATTCTACATTAAGCTCAAATTTTTTTTTTTGGATCACAAAGTATTTCTTTTAATGAACCTCCTGTCAAATTTTTAAACACTTATGTTCAGCTTAACAATTTTACTACAGAATAACTACTAACCTAACCTACCGAATAAAAATGACGTACAAAACTCCCAAAATTAAAATGTCTATAAAAAGCTCAAAAATGGCTAAAATGTTTTGAAATTTTTACTGTGTCTTTAAAAGGCAAATTTTATTTTTCTGTTTAAATTTCAAGTCTCTGCAAATATTTTTGACTGAATTGCGAAAAAATTAAAATTAATAAAAACATAATTTTCGTAAATTTCCCGTTTTTCTTACGTTTTATCTGCTTGGAAAATTAAAAAAGTGATCTCCCTTAAGTATCATCTAGACAATATTTTCTTTCAAAAATGGTGCCACACTTACATATCGGATGAAGATTTCTGGTATACATTTTTGTCACATAAAAAATAAAATAAATAAATAAATAAAAACATTTTTTAAAAAACAATATATTTTTCGCCACACTCAGAATCTAAAAACTTTCTAAGTACAATAGTAAGTTACATCTGAATATCAAAAAGAGACTAATTAAAATATATACATGGAGTATCGCAGTATATGAATGTGAAACATATGGTTAATTAATGATGGTGGAAAGAAAAAACTTTCGAGATGTAGTGCTGGAAGCGTGTGGAAAAGATAAGTTGTATGGAGAGAAAAACAAATGAAGAGGTACTTGTAGAACTATGGGAGAAAAACGTACTCTTGTTCCAATCGCATCTATGTATGCTCAGATGTGATAAAACAAGACGCTGGAAAATTGTGAGACATGCCCTCTAAGACACTCAGAAGAGTTTGTACAATATTAGAGGGTATGATTAAAGGGAAGAAAACTGCATGACGTCCTCGAAACTCTTGTATAGGACAAATTAAATGCGAGGCAAAAGTCAATACTTTTAAGAAGCTTAAAGAAAAGTCGAACAATCGGTCGGATTGGATAATTGATGTTGTGAACCAACCTGTTTCAACAATACAAAAACCAATATAAATATGATATGTAAAAATAAAATTGCAATTCTATAATGTCTTAATATATTAATCAAGTAGGTATAAAATATACCTTTATAATAATCTAATAAAACTTAATGGCAGGTATATTCTACGTTTCAACATCGTCTTTTTATTATGTACGTGTATTTAATCGCATTAAAATTGTAGGAAATATTGTTTAAGTAATTTTAAATTTATTAAGTAACTACTATAGTTTCAGTGTTTTACTATTATCAGTTTACCGAATTAAAAAATTGTTAAATGGTCAACCACAAACATTTGGAAAGAAAAAAATATAAACATTAAATATTTAAACAATTAAAATATTATTAGAAACAAAGTAACAAGTTTATATCAATTTAAAATTATTGTAACATTTCCTGTACATAATATATATGTGTGTTTCAATAATCTCAAATGCATCACATTTATTGGATTTGATATATTTTTTATATTTTAAATTACTAACGACCCATAACCACCTATTCGTCACATTTGATATACGGACTCAATGATCTTGCCATTAAAGTATCAAACGGTTTTCTCCAATTAGTTCTCGTTCGTTATCACATTATTCTTACATTTTTTTCATTTATTTATTATACCATCAAAATCTTTACATCTATCACTGTTATTATTTGGAATTTAATTGAATTGCAATTGTGTTACTATAATATTTATAGTATTTATAGTATACTAGTATTGATATCACTAACTATTAATTATTATTACTTGTTAAAATCATCTTAATATTGTATTCTTTACTCTAGTGATGGGAACAATCGAATAATTTCAACAATCGAGAAGTGAGTAATCGAGAGGTTATAACAATCGAGAAATTCACTCGAAAAAATCTCTCGGTCAATTCAGTATTTCATTACACTCAGCTTCTCGATACTCTGTACAACTCGCATTATTCAATACTCGCCAGAGGCTTGACAATAATTGTCAAGCTAATTATTAGCTCTTCAATTAATTATTATTACCTATTAAACATTTTAGAAAAGAAATATAATAACGTGTAGGTAGGTACCTACACGTTATTCACAATGTTAGTTGTTGTACAACAACTAACATTACTAATTTGCATTCAATTGTTTTATGTTTTAGATTAAGACACCAGTCGATTTAATTTCGTGAGAATTACTCGCCGATTATTTTATCACTCTATTGATTTAGTTATCACTCAACTTCAGTTGATTTCGATACCTAGTGCGTCACTCGAGAATTATCGAAATAATCTAGTAAATCTAACAATCGGGTATTTCGAGTAATTTCTCTCGATTGTTCGTTCCCATCACTACTTTACCCGTGATAAGTGTTTGTAATGTATTTATATTGTTACCGCCCGTCAATCTGCAGAAACGTGAATAATACGAATCGCATAAAATGCATGCCATTGATGGAAAAACCCCGTATTTGGCAACCCTAAATCATAACCACCTATTATAATATTATTCCTATACCGACTGCCAACATCTCGCCTTGGGTCGTAATAATATTGTCGCATTATTATTGACGAGCGGACGTTACTAAATCATGCGTAATAATAATACATGCCTATACCTAATAATGAAAACGGGTCTGCAGCGGGTCCTGCTGCGGTCGAAATCGAACGGCGCTTTGTTTTAGAGATACACCGTGACTACGTGTTAGCCAATTAAACAATGCACACCGAAAACCATAAAAGACACACAGCTCTGATATTTAAAATTATTTCAGAACCTTGGGGTCTAATAACACTGTATAATAATATTATGTACTCGCTATACGTTAAAAAACGATGCACACAACACGGCCGCCGTGTCACAATAAATTTCTTCTACGGTCGGCGGCGGCGCGGGTATACGTGCGACCACTGCGGTGTACCTATCGATTTCACAACAGCGTTGTTTCCGTATGTAACCGATAATGTATTTTGTTATCTCGATCGTTGTCTTTTTATAATATTATTATGCGCCATCGACTTCGTCGTTTGTATAAGAGCGTGCGGTTTTCACGTTGGCTAAACAAGGCCGGTGTACCCATGTTATTATAATGCCCATGTAACACAGTATAATATCTTTATAGGTATTGTACAATACACAAAATGTACAATAAAATATTGAATGGCTACACAATTTGTTTCTACTCTGCTATACCTAGCAGTGTGTTCTATGGGTTATACCATACTCATTATTAACATTCGAAGATACACTTTTGTTTGTTTTTTTTTTTTTTTTTTGTTATTATAAACATAATATTATATAGATTTATACGACAGGGGCGTTGCAGACAAGACGCATTTATTTCGCCTTATATATTGTTGTTTATACGTTTTGTTTTTTTCTTTTTCTAAACCGCAGGGCTTAGAAGTTTTGCAATTCGACACACAATAGATTTATACTAATGTATAAATTATACAAAAGAGATCTTGTTCTAGAATGGATTATACAGGGTGATACATTTATTACGATCTAGCGATTTTCTTGGAGGATTTTAAGTGAATTTGATTTTCGGGGTCTTTTTATTCAAATATGGAATAATTTGAGCTTTATTTCAACACTATTTTCAGATTTTGATCCCTAATCCCTATGTCTTCAATGCAGTGTAATATTTACGAGTGGGTGGGGTCCAGGGATACTGGGTTCAGAGCCAGAGAATCAAATCCGATAAGTGTTCCTGCAACATAGTTGAGTAATGAGCATAAAAATTATACATAATATAGTCAAGTCGTTATGATGATAATATGGTTCCCTGCTGTGGTTATAAATATTAAGAGCGGTGGATGTGATCATAGAGGAGTGTGTCAACAAACAAATTTGAAAATAATGTTAAGGTAAAACTTAAATGTTTCCATAATGATTGAAAAAATAGAAATCAAATTCACTTAAAATCCTAAGAGAAAATCGATGGATCATGGATGAATTAATTACTCTGTATATAGGACAAAACTTTTATATCATACCACACAAATATTTTGTATTGATCTCAAATATTTCTGAAATGTATATTTACATTATGTAGGTACTACCTAAACATATATATATATATGTGTGTGTGTATTATAATTCATCAAAACCGGAAAAATATTGACTTCTGGTTATTTTTCATTTCAAAAAATTGTGTAATATACTTTAAGTAGGTAAATGCCTATTATAGTTATAAAATAGTTTTCTCTATAAACTCTTCTAAAAATTAAACTCAAGACTCCTTTGAAATATTGTATATCTAAACCTACACAATTACACAACCGTACACATCAGCCATGTTGATTAGGTTAGGTTAGGTGGACCCATGTAAAAGTACGGAATAACGGGTTTCCGGAATTTTTATTTTCAAACCGTATTTGTACGGATAACATGTTTCCGGAATGTATACGCTCGGACTGAATATTGTCGGAAAATAAATTATTAATTACAAACCGTATAACATCGAAATCTTGGAAAACGTTTGAACCATTTTTGCATTCTCGGATATACACAACCGGGTGCGTATTACCAAACCTTACAATGTCCGTATATTTTTCTACCTTAACCACGTTTTTAGATTCGTAGTGGAGTGAGGAATGTTTTGGTTTTAAAATGATGTTTATTTTTTTTCCTAGGTATGCCACTGCTCCCCCCCCATCTCCCTAAACGAGCATCAGCTAGTAGATTGGTAATAAAATGAGAATATTTAGAAAACTAGCTCCAACAAGCCTTAATATTTGCTATTAAAAATAACTACAAGATCGTTAGAAAATCAAAATGATTTATTTCAACCGCAAAAATATTAAAGAAGAGCCACTAAAATAAAAGTAATGTAACTCCTTAGAACTATTTATTTCGTAAGTTGTCAAAAAAAAAAAAAAAATCGAAAAAATTCAATATTTTCCGAGATGATGAGTGTCTTATAGGTTCTATAATATAGATAAATCTGTGTAGGATTTATTAATTTCTATAATTTACTAAAGCGATCGGGACTAGCAACGGTACGCGTAACTACCTATATTTTTTCCACGAAATCCAGTTTTTAATTACGGATCGGAAAAACCTGTTTTCCGGAATTATACGTCCATGACTATATTTTTTTTTCGCAATACATACTATCCGGGTTTATAAGGTTTCCGGTTAAATACAGCGAGAGTGTTTACAATCCGGGAACAAACAATCCGTACAAATACGTTTTACATGTTTTTCGATTCGAGATTTTTACCGTCCGTGACTATACGAATCACAAATTTTCTTTTTCTGCAGTTCTACATTTTGTAAAAATACACTTTTATTTTGGAACTATACAATCCGAGCAAATACATTCCGAGATTTTACGGCTTCCCGGTTAGGCGGACATGAAGGTTTGTATTTTACCCTTTTTTTTTTTATTGTCGATAGAAAAATTAGTAAAAATTTAATAATTCTCAAAAATATCTATTATCTAGAGATCACTATTGTTTAACCACGCGTACCGATTATGTACATCAAGGTATTATTTTCATTTGCAGATATTCGCACTGCAGTCGCCATGTCGGAATACCACGGAGACGCCAAATACCGACCGAAACGGTATCAGTCTATTGGCAAGTTGTTCAAAAAGCGTATACCAATTGTTTCTTGGCTACCCAAGTACGATACAGATCAAGCTGTCAGCGACTTGATCGCCGGGGTCACTGTTGGACTAACCGTCATGCCCCAAGGGCTGGCGTACGCTACGCTCGCAGGTCTAGAGCCGCAGGTGAAAAATATTTTTGATTTCGATTAAAAGTACTTATTATACTGTAATAATATTTTCAAATTTGAAATAAAAGAACTTTTTAAGAAAACTCGTTGTTGTAATAATATAGGTTATATGTTAGGTATAGATAGAACTTTATATGTAGCAAAAATTGATGAAATATACCCAAAACAATTCTTAATATTCTCAAAATATTTCTAATACTCTCGAAATATCCAGAAAAAAAAATTAATTGATTGTTATTTAAATTCTTAAATATATAATTTATTTATTTATTTAATTTAATATATAATTCATAACTTTATAATCATTTATATACACAATTTATATTCTTAGCAATTCTCACTTCTATTAAAAAGTCTATAAATAGATTGAGTATTAAAATAAATTTTAGTGTTGAAACTTTTGATTTCTGTCGATCTGTTAACGAGATATACCACTTAATTTTTGGTTAGAGGAAAGCCGTAGTGGTGTATTATTAACACCCCGCGTGCCGTACCGTCCCACTCATGATACACCACTACTCTCCTCCAACCCAAATTTAGAAGTGGAATATTTCGTAAACGGATCGACGAAAATAAAACATTTCAACACTAAAATTTATTTTAACTAATACACAATCTATTTATGGAATTTTAATATAGGTTGCCATTTGAAAATCAAAAGTAGTTAGTTGTTTACCCACAAAAATAAGGATGAAAAAAAAATAACACTAGTATAAAATTGTAGAGCAACTTGCTTTTTAAATGTTCCAGAAAACAAATTCCGGAAAAAGTTAATACTTTCCGAGATAATGAGTTCAATGAATCACCTGGTATAAAAGTATATCATTGTCATAACTTTTAAAGTCATAATTAAATATATTTATATGTAAGTTAATAGGTATGGTCATGAGTTAGAGTTAAGGTTTTTTTTTATTTATCTACATAGGTTTTATAAATAATGTTTGTGTTTCTATTAGTGTAATTTATTAATATTATTTTACTGTCAGTTTTTTTTTTTTTTTTATGTAATGAGTTGTGAAAATTTTAATGATTGTACCATTTAAATTTAATATTCAAATAAAAAGAGAGTAAATTTACATGTAAATATTTGTCAACATAACAGGCAATAAACAGAATGATCATGTTTTCTTTCAATCATTTATTTTTTTTTTTAACTTTTAACGTTTAACAGCTGAGCAGCATCGATGAGGTTCGTTGATTATGTATACATCTGTTATAACGCCATATTAATTTTAAGTGTCAAAACTAGAATATTAAGCTTTATAGTCACAATTTAAAAAAAAAAAAATAACAATTATATTGAGAGTAACCTTTGGTTACAAAATAAATAAATTTAAATGTATATAAAAAAAAAGAACATACTTCACACGACAGCTGAGCAATTATTGTAGGTTAAGAGTTAGAGGATACAGAGAGTAATTTAATTTATATTTGTACCCTTGGTGTGCTACGTTAAATTGTTGATAAAAAAAGAACACGATTCAGAGCAAAGTTTGATTATATATTTTGAAAGAGCATAATATTTACGATTTAAAACTCTTATAAAAAAAAAGTACTTCATTAAACTTAGTTTTTTTTATCGCACAGTACAACTTATAATAAAGCTCCTGTCAAATTTCTCAGCATTTCAGTTAAGTCGTAAAAATTTTATCCACAGAGTACCTACTGAATAAAAATTACATAAAAAAAACTCGCAAAATTAAAATATTCATAAATAGTTCAAAAATGACTTAAATATTTCGAAAATATTACCACTTCTAGAAAAAGTAAACATAGTTTTTTTGTCAAAATTTTAAGACTGAATATTTTCAACTGATTTAAAATTTAAAAAAAACAGAATTGAAAACAAAAGCCTTATTTTTGTAAATTTAATAGTTTTTCCTAATCATTATGCAAACCTCTTGGAAAATCATAAAATGACCTCACTAAAGTACCAACAAGATTAATTTTCTTTTCTAAAAAAGGTACTACATTTTGATACATCGGAGTAAGATTTCTGGTAGAAAAGTTTTTCGCAGTATATAAAAAAAAAATACATAATTGTAAATATAAAATTACAAAAATATATATGAAAAAATAATCTTAGTTATTATTTTATTCAGTTGACTAAAATTTTTGAATATTTTGGTGAAAATAAATAGTTAAATAGTTAGGTTTATTATAATATTACTGTTTTAACTGTTAAATGTATTTGGATATGGTAACTTGACAAAGTTGAGCTAGTATTTAATAACTTGATATGTATGAGAACTATACCTAAATACTTTATATACAATATATCTGTGTTTATTTTTATTTTACATCTGAAGTATGTTTTGTTGAAATACATATATTATAACTAAAATAGCTTAATTTTTGTAGTTAATTAAAACTATTTTTATTATGTGGTAATGTACAAACATTAATTTATTTTGATCAAAAGAAGTTTGAAATAATACAAAGATAGGTGTCAAACATATGTGTACTCTCTTTGCAGTCATATAAAAAACTTTGTTTTTAATTAAAAGTTACATTAACATAATGCAACTTTATGTGTTAGTAAAATTAATCTTATTTAATGCATAAAAGTAAAATATTTTTTCTTAAACAAATAATTATAACTTATAACATGTACCTAATATTTATATTGTTTTTTTTTTTTTTTACAGTATGGTTTATATTCTGCATTTGCTGGATGTATTGTTTATACAGTGTTTGGTAGTTGCAAAGATATCACCATCGGACCAACTGCATTAATGGCACTTATGACTTACCAACAAGTTTTCAATAGAAACTCTGACTATGCTGTGTTATTATGTTTTTTGTCTGGGATTTTACAATTCATTATGGGATCACTTAAATTAGGTATGTATTTAGTTAAAAAAAAAAATACATATATATTATAATATCAATATTTAATTAATTTTAATATAATATAATATTTAGTTAATCCTATTCATCTACTTCGTAAAATTAGGTTTTTACATTTTTTTAAGCACTGTCTAAATGTTTCTTTTAGTAACATGAAGAAACATACCACCTTCAGGGTTTGCTGGTATCGTTTTTGGATTTAATTTTATTGGCAATTTCATGTTTTGGGGTAGTGAAATATCATAAGCTGATAATATTCTGACTAGTGCAACTTTTACTTGCATCATTCCAAACCGCATACCTAAAACAAATATAAAATTTTTTTCAAGATTATAACTAAACAATTAAAAGATTTTTACTTTGATGGTTTATTTGAATAAATGAAAAAAAGAAAAAGAGAAAGTACATGATGAAACAAAAATTAATATTAATGATAAATGACAATACATGTTTACTATTTCTATTTTGTATGTGTATTTTTCTATAGAAAATATACAAACAAAATTCAATTTTATCTATATACATATATATATTTAAAAATAAAAATGAATATTAAGAGAATCTTAATTTTTAAATTTAAATGTGATACAAAAATATTGAAAAATAGAAGAGAAAGTGTGGTGGCTGTAGCCAATGTAGGATCATAAGATTGCAAACTGAACATACTAAGAAAATTGTTAATACAAGTGAGTTGTTACTTTTTAATTTAATTTTAATACATAATTACCAATACAAAGTCTGGGGCCAGCACCAAATGGCAAATATGCATATTGTGGTCTATTACGTTTTTCTTCGTCAGTAAATCTTTCTGGAATAAACTTTTCTGGTTCTGGCCAATATTTAGGATCATTATGGATACCATATACTGGTATGACTACCTGAAGACCTTTAGCAAGAGTAAAATCTGAGTCCGGGAATTTATAAGGTTTTACTGCTTTCCTGGTTAAATTAGGAACTGGTGGGTACTTCCGTAAAGCTTCTATAAACATAAAATATTAATATTAATATTTTAATATTTAAGTCAAATTTTATTTCTTTATCAACCTGATACAATCATATCTAAATAGGTCATTTCTTGTAATATTTCATATGTCAGTTTTCCATCATATTTGCTTAGTACTGAATCAATCTCTTCTTGAGCTCTCATTTGTACTTCCTGGTTCTGAGCAAGTTCAAAGAAAGTAAATGTTAACGTAATCGACGAAGTTTCAAATCCTCCAATAAACCACACAAAACATTGTGCCGCCAATACATCCATAGTAAATTCAAAATCTATAATTTGACATGTGGTTTAGTTAAACTTTACAAAATAAATACAATTTGTGTATACCTTCTTTGTTGTTTTCTTGTTCGAATATGGATTTACTGTCTTCTTCAGAGGCTAAATTTTGGCCTCTTTTAATTTTCAGCAATAAATCCAGAAAGTCATTTCGTTGTATATTGTTCTCTTCCCTATATTTGACTGTGTCATTAACTACATTAAAAAAAAAATCAGCATACTCTTTTTTGATACTTCGTACTTTTAATAACCCAATTAAATTTGGTGCGAGTGCATTCAATGCATTTCTTATTATGGTTTCCAAACTAGTAGAGAATAACATTCTACCAACTTTTCGGAATTCAGCATTTGGGTTTGCCAACGAATTTGTTTCAAATCCAAAAGCAACAATACTGATAACATCGGTTGAAAATCTAGCTAGAAGTTCTTTAAATTCTACCTAAATTAAAACAAAATAAATAATATATTTATTAAATTTACACAATATCTACTGTAACAATAAATGTATTTAGGTGAATGTGAACAGTTCAATAATTAATAATTAGTAATTATATATATAATAGATTTAAATAGTTCACTTGATCGCCAATGTCAGCAGATGATCCAAGAATCTTAACCATTTCTTGAGCTCTACCTTCTATGAGATCAATCATGTTCTTTATTTTGCTTATGGTAAACGCTGGTGTTAATTTATTTCTTAAAACTTTCCATTTATGGCCTTCCAATGTTAATAAATTACCAGTCAATGGTTCTAGTTTATCATTAAATACTATTCCACGATTTGGAAAAGTTGAAAATTCTTTGGTAAACACATCTCTTATAATATCTAAATCTCTAATCATAAGCTTTGGCTTTTGAAATTGATAGAACCCAGCAAATTTATAACCATCAGTATTATAGTATATATTGGCATAATGTTCTCCCACCCATGTTTTCATTTCAGTTACCTCCCTAGTATGTCCGAATATTATATGGGGTTTCAATGGAACAGGGCATCCTTGACGTTGCCAAAATGTATAACGGTATTTTAAATAAAAAAAAAACACTATAGAAATTAATATGGCATAAACCCCTAAACTTAATACAAAACTACCAAATAAAATCATGTCTCCTGTAAATAAAAAAAAAACCATACAATTAATAATGAATTGTTTTTTTGCAAAACTTAATTATAAATAATTTCAGACACAGTATGATTCTGTGGCGTTCAGTTCATTTCTTATTTATTAATAAATTAAAATACAATATTAGCTTTAATTAAAATATAGTATGTAATAATAATTATTTAAATTTGTATTGATATTTCTTACTATTTATTATGAGTTGCAATACTGTAAAAGTTATTATAATAATATTATAAATAATTTTATTTTGTTTGGTTATTTTTTCCTATTTTAATTTTTAATAGTTAATAATATAAATACTAAAATACAATATTTAAAATCTATGTGAACATAGATAAAAATACTCTAGTAGGTATTTAAGTTACATATTATGTTTAAATGATTTGTTGAATTGGATATTCATAAAACCCTATATGTAATAATATTTAAAATTATTTACCTCCTTATATTATTGATATTTTCATTAAACTCTTCTAAAATTGTAATAAATCCAATTTATCTTTTTGGGTAAGATATCATAAAATTCAAATCTAGTGCTTCTTATTTGCAACGCTATATGTTTCTACTAAATGTACATGTCTAATTTCTTTATTAATACCTAATCAGTTTTAGACCTTGTTATATAATAAATATTACTAGTATCAATATGTTGATATTTTTTTTACTTTAATCAATAAATAAATTAAATTTGTAGATTTATATGATTATCATGACCTTATGACACAATCAGTTTTTATATAAGCATATAAGTTCAATAGTTCATTATAACAAAATAAATGTTTTATAAGATAAAAACATTGAATACTAATTTAAAGATTCAAAACTTGTATTGCTATAACTAATACTGTGTGTTTTGTTGTTTTATAATCTTTTTTTAATCCAGTAATGATTTATGCCTATCATTTGATATTATACTAGGAAGATTAATGTGGTGGTTTCCTTATATTGTATTACTATGAAACTATGTTCTCAGAAACTTTACTTTTATGGTCATTTTTTTGCACTTAGGTATTGCATATTTTTGCTTTGGTAGTTTAAAATTGTTGAAAAATTGTATTATTGGTAATTTTTAAATATAACCAGTGTTAGGCATAAATAATAAAATAATTATCTAGATAAGATAATAAGATATATTTCAATTTAAGCATCTAGATGAGATAATAGATAAATTTAAATAAAATTATCTAGATAATACTTTGATAGTTGTATAAAATAACCATAGCTGATTATAAAAAAAAAAGATAATTATACATTTAATAGACGTTGATATTATTATTATTCTTTATCATTCTCATATTATGATTCTTTCAGTTCTTGAGCAAAATTGTCAGTTATATGAATATCATCCTGCAGTTGACGTTTACATGTTACGATGTTACTGTTTTTTGTATACATTTTCTCATAATTCTTAAAAAGTTATACAGTTTTACTAAAAGTCCAAAAACAAAAATTAAAATCCTAATCGGGGTATAAATGTTGACTTGAAACATTGATCATTTACAATCACGGTCAGCAGATTCTATTACTATCAGCTGATAGCTGCTATTTTACAGAATTTAGAATGGTAATATTGTGGTACACTGAGTACTACCGTATACCGTATGTTTACTAACCTCAAAAATTGGCTAATCAAAGTGTCAAATTATTTTCCACAAAACATGGTTCATGATTAATGTTATCATAGTGCAGTTTATTGTGCATGAATAATATTGTACATAAAGAAAATATAGACATTAGAGAAAATAATTATTTAGATAATTTTAAAATATCATCTTTTCTATTATCTAGATAAGATAATAGATGACAATTTTAAAAGTTATCTAGAGGAGAAAAAATTTATGAAAAATGTATCTATGTAATTTAGATAATGCCGAACACCGAATATAACTATATATTTATAACTACTATTGATTATTTGTATTATATTTATATTATAAGCATTTTTTATTAAAATATATAATGTCTGGTATCTATCTATATTTAACAGGCATTTTGTTATTACATCCAGCTTTATTGTTGAACATTTTGCCATTTTGGTAAAAATAAGATTTTATTTTATAAAAATTATACCTACTGTAATTGTATAATACATGTTTTTAAAAAGTGTCTTGAAGAATTAGAAATCAGAAATTAAATAATAGTTGTAAATTTAAAACTTAAAAAAAAAAAAAAAATCTTCATTTGTAAATTTATTATAAGCTTATAATAAATGTCAATATAATTTTGATTTCTTAATTTTAGTTCTCTACTCAAAAGTATATACAAAAGAAATCAAAATCTCTGAATCAGGCGATTTAACTCAAATAACATGATGTTTATTCATCTATTTTTTTCAACAATAATTAATAATTAACAACTATATACTTAAAATTTATAACATACTTACCTTTACATGTTTTTAGTGAGGAATTTTTTATAAATGGTTGAAAAAAAACTACATTTTGTATTTTATGTATTCATAAATTTAAACTTTGTTAATATATTATCAATATTTATTATTGATTTCAACTTAATAAAAATAAATCTGACATAAACAAAAACTTAGTAGCATATTTCATAGTATATATTATATTTTTTTAAGTATTAGCCACTTAAATAATTTTTGTATTTTATTCTATTACCTTTAGTTTAAATTATGAATGTTGTTCAAAAGTATTCACATAAATATTTTATTTCAGGTGTATTAATTGACTTTATTTCTATCCCAGTGACTGTTGGTTTCACATCAGCTACATCTGTTATTATAGCAGTATCTCAGCTGAAAGGTCTCCTTGGATTGAAGTTTGAATCGAGTAGCTTTATGGATTGTGTATTGAAAGTATACCAGAATATTGGTAATTTCAATCCCAATGATACAATTCTAGGAGTTGTTTCTATCATCATACTACTATTGCTCAGAGTAATTAATCTGTTCGAATGCTAGATTAATTTTAGGTTAATTCAAATTTAACACTCATATTACACTATGCTTAGAAACTGAAAGACATCAAATTATTTGGTCTCAATGGTAAGCCATCTAGCAAACAAAAGACAATTATGAAAGGACTGTGGCTGCTATCCATATCCAGAAATGCTCTAATTGTGCTTGCTTGTTCAGTAATGGCATATTGGTGTCATTCTCCTAATTCCAAACCTTTTGTCACTTTAATTGGTAAATAATAAAATGTTATTTTATAGAATATATATTTTATACATTAAAATGATTTACATTTTTGTATTATGCAAAGGTGTAATTTTAAAATATTTTTTAGTTAGGTAATGGAAATATTATTGTGTCAGGTATCTATTTCAAAGACTTTTATTTTATATTAATATTTAAAAAAAATATGCTCTTTCAACCTTTATTGATTAGATATCTAATTTCTATATTATTTATCTGAATGTTATAACCAGTAAAAAAAAATACCAGTTGGAAATATATTTGAATACATAATACCAATACACATCATATCTATTTATATAATACTAACAATATTACTCCTAAAATTATGAAAAATTAAAAATTAAAAAAAAAATTAGAATTTTATTTATAAATATTAAGGTATCATTAATATTAAAGTATGTAAATAAAATTATAATATTGTAAACATATTAATACATTTCATATGAACTTTAAATTTTGACTAAATAACCTAATGATTATGTATAAAATCAAAATGTTATTTTTGGTCTTTATTTTTTAATGTTAAATTTATAAATTTTAAAAATGGTACCTTAACAATTTGAAATTATCTTTGCTGTTATTAAAATAAAATGATTTCTTTTATACTAAAATATTTTCAAAACATATAAAACTTACTAGTTTTGAATTGTAATTGTTTCTGAAATTGACTTTAATTTATTAACATAAATTTGTTTTTAAAAGGAAATGTAAGATCTGGTTTGCCACCATTGCAATTTCCACCATTTAGTACGGAGTTAAATGGCAAAACTGTTGGGTTTATTGATATGTGTTTGGATCTCGGAAGTTCCATTATATTAGTGCCAGTGATTGCTGTTCTTGGAAATGTTGCTATCGCCAAAGCATTTGGTATGTAGCATGCACATTCATTAATCTTTACATATTATATAAATTAATTGTATCATTTCTACCTTGGTACTTTGATGAAGATAATAATTAATAATTATTTGATTGATATTTTAACAGCTAGTGGAAACTCAGTGGATGCTACTCAAGAACTCTATTGCTTAGGCGTTTGCAATTTATTAGGTTCATTTGTTTCATCAATGCCAGTAACAGGATCATTTTCGAGAAGTGCAGTGAATCATGCCAGTGGTGTACGCACTCCTATGGGTGGAATGTATACAGGTAAAATAGTCACTCAAAATATGATTATTTTAAAAATGTGTATTAAGCATTCAATATTCATATTTAGGTATACTTATTATTTTGGCGTTGAGTTTATTAACACCATATTTTTACTTCATACCCAAAGCAGCTTTAGCTGCGGTCATCATTAGTGCTGTTATTTTCATGATCGAGTACGAAATTGTTAAACCCATGTGGAAATCAAGTCGTAAGTAAATTATTAATTAAACAAATAAAGCAATATATGTATTTCTAAATATTTTCATATTTTATTAATATGTGTCAACACGTTTTAGTTTCATTCGGATAAATATAAAAATAAAAATTAAGAAAGCCTTGTGATTATATTACAGTTATTTCTAATTCTCTAAACCCTAGAATTTAAATAACTTTAAAATAATCTAAAATACTTTTTAAAAATGTAATACCATTGATTATATATATATATATGTATAATAGATGCACCACACTAAGAAATATGCTGGGCTATAATAATAGAATAATATTTTCATTATATAGCGATAAGTCTCAAAAATTAATACATTTTTATTTTATTTTGAGCTTTACCATATACTAAAGTTGATTCATGTTGTTTGGAAATAATCTAATATTTTTAATTTTTGGTTGTGTAATGACACAAATAATTATATAATTATTATTATAGTTATAATTAATAATTATTAAAGTAAATAAATGTATAAATAAAAAAATTATTTATAAAAATAAAAGAAATAAATGAATTAATGTGTTGCCTGGAGTATTATGATAAGTGTATTACTTAACCTAACCGGTTTTGAATTATAAATTCATCATCAGGTATATCAATCAAAATGTAAAACATGACTGAATATAAAAAATTAAATGAAGGAATACATAGAAAAAAAAATTTACAAATTTGTTGTTTTACATAGAATATAGAAATAATTTACTTTTAATAGGAGAGATTATTTAAAATTAGTTATTATTGGACATAGATATATTAAGAAATATAAATTATTTTACTATTTATTATCTAAAATGTATTAATATAAGATATTATTTTTAAAATCGGTTTAAACATTTAAAATATTATTAAAATTATTATTCTTTATTTCATTATGTATGTGTAATTCTTCTAAAAATGAATTTATGTAAATGTTATTTTGGGTATTTAATATCTCTAAGTCTGTATTAATATCAAAACTTATATTAGGGTTATTTTCTAAAACATGTTTAGCAAAATTTGAATTAGGGGCAGTCTTTTTTAATTTTATTTCAGAAATGTCTTCTTACTTCTTTATATCTTATTTTAAAATTTCTATTTGTCTTATGTATACAATTTATTATAGTTACATTTAAGTTTAAATATACCAGCATTTTTTAAAAAAAAAAAGGGATTTTTTGTGAAGTTTTTAGTTCTATTATTTATATGTTTGATTAAATTATTAGTTGTGTTATTGTTCAGAGTTCTCAGCGAATTTGTTGGACTTATTGATGTTTCATACTACAATAGTTAACAACATTATTTGCTGAGTTGTATTATTTTTTCTTTAATACGTATATGCATTTTTTTTAATAGTATTATTGATGTTTCATACTACAATAGTTAACAACATTATTTGCTGAGTTGTATTATTTTTTCTTTAATACGTGTATATGCATTTTTTTTAATAGTATTTAAATTAAAATTATTTCTATGGCCCATATTATAGATAACATTAAGCTCGTGTTGATGATTATGTTTATTTAATGGAATACATTCAAGCCTATAGAATATTGAATACAAAATTATATTTTTTGAGAATTTGGGTGTTTAAAATCATGTGGTATTATAGCATCAGTTTGTGTAGGTTTCCTGTAAATACTAAAATCAAATATATTTTTTATTATAAAAACTGTAAGATCTAAGAAATTTAATTTATTATTTATTTGCATTTCAAGTGTAAATTGAATGTTTTTATTTAAGTAGTTAACTAAATTTTTTGCTTGTCTATTTGAACGTCTAAATAAAATTATTGTCATCACATATCTAAGCTTTTACATATGGACTGTATATTTTGTTGTTGATAATATTATTAATTTCATAGTTTTGCATGTAGATTTTAAATAAAAGAGCACTCAAAGGACCACCCTTAACTAACCCATTTTTTTGTGAATATAATTTATTATTATATTGAAAACAGTTTTGATTAATAATTACATTTATTTTTTGAATAACTTTTTGTACTTTGTATTAAATTTATTACTATGCATAAGTTTATTTTTTAAAAAATGTACTATTTCGTATTTTGGAATGGATGTATACATTTTAGCATCAAGAGAAATCATTTTGTAACCTAGCATAATATTCATTTTATCAGTAAAATCATGTGTTTTTATAGAAGTATCAGTATTCATGTTTAATTTTAGTTTAATGAGAAAGTCTAAATATTTAGCAAGGTTATAAGCTGGAGCAGTTTTATAACTAATTAATGGACGAATCAGAATAAATGTAATTTTATGAATGGATGTAAATGTGGAGTGTCTATTTTGTAATCAGATTTTAATAATATTTTCTTTTGGACTTTAGGTATGATTTTTTTCTAATTTCTTTAATGTAAATTTTAATAGGATCATATGCTGAGTTGTAACTATTATTATTATTTATAAAATCTAAAGTTTTTTATGAATTTCATTAATATAAACGATAACAATAGCATTAAATTTATCTACCGAAACTATTTCTGAATTATTTGTTTTTAATTTATTCACTATGTCGTTAATAATTGTTTTTTTTATAGTTTTTATTGATACTATTTATTAAGTTATTTCTTGTTTGATTTTGTTTCTGAAATTTTATATAATTTATAAGAGATTTACATTGTATTAATTGTTGTTTAAATGATTGAAAGTTTATTGTTTGATATGTATCAAATTTACTACCTTTATTTAATAAATTGTTTTCAGCTTTATTGAAAATTATGGAAGTTAAATTAGTAACTCGTAGTTGAAAAGAATGCTGGCAATTTGTTATTTTTGTGTATTTTGTGCTACTAAAATATTAATTTTATCATATAACCTGTGCCAATTCTCATTTTTTTTATGTATTCATTTTTGTTGTATGTGATTAAAATAAATTATTTCTTTGTAAAACGACCAATTTGTATAATTTTTTTTCTTTATCTTCATCTAATTTTTTTGTATTCAGTCGCGTTTTACATTTTGATTGTAATATACCTGATGATGAATTTTTAATTCGAAAGAAGTTAGGAGGTTAGGTAATACAATTATAGTACTCCAGGTGACACATTGATTCATTTATTTATTTTATTTTTATGTATACATTTTTTATTTATTATTTTATTATTTAATAATTATTGTTATTATTTTCTTATCTACCATTTAAATTTTTTTATAATTTATTTTATTACAGATTTTAGTGAGTTATAAGAATGTTAAGTTTAGTATGTTACCTTTTTTTGTAAAGAACATAAACTACTAATGGAGTAATTTCAACAAATGAGTTGTCTGTAAATTCTTTAGGCTCTGGCAAGTATTATAGGATTTTTTTTTTTTATATGAATAAAACAAAATGCAATTTTCTATTATAGTTATTATTATATGCTGGTTTTCTAAATTTTCTATAATTTTGTAAAATTTGAAAATTATTTTTGACATTTTTAAAAACCTTTACGATAATATTCTTTCACTAATCTACTAGTAGATACTAATTTAGGGAAAAGGAGTATTGTCTTTTTGACTTAGATACGTATAAAAATATTGTGAACAATTTATTCTTAAATGATTATTTTACAAAAAATAAGTAAAAAAGCAAATAAAATGATTATCCTTTAGAATAGAAATTAAATGAAACACATTTTTTACTTTTATTAAAAAATGTAATCTGAACCCTACTAATAAGACTCTTTTAGTTTAACTTAGTCGCCTGAGACGTGTTGATAAAAATCAATTATTTAATAATTTATTTATAATATATTGTTTTAAATTAATAATTAACAACAATGTATCATATGATTATATGATATTATTATGATCATTATGTACAAATTATGTTTAGGAAAAGACTTAATACCAACATTTGCAACATTTGTCTTATGCCTGGCCATTAGAGTAGAACTTGGAATTTTAGTTGGTGTAGCCATAAACATAATGCTTCTACTTATACCGTCAGCTAGACCATTTTTGCATATTGAAATAAAAAAGGTGAATTTTTGTTTTATTAATTTTAATTGTGTTCAATTTTATAGTTACATTAAAATCTTTAAATACTTTATACTTTATTATATTAAATTTATTTTTTATAATTTGTTATTTTTTTATAATATCAGTTAAGAACTGGTTTGGATTATTTGCTTGTAACCCCAGAAAATAGTCTTTATTTTCCTGCTGTGGACTTTATGCGTGGAAAAACAGATCGAGCAGCTGTTAAAATGGGAAAATCAAAACTCCCTGTTGTGGTCGACTGTAAACATATACTTGAAGCTGATTTTACAGCTGCTAAAGTAAGTAGGAAAACAAATAGCAATACAATAAAAAAAAAAAATTGGCATTTCATAATTTTTCATTGAAAATAATATTTTCTTAGATGGGATAATGGAAATGTTGTTACCATTTTATTTAATGTGATGATGATTTTATATTATATTTTTTCTTAGGGCATTGCTGGATTAATAATGGACTTTAAAAAGCGAAAACAGCCCCTGTGTTTTTATAACCCAAGAAAAAGTGTATTAGCCGTATTACAGGGTGTGTGTGTTGATCAAATTATTCACTGTTTTACATACGATGAATTAGAACAAACACTTAATGGTATGTTTTTTTTTTATCACTAGGATAACTGTTATTCTTAAATATATGTCTAGAATTTTTGTAATTAGAAAAAGATTAAGGGGATTGGAAGTGGTAATTTACTGACTTTACTTTGCACATGTGCAACATAAGAATTTAGAGATATTCTATTTCCAACATACCAATTGATTGGTTTAGTGAAGCAATATGTATTCTCAAAGTAATTTGAATTTACCATCAAGTCAACATAAGATCAGTTTTCCCACTTATGATTTTTTATTTTAATTTCTTCAAAAAGTAATTTTTTGATTTTCTAAAAAAAATTTTCAAAATAATTGTTAAAAACCCCATAGAAAATTATAGGTAAAACGACAGTTATTTACGACGTGCTACAGTGTTACCATTTTCATTGCTTTTAATATGTTAACTTATATTTTCTATCAGAAATATTGTGCCAATACATTAAAACAATAAAACATTAAGAGATCTTTTTTGTTGAATTATCTAGTTGGTGACCAAGAAAGTTGAATTTTTTGATTTTCTTTGTAATTTTTTAATAGTTGAGAATAGTTTTGTATTATGGTTTTTATTTTTAAAATTAAGGTATATAAAATCAAAAATGTTGGGAAGTCGATTTCAAGTAGACTTAACTACAAATTAAAATCTTTTTTCAGAATTATTATTCTAATGGACTTTTAGGTAATACAAATTGTATTACTTAAATGTAGGACTAGATGATATTATTAGTCAAATTAATTTTATAATGTACATTTTAAAAATCAAAGTGTTGAATGAAAATACAAATGGTAATGCAACATTTATTTATTTTAGATATCTCTTCTGGTAATTCAATGGAGTTGAAGGATATAGTACACACAACATCTCAACAATTTCAAGAATTGCCACTTTTAAACAGAAGACAACATTGAACACATACGTTGTTTCTATTGTTTACCTGCTTGAAGAATCTTATTTTTTTATGTTAGTATTTGTTTAATCAAATTTTTATATCTCTACCTATATATATAATATATACTTGATGAAACTTTTTTTGAACATTTAAAACACTGTACCTTTTGTGTGTACATATTTTATTCACCTGTCAAAAGTTAGAAACTAAAAAAAAATCATTACCTTCAGTAATTGTAAAATACATATTTTTCTATTGATCACTTATATGGTTATTATTTTTTTACATGACATGTTATTTTTTTTTTTTTTTACTTCTTATTAATGAAGTAAAATTTATAAAGTTCATTTTTATATTAAATACACTACATTGTTTCATGAAATGATGTCAATTATTTATTCTTTTACTATTTATTTGAATAATTCAAATTGGAAAATAAGCTAAAAAAAATTAAAATTATCAAATAAACTGTATTTTGTATATTTTTTAATTAAAACTTGTTTATTATTTTTATTTTTGGTAATAAAAATTGATTTAATTATTATTAATTTTATTCTGTAATCATTTATCACAACTACAATTTATAATCACAAAGATAAAAATATGATCTTTTTTGTTGAACAATGATTTCACATTCATATTTTTTTATTGACATTTGTCATTTTAATTTTTAAGTATTCTTATGCTTCATAATTAAATTTAATTAAATTGGGTAGCTTCTGTGACAGATCAGTATTAACTACATTTTTATGGTGTTAATTGCAGCTGGAAAAAATAACAATTTACCATGGGCCAGGCGCAGATTATGTTGGGAGATGGAAGGGGCACTCTCCTCCCCTGTATACTGTGTTTTACTTTGGAGAAAATTCCTAGTAAAAATCTCCAAAACGATGTTGAATTATTTATGTAATGCAATATTATATGCTTGCATGCATGCATGTGTGTATATCATATACATGAATACATGAGTACATAAGTTCTGAGCTATTTTTGGAATTGGCAATAACGATTTATAACAGTCAATTGTAATATAAATATAATAACTAACATCAATTTTACAAAGTTCAAAGGTAATCATATCAATAATTTACAAGCTATTCATTGGCAGATAGCAATCATTACCGACTAATAATCATCATCATCATGTCTTGTTTATTTCTTAAATATTTTTTCATATTGTCATAATTTTTTTAGTCCTGATGATTTACTGACTTTATTTATTTATTGGATATTTATCGAGTTCATTTTTCAATTAGATTTGCACTTAATTATTAATTTATATTAATTCTTATTCACTTATTAATTAATTTCAATAATTATTACCGTGTGTCCGTGTACAAAAAGAAGTACAAATTTCATATTAAATTATTTAAAAAAAATAATAATGATGTAGTGGATAAACCAAATACAAGTCATCAATTTTCATATATAAGTGGATGTTTATCTACACTTAAATGTACACTTAAATACACTTAAATTTAAATGCTTACAAATGGTTGAAATTAAAAATAATAATAATTTTAAAATTAATTAAATAATACCTATATATTTGTATTATAGAAAATATTCAAAATGTTGTTGTTTTATTAGTTTTTGTTTGTTCAAGATTTTGTCGGAACTATAACTCAAAACTTGCCACGGTCTTCCAAATTTTTTTCAAGATATTGACGTTCAAACTTCCAAGTTTTCTAATTAAAAACAATAATAAGACATTTACAAGTTGATAATTATTAGTAAAGTTTCATGCGTTTCTGCTGAAATACGTTTGGTTGTTTTATTTTTAGCTGAAATACGGTCTTCGAAAATAGTCTATTTAAATATTTTCTAGTAATTTCTAATTTCATGTCTTTCGGCTTAAATACGGTTAAAATATTCTCGACTGTTTTATAGCTCCCTCAACTAAGGTTTAAGATATATAGATAAGTATAGCTAGAAATTCGTTTTTATACAAACCGATGTGTAAAATACAAACTAGTGTGAATCGAAGTAACTTTTTTGGGAAAAACAGAAAACTTAAGAAATTTGTTGGTACAAGATGGTGTTTAAAATAAATCAAAAAATTGACACTAATCCTAGTATTTCGGATTATATAAACGATATGGTTCATAATATTGATTCGTTTTCTATTAATCTTTTTGTCTGATTTCTTCTGAAATTCGTCTAACTATATAATTTTTTCTATGGTGTCTCTGCATCACCACTACTAACCGACCGACTCTGTCAGGTTTTACTTGTTTTTATCTTTTTTCTATGTTTATGTTCACATTTTTTAATTCATTTTAAAATAGTATTATTCAATAAATGACTAATTAAAATAATAATAGCATCAAACATAAATTGGTCCAATGTAGATCATATTTTTGAAAGTAACTATTGAATATATAATTAATATAAATTCAATTGCATAGATACCTACTTTATTTGAATTTCAGCGGTCACGCGGATTATAGTAGTAATCCAAATTATACTGTTGTTAAACTTTTAAATGTTATTATTCAGCATTCTAGTATTATTAGAATTCAGTACAATTCTAGTACTGTAATAATTCAGTACAAAATTCATTAATATTTGAATTATTCAGAGAAAACTATGATAATATAGAAAAGTGTACTGTGTGATAATAAATATCTATGGACTATAAAAGGGATAATGATATTTTGTACAAGACAACGAATTTCTTGTAAAACTGGAACCATTATATCCGAATCGGAATCGCATACCGATATGAACGAATCGGTTTCAACATCTCAAATCGTGCTCTCAACGAATTTATGGTCTACTCAGTGATAGATATTATCTATAAACTTTATATGATATGAATTATGATATAACTATTATAACCACGAATCTTCTAAGACCGTGATTATAACTAATATAAATAATAATCATAGATAAGTACAATCTGATGGTTATTGGTTGCCATAGGTGCTATTGTGCTAACTTCATAATTATATTCATATTTGCTATGGCAGTTGCATGCTGCAGTTGTAGTGCACATTACACTGTCCACTATGTTAATGTTTAACTATTAGAAACCTATTATTTATAACATATTTTTGAACGTTAAATATTGTTACTTATTAATTACTTACAGCCAGTATAAACAGCAAGGCGGCTAAAATGGAAATTGATGAAGAATCCGTTGCTAATTACGTTACTACTAGTATTATTAGTCATGATTCTATGGTAAGAAATAGACAATATTATACCTATAGGCTGTACGCGTATTAACTTAATTAAGGACTTGAGCTGCTCAAAAATAACTAATTATTAGTCACCTATTTTATTGTAAAATCTGACAATTGATTAGTAAATACTTGGGTATTTACAAGAGTTTAACATTTGAAATATGAAATTATGAAACGTTTTTAGATATTTTGATGTTGTTTCTTAGACCTAAAATCAATACTCATCTTTGAAACGTGATTACTATTTTATAGTATTGGTATAAAACTACTTTAGCAAACACCTGTTGTTTTCAATTTTTTTCTTAAAAAAAATGTTTTTCAACGCTACTTTTGAAAATGTTTGACTTTTTTGCCTTAAAAATTATCATAGAATTTATTGCCATTTGAAGTTGGTCGTCATTACACTTTTGCACAAATAACTATTTTCGTGTACACATTTCATCTTAGCGCAATTGATTACGTGGAAACTGTGGTATAGGATTCAATATCTACAAATTGAAAAAAATATTTGCACTTTATAATTAACCCTGCCAAGTTTCTAAATGCACACAAAATGCTTTTATTTTTCTCTGTTATCTACCTGACGTGGTTTTGCTAACAAATTGTGTGGTTTTTTTTTTGAATAAAACAATCCGAAGTAGCGCAACGTGTGCAAACATTTTGTTCAATTTGTTGGTATTGAACCCATTGCTGCAATTTGTACATATAGTGCAAATATATTTATCCATAGTGCTACAATGTAATATGTAAGAGCGGTGTAAAATTAGCTATTTGAGGCGAAACATTACTATCAAACTTCAAATGAGTCAAAAAACTATTTTTTTTTAAAAAATTGAAAAATTTGATGTTCCAGGTAAAGTAGTTTTGTTTTTTATTTTTATATATAATAAGTTAAATTCTAATTTTTTAACTAGGTAACTTGTGGTCATTGTAAAGAAGTTATTACATATCAAGAGTATGATTTTAACCATCGCAATATTCATTATGATCTTTGTTGGCTAGACGGAGTAGAAGAAGAAATTGTAATGTTTTTATTGAAAAATAGTATATGTACTTAATGAATTATTTTTAATAAAATATTTGTTTTTTTATATATATATAGGACTTTACAAATATACCAAAAATTAAAGCATTATTACGAAAAAGGACAAATAAACTTAAAACTAAGTTAGAATTTAATTGTCAATGGTGTGGGGGTATTTATATCTCTATTGTTGGATTTGCCAATCATTTATCAAAATGTAGTCAAAATGTAAGTATTGTACTACATTGTGTATAATATATCAAAAACCGTATGATATTGATTTAATGAATGTTTTGTTGCCATTTATATAAATAAGTAGTTAATACATGTACTATTTGGAACATATTAGTTTAAAAATTATATTTTTATACATTTACAAAAATGATTACAAATAACTCGTTAAAAACAACTTGATAGTATATACACCTTAAGAAAACAATATGGTTTGAGTTCTTTCAAATAACTAAGTATTCAGTACCTACATTTGTTAATCATAGTTACATTTGGACTAATAATCTGTAAATATTCAACAATTTGTATGATCTGTCTTATGAAAAATAAAAAATAATATTAAACAATTCATCATTTTGTTTTAGAGGCAGTTGAAAGTGAACGACTCATTTTTAAATCTATCTGAAATGTATCAAAATAAAACAATTGACGATACTTCAAATGATAATTCTATAGTAAGTAATAATTGTTTTAATTGAATTGTTATTTATTAAAAATTGGATATGAATATCTATGTATATATAATAGTCTTAGAACTATTAAGAAGATACTACGGGTGCATTTGTTGTAAATGTTTTACAAATGCGCAACATAGTAAATGTGTGTCAGTAGAATTAATTTTGGGCTGTTAGCTTTAACATTGGAATGAATTGGCTTAAAATCAAACTTAAAGGGGATGATATTATCTATATTTGTATGCATGATTTTTTTTGTTTTTTAAATTTCTAAGCAAGACTGAGAATGAAATATTACTATTTAAAAATGTTTATACTATGTTAGAAAAATTAAAGTTAAAGAAAAATCAACATACAAACACAGATTATGTTCTGCTTTTTAATATTGATTAGGTCAATTCACTCATTTCACTTCATTAAAGTTTAAAACCTCACTGAACAAAATTGGTCCTGTTGAATATCAATTGGTTATGTTGTGTGTTTGTAAAATAGAGATAACAAATGCATGTATAGTGTTATCTTAAGTATATTTTCTATAAAATAAATTCAAAATGTATCATGTTAAATGTTTAGGTATTATGTGGATGTTGCGGTGAAAATATGAGTTATACAGAATATAAAATGAACCACAGATATAAACATAATAATTTATGTTGGTTGGATGGCGAAAAAAAATTGGTATATTTTTATGTTTTGCATATATATGATAAATTTGACAATTCATTAAAATTTAATGGAACAATATGTATTGTTATTTGATAGTAAAGATAGTGAAATTGAATAAATGTTTGAACAATTTAACATAAATATATAATAAAAAGAGTACTAGATATTTTATTGTAATTATAAATATTTAAAAATTAATGTTTTTAGAATTATTTAGATGAAAATAAAGTTGTTTGTTTACTACGCGCAATTTTACCAAAGAATGCTGAACGAGATAAAAATGTTTGTTTTGTATGTGAATGGTGTGCAGTTAGTAAGAAAAGTGTGCTAGGCTTTGCTTCTCACGTGAAAAAATGTGCTGTAGAACAAAAGGTAATAATTTTTAAAACTATTCATTTGATTAATTTATTTAATTTGAGCTTAAATTATACATTAATAGTAAAAAATGACAAAATATTCTTATAAACTATAATAACTATTCAAAATTTCTTAACTATAGTTTATCATAAATTAAATTATATAATGATTTTCAGTGTTATATTTTAAGATTTACTTAAGTTTAAAACTATAAATAAAATATATTCATTTTTAAATAGTTTATGTTAATATAAAAAATTATAATAATTAATTTTGTGATTTTAAACATTATTTATTATTGTTTGTGTATATTTAATAATAATCAATATTGTAAAATTAATTTATTGTATACATTCATCTTATTCTTCTCCTTTGCCTTCATCCTAATTATTTGAGGTCGACTACTTTTGTTCCAAAACTTCCATCTGATTGGATCTTCCACCGTGCATACACCAGCTGTCCTTATATCATTCTTAATTGCATCCAACCACCTCTTTCGGCCTTTCACTTCCCCTCTTCTTTCTAAGTTAATTCCATTACAATTCTTACTGCTTATGATTTCTCTCTCCCCATGACAAGCCCAAACTATCTTAGTCTATTTGGTACTTATCTATTACTTGTCTACTATTGAAGCAATACCTAAGCTAGGTCTTATGTCCTCATTCCTTATCCTATCTTCTGTCATCACTCCACTCATCCATCTAAGCTTTCTTATCTTTGTTACATTAATTTTCTGTCCTATTTTTCTATTTACTGCTGAATACTGAACCATACAACATAGCTTTGCCACACTTTTAGAGAATTTATGTTTAAGTTTCATTAGAATTCTCTTATCATAATCTGTTTTACTTCTGCTTATACTTAGTTCCTTTCATTCAAGTACTAAACTCCATTTATCAATTGTATTGTTAACTACACAAATTATTGCTTATATAATAATTTAATTTAAAAATGTATTTTTAGTTAGTTACCTTACAGTGCAATTCACCTCAGCCTATAAATGATGAAATAACTTCAAAAAACGATTCTGAATGTGATTCTGAACACGATTCTGAACGTGATTCTGATTCCATAGTATGTGGTTTGTTTAGAAATTATATTTAATAATTTCTGTATTAACATTTTAAATTATTTTTAAGGTGAAATGTGGTCGATGTGATAAGAGTATGCCATACAAAGAATACAAAAAACAACATAAATTAAGCCATTATAATTTATGCTGGATAGATGAAAATGAAAAACCAGTAACTTTTTTTCTTTTTATTAAAATTTAATAAATACATATTAATTCCATAGAACGTAATTAGTAATTAATCTATAATACCAACCAATCAATTTTCACATTATATTATTATCAGAAAAATGTTTAAAAAAAAGGTATATGAAAAATTATAGAATAAGTAAAAATGAATAGTGAAAAAATAGTTGGTTAACTTGATAATTTTGTGATAGATTAACATTCAGTGCCTTAATCCGTTATTGTGTATTGGTGGAACAAATGCATACAAATTTTTACATAAGGTACTTTTTGTGAAAATTTAAGATGGATAACTTTAAAAAATGGTATAAGCACTTTTATTTTAACACTGTTCAATGATAAAACCATTATTAATATTCTTTTAAATTTTTAAAACAAAGTCTTTAAAATATGGCCCATATTAAAAATTTCTTAAAATTAATGAATTTTTAATTGAAATGAGATATATTTTAACTTTTTGTATATAAATACAAATGGGGAGAAAGTAATGGGACACTACCCAGACCTTATTATCTCTTTTGATGTATGTATTTAATATAAAAAAATGTTTAGGACTATGATGATTTGAATGTCTTACAAAGTTTATTAAAAAAATCATTACCAAAAGATGCTATAATTAAAAGAAAAGTAAAGTTCATTTGTGAATGGTGTGAAACTATAAAAAAAAGTGTTCCGGGTTTTGCTAGCCACATAAAACAGTGCCAATCCAGACCAGTAAGATAAATAATTCTATAATTTATTAGATAATACATGTTTAATTTGATATCAGGATAAACCAATTTCTTTAAATGCAAATGGACTAGATTCAACTATGTCAGACAGAGAATTATATGAAAGAGATATATCAGTGGTAAGTTTATTTTGTGAATCTTGCTAGAGCATGCATATTTTATAAAAAAAAAGTTAATTTTTTGAAGGTAACTTGTGGACGTTGTAATAAACAAATGACTTATAAAGAATACCATTTAAAACATTGTTCTTCTCATTATAATTTATGTTGGATTGACGGTGAAGATAAACTAGTGAGTAAAAGTTGATCTTATGTTTTACATAAAATTAAATTTTTAATGTGTAACGTTTTTTTTTTTTTAGGATTTGGGAAATTACGATACCGTATTAAATAAATTGAGACAATATATGCCTTTTAAAGTTACCCGTAATCGAGGAGTAAACTTAACTTGCGAAGATTGCCAAACTGTTAAAAAAAGTATTGTCGGGTTTGCCAGTCATGTAATATTCTGTAATAAATCTGCTAGTGTAAGTAATATAGTCAATTTATAAGTATAATTTTTGGTAGCATACTTAATTTGGATGAATATGGTTTTTGGGGTTTATTGATTCACAGTTACATTATGTATATCCACAGGACTAACTTTATTCATTATTCTTTAATTTAATATGGATAAATTTAAATATTAACTAACATATTATGTTATGATTGTATATTACTATGTGATACTTCGTATTTTAACTATATTTGCAACTGATAATAATATCCATACTATATATTGATACGTTTTAAAATGTAATATAATGTCATTGTGCTATCTAACTGTATGACTTCCATGAAAAATTAGTATAAATAGTCAATGATATTAACAAATTATATAAATAAAATTGTGTTATTCTTGGATACCATAAATTGTTAACAAATAAACTTGGAATAGTCGTATTTTATACTGATTATTGTTTTAAAATATTTTGAATTTCAATTTTGAACACCAATTATTTACCAGTTTACCAGTTAGTTTCGGTAAAACAGGATGTACAAGATAGTTTGGAAAATCCCCAAAAGATATAGTGAAAACATTTACACATCAAATTTAGTTTGGTTAGGTAGTAATAATTATTAATTATAATTGATAAAAGAGCGATGTATACTTTTTTTTTTGATGAATTTTGTGATTTTTTCTTTTTTGCTTGTAATTACTCAAATAAAATTTGTTTGTTCTTCTATATTTTAAATTCTGAGTGTAGGGTGGGAGCTATTGGTTTTACAAAGCTGTTTATTTTTTTTATCATTTCTTTCTTTCTTCGTATCTGTGGGCGCATTTTTTCCTAGTAAACTTGCTCTGATTTTTTACGTTTAGGACCATTTCTGTGGAAATTCAAGTTGTTTAGATTTTACTTCAGAGAAGTTATTTTTTAAATAAAAGCATTTAAATGGGAAAAAGCGTTGGAAAACGTACAATTTCATGATTTCATTTTTTTTATAAAAAGATGAACTGTTATTTTCTTCCAGAAAAAATGATTTAATTGAAAAATCACAAAATATCTCTTTTATTGCCTTTTTAATTTACTTTTTTATGGTATAATTGCCAAAACTTTTGAGCTTTTTATAGAATTTTAATTTTTGGGAGTTTGTTTGTTGTAATTTGGTTATAAATACATGTAGAGACTTGAAACTTGGTAATAATACTTACATTGGACATACCTAAAAGTGGTAAAATTTTCAAAATCATCGGGCAATTTTTTTTTTTATAATCGTTTTGAAATCAAATTTAAACGAAAATCACAAAAAAAATTATGGCCCTTCAAATTATATATTATTGAACTGCTCTCAGAATAGTCTTTTGTCAAGCAATGGTTTCAGATATAAATGAAATAATCTTATGTATCTTAACTTCCCAACTTCTCACCTACAACAGTATCAGCTCTTTTTTTTTTTTAAATTTATGATATGGAACAGATTTGATATTTTAGTAAATTGATATGCTTATCTATAGGAAATAATACGTATTTATTTACAATAGTTTACTTGGGAAGTATACCGTGTGTACTATTTTTATTATTATATGGTTTTATAAACTTTTAAATGTTGTTTTTGGAGTAAAAAATGACCAAAATACTTTTATACATAACTAGTATATAAATGTAAATTGAAAAATGTATTATGTAGCTCAAGAAGTCTGATGTCACCAGTAACTAAGGACAAAAATTATAATTTTTGTAATTATATTATAATATTAATAATTTAAAGTTATGCAATTATATAACATATATTTTTTGAATAATATGTAATTATAATGTTCTTTTTTATTATTTTAGTATATTAATACTAAAATATAATTTTTTTTTTTTTTTTTAAAATTAACATAATATTGTAATAATATTAGAGTATAAATGGACATATTTTGCATGATGAGTAGGCCAATGTTATAGGTGATAAGTTAGAAGGTAGGATATAGAGGGGGAATTAAATTTATATTTGAAAGCAATGAAAAACGATTCAGAGCAAACTTTGGTTATACATGTTTTGTCTACAGAGTACCTACCAAGTACAAAATTATGTTAAAAACAAACAAAATTAAAATTTTTATAAATAATTGAAAAATGGCTAATATGTTTTGAAAATTTACCATGTCTAGATAAATAAATATAAGTTTTCCGTCAAAATTTCAAGTCTTAATAAATATTTTTATCCTAATAATAACAAAAAATCAAAATTGAAAATTTCGTAAATTATCCCATTTTTCCTATGGTTTTTCCCAATTATTATGAAAACTCCTTGAAAAATCGAAAAAATGATCTCTTGAAGTACCTAGTTAATAAAATTGATTGGTTTTCATAATAGATGTTACACTTGATTGGATCAATATTTGTGGTAGAAAAGTGGCTCACAGATGAAAAAAAATAAAAATTATTGTACTACCAATACATTCCTCGTTATGCTATGGATTTTCCCTAAAACTGATATTATTTATTAATATTTATATTATATTTAATATATGTTTATCTAAATCTGATGTTAAGATTTATTAAATTCTATTTGGCAAAGTCCAAATTATAAACATCATTCTGAGTTTGACCAAACTATTTCTTATTTTCTAGGTATTTCTATTAATAAATATCTAAAATTCAGTATTTGTATGTAGAGTTGTAGACAATATTTTTGTAGATTTAGAGTTTTCACAAAATTTAAGTAGTATCAAGTATCAACATTTTAACACCAAACATTTTTTTTCTAATATTCCATCTATAATGGAATTTTTAATACAAGTAGGTTCTCATTTAGATAAAAAAATATTGGTATTGTCTTTAAAAATGGAGTGAGCATACTTAATGAATCACCCAATATATATTATAATGTTTTACTATTTTACAGGATATAGAAATGTTGTTGGTAACATGTAAAGAATGTGGGAACCAAATTAAACCACCATCATTAGCAGCTCACAAATTGAAAAATTGCAAAATGTTGATAAAAGCTCAAGGTGATGATATCAATAAAAATGATGAAATTGTAAGTTACAAATAGTTATTTTCTATCGTAATGTTTAAATTAAACAGTTTTAATTTAAAAAAAAAATAATAATTAAATAACATTATAGATAAGTCATTATAGTCCTTTACAGTTTTAGTTTAAAAGAATATTTAACCATTTTATGATGTTTGAAGAGTAGATTTAATTACGTATAGAAAACAAATTAATAATTAGTTCACATTTCTGTTCAATAATTTGTTCACAATTTTAAAGTGTGTATATTTTTTGCATTACTAATACTATAAACTTGATAATAATATGTATATCTTATTTTTTACATTTGGTTTATTATGTATTATTATACAGTTTTATTTAATGACTTTTAAATTCTAAGTGCAACAAGGATTATTTAGGATTTTTTGTCACAATGTGTGTTTTTTAATTATTATTAGGGTTATAATGTATAATATAAAAAAAAGATTTTATTCATAATACTTGGTAACTCAGTAGCTGCGCCAGGATTTTATTATGCTAAAACCAGTTAAGGACCAACAAATATTTGGTTGGACTATCTAAAAATTGTTTTCCTAACACATACACACATTTTTAAATAATAAAATTAAAATTTATGAGGTACTACATAATTAAATTTAAAAAATAGTGTTTTTTACTTTGTAACATAGTAATTTTAAAATAATCCTTTGAATATGAGCATCGGCAAATTTATCATTAAATTTGACAGACTTGTATTTAATAATCTGTTTTTTAAGTAATTTTTTACTCTACTCATGTCATACAAGAAAATGTACGTTCACATGATTATTTTATTAATACAGGTAATGTTATAGCGATAGAGTTAAGCTTAATGTTTCTTAAAAAACTATTTTATATTTTTAACCTATTAAAGAAACTATTAAATAGGTATATTTTAATCTTTAATTTTCAAATCATTTTTTTTTTTCATAAAGTATACTTTTAAGTAGTATATTTAATTCTGATTTTAAACATTGTGTATCATATTAATAAGGTTTATTAAAAGGAATTATAGTATCATAAGCTAAAAATGTTGTAGATTTGGATTAAAGACATTAATACCATTAACAAAATTAGATAATTGCCAAAAAATCTCTTATGCAACTCATTTATTATTTTATCTATGTTGCAATAAAATATTGTAAATCTTTATTCATTTTCTGGCAGTTCTTAAATTATTTATAAGCATTTTAGCTAATTAAAAATAGGATCATATTATAAAGATTTTTATTTGTATAAGTGTTCTGAGTTCAAATTTTTTTTTTGAAAAGTTACAGTATTAAAAAAAAATATTTAACCATATTTCACTTAGAATAATTTTTCATTAGTAAAGATGTTTGTTTGTAGAAATATATAAATTAAATAACTATGTTTACTACCTAACCAATTTTCTATCTACAACAGTTGCTCATCCTTCAGCGGTATCATCTTTTTTTTTTGTTAGATTCAATTATACAGATCACGTCGGAAAAAAAGGCCTCCGAATGTTTTAAGTTTTCACCCAGACACCAAATATGTGAATGAATTTTATGTATGATAGTAATTTTTAAATTCAGGTTGATAATATATATTTATATTTTTATTTTATTTTTTAGAATTTTATATGTCGTTTATGTGACTTCATTGCATCAAGTGTTAATGATATTTTTAATCATATTTCATGTATCCATAACATTGATATTAATGAAATTAAGTATAAACATAATTTTGAAAACTGTATATTAAGTGAGTATAATTAATTAAACATTATAATTTGTTTTTATGTAGTATATAAAAATTGATTTTTCTCTAGATGAATATGATGTGCACAAAAATATATATTTGAAGCCCTTATTAAATTATTATAATTAGTAAGATACAGATTTTAATTTCATTTGCTTATATTTGATTTTGAGTGTTATTTATAATATTTTTAGTTCCAGAAAAATGTTTTGGAAGACTATTTGTCATGAAAATTTTCATCCCGATTTATTTGTTTTAAATAATAACGAAGCATTGAAGTATTTACCATCAGTTCAAAAATCCTGTAAAATATTTAATTTGGATGATGAACAAATTAGTGTTGATCTATTTAAGTCTGCCTATGTCAATGGTAAAGCAATTCAATTTTTAAAATTTTAAAATTTTATTTAAAATTTATTTTGTAGGTATGTATTGGTTGTTTACTGGTGGTCCCAATTGGGCTATATCGTGGTGCCCTGTTCCAGAAGATGTTAAAATTCAGTATTTAGCAATAGCGTGCCATCCTAAACCTGATTTGGTGCATAAAGAGATGGACAGTTATAAATACCCATCCATTTTGCAGCTATGGACATTTAATTCATTAAATAATATTAAGTAAGCTCTATTACTAAGCAATATATTTATATAATATAGATTAGTTAACATTTACAAGTTTTATGTATACATGTTTTGTAATAACAAAGTTCATGTTTTAAATTAATCTTTGTTCACTTTATATTTTCTAAACTGCCCAATTTTCCATGAATAAATACAAAGGATAGCTATAATCTATCCTTAACATTTATTTTCATAAATTGTAAAGTATATGTTTTCAGTTATAAACCTATAACTGCTTCTAATATGCCATATATGTCTTATGGTTTGGCTCATGAATTCGGAGCTGTGTGGGATATGGCATGGTGTCCTTCAGGAGCTTATGAACCTCAAAACAAAATTGGTATTTTGGCATTAAGTACATCTTGTGGAGATTGTCCCATATTTGCAATGCCTTGTGTAGAAGGGAATCAAGAAATGTAAATTTATTGTTTAATAATTATTTTATATTTAGAATTGCAATATAAAATTTAAAATAAACCACCATAATATGTAGGTATTATTTGTACAAATCAAAACCTGTGATAGCAAGAAATTTTGAATGTGAATGGGTAAAAGGAGGTGTGCAATGTACAAAAGTTTGTTGGCAAGTAGCTTCACCATTTAGGTAAGATAAATCACAATCAATGGAATAAATAATATATACATTTCTTGAAAAATCTAATAAAAATGAATAAAAATTTTACAAATTTATAGCTCTAAGATCTGTGATTTTTAACTTCAAATTGGTTACCAATTTGGTAAAATACTACAAATTTAATAATATTCTATTTTTATGGGTTAGATAGATATAATATATCTATATATGATTACATATTATGTATCAATTTGCAAGTTTCTCTTAAACTCAGATACTACTATTTGACCCCTTCTCATTTCATCATAATAACATCCCATAAATGGTAGAAAATTCATCAGAAGACCCAGTTTTAATTTCCTGTCAAAAAAAAAAAAAAAAAAGTTATATAGTGATACTATCTAGGTACCTGGTTCCCTTATTTACTAGTCTTGAATTTGAACCGCTTATATGGGTGTACAAAATAATTGGTATAATATTGAATCAAAAATTGTATACGTAGTTGATCCTTCATTAATATCAGTCTTATTTAGCATACTTTATTTGTAGTAATTGGTATGTATTCGTCTTTGAAGAAAATACAGTGCTAGTAATACATATTGGAATAGATTAATATATTTACTATATACAGTATACAATAAGTATCTATGACAATACATATCACATATATATCATGCATATCAGAACTGCATTTTTGGAGTAAAACTTATAATATACTATTTTATATGAATAATTTTTATGTTCAACTTATTCTTAGAATAATGCAAATTAAAAAATATATATATTTGAACGGAAATTGTTTTAATAAAATATACAATGTATTATTTTACTTACTATTATATTCATTTTTTATGTATTTATTTATTTATTAGATCTGTATATTTTCTAAAAATGTTTGATTACTTTATTACTTATTTTTGTATAACAATACTATAAGTTAAAAAATTGTATGTATTTTGAACGTTTTAGAACAATTATATGTGGTTATTCAAACGGTGTAGTAAGTGTGTTCAATTTAAATTTTAAATCAATTTTTCTTAAAGATGATATACTATATCCAAGCCACAGTTTTAGGGCAAGTAGAAGTAGTATAACCGGTTAGTACATTATTTACTATTGTTAAAATTGTTTTTGTATTTATCTCAAAAAAAAATGTTTTTATTGTATATTATTGTTTTTAGGTTTGTCTATGAATTATTTTAATTCGTCAATTTTAGCAACTACAGCAACTGATGGTTCTGTATTATTGTGGGATTTGCATATGACTGAAAATCCAATTTTCCAAAAGAAATCTTATAGTCCTTCTGATTGTACTTGGCTTCAACAATGTTACACATTAGTATATTGTAGTAGAGGTGTTAAGTAAGTAAATGACTTGATATTATAAAATTTATTTTATACTCTATTGAAGTTAAGAAAGCCTAATTTTAAAAAAACATTCATTGTCAGTATCGAACACAGTCTTTAATTTTAAATTTTAATCGCTCTTAACCTGAATAGTGTATAATATTTTAAACTTAATACATTTTTAATTAATTTGTAATTCAAACATTTTATTTAATAGCCCTGCATTCTTAAAAGTTCGGACTGTAAATTTTTCAAATTATGATAATGATGGAGATAATTATATTCCCGAATTATATGTTTTAAATAGTGTTCAAAATAGTAAATTAATCAGCAACTATAATATTATAGTAAATAATAATGAAAAATTAAATTGTGATGATGCTGATAATACTTTTAATGGAGATGAAATCAGTATGAATAATGCAACAACTATTCTTAATGATTCCAATATAACTTTTGATGATGCTGATGATACATTTAATGAAGAAGACAAAATGAATATGAACAATGAAACCATGCTTCCTAATGATTCTAATATAAATTGTGACAATGAATCATGTAAATCTATTGAATCGAGTTCAAATAGCAATGAGAAAGGTGATGTGAAACTTGATGGTGAAGAATGTACTGCAAAACCTGAAGATGTCTCAAAAAATATTGAAGAGGAAGATTTTTATGGTCCTGCTTTTTTCCAACAGTGTACTCATTGGGTTTGTATAAATAAAATGCTGATTAATTTAAATTCGAAAATATACTTACATAATATATTTTAGACTATATCCGGATCAAACTGGATGAATGTCATTGCAACTGGGAATGAAAATGGTTATATTTACGAAACATTGTTTTTCCCAGAAACCAATCAAATGAGAACGGCAAACTCTGTGAGTATATGGTACAAATTTTATATTATATTTTTATTGAAACAACATTACCTTCATTGTAGTATTTATGACTATTACTATAATATTTAATACTATATTTTCCATTCGTCTGTGTACAGTGTTGAAAGAAATTTGTTTTTAGGTGATAACAAGTTTCTCTGTGACTCACATTTTTCAAACCCCCATTCAGTTAACAGTTGTTCCCCGGTGTTTTACATTTTAAAAGAGATCATTCTTTGCAAATGACAACTTTTCAAAAATTAATTATCATATAATCTTACTATTAATATTTAGTTCTACACATTGTGCACAGTATTGAATGAACATAAACTTTTACAAATTATATTTCTCTATGAAAACTTAGTTTGACTCCACTATCAGATTTCTCCAGGTAATGATTTAAATTATCATAGTTTTTTTATTTATTTATTTATACGGAAAGATATTCCAATTAAAATGAAATTAATTATGTAGTATCTGAAAGTAGAAATTGCAGCTAAAATAGATTTTTTTTATACATAAATATGATATTGTACAGTATAAGCTATACTTTACATAAAATAAATACAAATATGTTATATAAAGACTAATATAATTTTACAATGTAATCATACATATGTCATTTTTAAATGACTCAAAACTATAATTAAATATATCAGTTTTAAGATTTAACATATTGCCGTGTATCATTAAAATTGTATGAGGGGAAAAAAATAAATAATTATATTGAATATTTTCAATATAAAATAAATTCTTGGCTTGGGTTAGTCTAAAATGACAATTAAAATTTATTAACTCTAGTAATTTTAGGACTATCAATGAAATTATTAATTAGTTTAAAAAGAAAAATTAAATTACAAGTAATTTGTTTAGCACTTCATCTCATGTTTAAGTACTGTAAGATTCCTTCATAGCTATGAAATACATTTTTCTATATAATACATATTTGTTTAACTAATTGATTCGAATAAGGTGTTTTACTCTAATTATTATTTATTTATTGTTCATGATTATAACTACCATGGTAACCATTTTTGCTTTCTTATTGATGTTGCATACCTTATTTTTTTTATTATTATATATTGTATCTGAAGGTGCATACCTTGCTTTGGTGTATTTTTTAAAAATACACGCGAATATATTGATTTAATAAATCCATTTTTGACAAATATACAAGTAAAAAAATAAAATAATGAATAATAAACAATCACCATTTAATTTCCATAAAAAATAAAAAATATGTCTATGAGATTCCTTGTGTGTCATTATATTTTCAGGAGTCAAAAGTACTTTTAAACTTCTATTCCTGAACTAATAATGTTTATAACTGTTTTTTTTTATTAAGGTTGATATTATTATTATTTAAAGAACAGCCGTTGGTAACAGTATCTTTACCATAGATATTATTAGTGCTGTTGCAAGGCAATAATCTGAAAGTTCCTTATGATACTCAAAGTCACTTAATTTATGTACTCAGTTTCAGCCTTTCAACAAATTTTCCCAAAAAAGAAACCCAATTCGATGAATATCTATGTCCTAAAACACTTAAACCTGATACCTGCTTTACAGATATCAGTTTCACAGTCTGCTTTAAAAGCATCATTTTTAGTCTTATAGAATTTCAAAATGTGTTTGAAACCATATTTTACCTGCTACTATTGTTATATTGACATATGGACTGCAACTATGGGGAAACGCTATAAAGTCTAATCTAAATAAAATACAAACTTAACAAAATATTGCGCTTCAAAAATTATTAAATGCACCTCCCTAAGTATCTAATCATACTATTCATTCAGATCTAAAAATGCCTCTAGTGCACGATGAAGCAAACATTTATTACAAACGTTTCCACCTTCACTTAATATCCAACCCCAATCCGCTTGTTAGAAATCTCGCTGTCCCAACAATCTCCGATAACCCTACAAGAAAGTTGAAACGCAAATGGCGCCGTGACTTGCTTGATATATAAATAACGTTCTAAATAAATAAGTATAATCAAAAAAAAAATTTACATATGAGTATATAAAAAACAAGTGAAAGTGTCACTAATGGGTAGCTGCTTTAATCAAACGTAACATGTACTATATGAATTATTGTAAACTATATTAATATTAATATTCATATTATTATTAACTATGTTTTGATACCTTATATATCTATTCTGTATCACATTTACTCATTGTGCCATAAGGTATAGATTGTAAATTTCTTTTAAAAGTAAAAAAAAAACTATTGATAAGTGTACGGAAATAATTAACGAAAAAAATTGCAAAACAATTAAAAAATATTCCTCTTTCTGCTACTACAGTTGCAAGATGTATATCACTTATCAGTAATGATTTATAAGTGCAACTTTTGTCTTGGTTGTCAACAGGAAATGTTTTTCTTTACAGCTCGATGAGAGCACTGATATTGCAAACGATGCAATATTGCTATATTATGTGAGATATTTTTATAATAACAAAATTATACGAGTATATACTGTTCTCCTCAAAACTTGAAAGTACAACTACTGGAAGAAACATTTTTGATACGTTAGTAAACTTATTTATGATTTGCGGATGGAGTATTTTGTGTAAAAATAGCCATGCTCATACATCTCAATAAGTTTTTGTTTGTATTACTACGTGCACTTTTTTTCTGTATCATAACATGTATTTTTTTATATCATTACACATAATAAAAAATTAAATATTATCTAGAAAAATGTTTATTTTTATTTATACAGTTTTAAAAGCACTTCTACAATGACATACTAAGACATTAATCAACTTAAACTTTTTTTTTGGCTATCAAAGCTGACATTGGTCGAAAAAAAAATGTATGGTAAGAAAATTAGGTTGCGAGTCAAAAAGTTTGAAGACCACTGCTCTAGACCAAATGAGCTCAGACACCGGAATTAGAGTTGTTTTATATGTGGGAATCAAAATAATAATATTTATATTAAATTTGAATGAGTTACAACATGTTGAGGGGAAAGTCTATTTTTAGATTTGATGTGTAGCGAGGGATCTATATCTTTTACTATGTGTATTTTTATTTTTCTGTCTGTAACTTTCAACAATTAACAACCAGAAATTTTGATCCAATGTATAGAATCTGGTACCTTTTTTGAAAGGAACTTTTTTCTAGTTGGTGCGCTATAGAGGGTTATTTTTTGATTTTCCTAGAAGTTTTCAAAATAATTTAAAAAGACTGGAAAAATAATTGTAGGTAAAATGGTAAATATTTACGATGTATTATCCATTTTATGGATTTTAATTTGTGCAAACTATGTTTTATAACAGAGATATCGATTTTGTTCCTTTTAATATGTAGCCACTGACAGAGGAAGTCGTTTTTTAATATCTAAAGCAGTTTTTATAATTAAGTGGGAAAACCAAAAAAGGCTAAAAATTTAATTTTTTTCAAATTATTGTGCAGCGAGTTCATTATTTAAAATTGTTAAGATTATACTATTATATAGATTTTTCTACCAGAAATCATTGTCTAAATTATAAAAATAGCAAATTCACTGAAAGAAAATGCTGTTTAGTTTGTAAGTAATAAAGTCGTTATTTGATTTTCCATATAGTTTTCCTAATAATTATGAAAAAAACACAAGATATATTATAAATTATACTTAGTGGTTTAAAAAACAAATTTGAATTTAATGCATTAATCTTTTTTTTTTCATAAACGTTTTAATATTTTAACAAAAATGAAAAAAAAATATACGGCATTTAAAATATATCTTACCGAACTTAACTCTGAATTGTTTTTTCATTAGCAATGGTTTATCTTTATTTGTACAGTTATAAATTTAATACTTTTATTTATCCTCTTCCCAATTTCCCACTTACAATAATGTCTGCACCCGTCCTCAGTATCAGCTTTTTCTTTTAATTATGAACACCATAGAGACTCCCTTCTAATAGAAGGAAGGGGGATGCAATTTCGTTTGTCTATTCTATTAGTGTTTAGGACGTGCCTTTGGCCGTTTCAATTTTCAGCCTCTGTCCTTACAATTTTTTTTTTTTTCTAAAGTAATATAGTATTCAGTTATTCATTGTATTAATAATAATATTTCTATAATTCTACCAAATTGGGAGGGAGGGGAATTAATTTCTAATGGCAGAGCTTTACTGGGTGTTTTTTTATAATATAAATACCAAAAAAATTAATAAATAATCATATTTATACCATTTCAGACAACACTTCAATTGGTAGTTAGACGATTATCAAGTGATACATCTCAATCAGAATATTCAAGTGGGTATCGTTTTAAAGAAACTGTTAACGAGTTTGGACTAGAATCCCAATTTGTAAGTATTTATCACGGCTATAGATTTATATCTAGTATCTTGTCTGTATTTTTTTTTCAAATGTTTATGTTTTCTATTTCTAGTATTCTTTTCATAAAAAGGCAAAAGATGACAAGAAAAGCAGCAAACCATTGTTAAGATATCCTCTAGACAATATAACTAAAGTGATACTTTTTTTAATGCATTATTTTTAAAAATATATAAAATTAAATCCTTATAGTATTTTCGTATATTTTAGATTGCCTGGAATCAAAATTTTAGTTCATTTCGTTGGTTAGCAAGTGGAACTCAATGTGGATTTACTATTGTATCACCATCCAAAGCAATGTCCGATTCTTATTTTGAGTTATTTTATGAAACAATTTCTAATTTTAAGAAATAATGACATTAAAACTGACATGTTTAGACTGATATTATTTTTCATTAAGTACGTTATTTAATTTAAATCAAAGATAATACTTTTGATATATGTTCCAACTTTTTTTTTCTACATTAAAAACTTATTTTTAATTTATAATATATTAAATTGTAATTGCGTTTTTTATAATTAAGAAGTAAATCCATATGTAAAATCAACTGTTGGTGGTGAGTTGTATACTTGTATAAATCCTTAATAGAATTTATTCTACTATTTAATATTATACCAAGAATTAGTTTGTTTTTTAAATCTCATTATGAGAGCACATTATTTTTGTGAAAACTTAATTGAACTAAAGTAAAGATATATTTTTAAAATTACTAAAAAGGAAAATGTATTAGAAATTATTCAAATATTATTCATAACCATAAGCAATAATTATGATAAGAAAGGTGTTCTCCCCTTGGTAATAAAACTTGTTGTATAATACTAAAATTTTGAGTAACAAAAAGTTCTAAAGATGGGAATTCATTAAAAAGTGGTAAGTAAAAAGCAAATGATGCCAATTTCTATACTTCACTTAAAGTGAGTAGTTTTATTACTGTTATTTATTTGATGCTAATGTTTAGAAATTTTATAAAATTATAATTGTGAAAGACTAAAGGAAAACATGCTAAAAAAAATGAACATTATATGACAATTAATATTGTTCAACAATATTATTTTGAATAATTTAGAAAATATATGAGGGTAAGTATGAAGACAATATAATTAATCTATATTTTTAAATCTATCACTATAAGCTATTTACAATGAACAATTATTTTATTTGTCATTAGAAATTTTCTTTATTTTTTTCTTCATAGTGTTGTTATATTTTACATACTTATTTTTACCTTATCATTTTTTTTTAATTATTAATTCCAAATAAAATGCTAATAGTAAATCTCAGAATTCACATACAATTTTTTCTTAATAAATGAATGATCTTAACAAATCAAAGAATAATAAGGTTATAAATCTCATTCTTACTACTATGCTAGAACTAAATAGCATCTTTTAAGTAATATAACATTACAGATTAAAGGATCAAACACTGCAAGTTCATAAAGTGAGAATTATAATTTATTCAAATTGTATTTAATGATATACCTTTAATCATTAATTTACAAAAAAGTAATATAATATTAGTTGTGACTACTTATATTATATTGTTATTTCAATTATTGATACCTGTTTAAAAGCTATTTGGGGTAAATTTATAAAACAAATAAATAATGCAATTTATATAATTTCATAATGTACCTATTCGGCTATTATTTTTTATTATTATTATTATTGTTTATTTCTTCGAAAATATAATGGTTCACAATTTATAGTAAAGAAACTAATACATTAATAATAATAATTTATTATTTTATTATTTGTATTTATATATTGTATTATTTTATTTTGTTTTATTTTTAATGGATTTGAAGTTGTATCGAAGGCACATCCAAAATAATAATACCATAAGTAACTATAGATTCTACTAGAAATTTGTACACAATTCTAATTTTCTTAATTTCAAGTAAATTAGCTAAATTTTTGAAAATATAGATTATTTTTCTTAATTTTAGCATGGTCTGTTTTATGTGGTTACATTTAGGATTATGGCACATTTCAATGCCTAATATTTTACTAATTTTAATGAAGTTTTACATGTACAAGATTTTGGATTTAAGCATTAGTGTTCATGAATACACAGATTAGTTATAACTGGTTGGTTTAAATTAGTTATATACTATGGTAATAAGCAGGTTTTATCTAAATTTAAGAATAGGATATTAACACATGACCAATTATTGATTTTTTTCAAATCATTTTGTATGGATGAAAATACTTCGTCCCAAGAGTAGTTACTCGCAACAAAAAGAACAGTGTCATCAGCCTAACTAATTAGTTTTCTGCGTATCTTTAAATTGTTTATTTAGTTAATTTAATTATTAAATAGGGTGAGAGAGAGGTTGGTACCTTGAAGTACTCCACATACTGTGTGTGTTTCAAATTCTTGGTTTCCTATTTTAGCGAAGAAACATGGTTTTACAACGATTTTTTTATTCCTATGAACAACTATTCTACCAGAAAACTTGTTCTGATTTACATTGATAGTACTTTTTCTCTTTGGGTAGGTATTTTAGGGAGGTCATTTTTTGATTTTCTCATGAATCTTTTCAATAAATGGAAAAAACTACAATCACTTTTTATAAATACAAGAATAAATTGACTATTACTATAAAACAATAGTTTTTAATATTTTTTAAATTAAAATAACTGTCCTAGGATAATGGGGATGGTTGCGGTTAATTATCGCTATTGGTGAGAAATTGAGATGGTAGTAGAGGGAAAATTTAATGTATATCTGTACACAACAATTAACCATTGCGAAGGAAAAAAGGATTCTGAGCAGAATTTGGTTGATATATTGTATGTCATATTATGATAAAATGATTACAAATACATTATATATTTTCTTTAATAATATTTGTTTATTATTGTACCTTTTTTCCCATTTATTATGAAAACAGCTGGGAAAATAAAAAAAAAACTTCCCTTAAGTACCTCCTAAGTCAGATTTCCTTTTAGAAAAAGTGCCATTATTGTAAATCTGAGCAAAATTGCTGGTGGAAAAGTTGGCCATAGGAAAAAAACCAACACATTCCTCACTTCATTCAGAATCTCAAATATATATAAAACAGAAATGTATACAATAGTTAAGTGATATAATTTTACATAGGTACCTATTATACTAAAATAAAATAATTTTTTTAATTAAAAAAACAATTGTTAAAACAAAATAATGTTTATACATATAAACTGATATAAACTGAATACAAAGTCAATTAGAATTATATATATATTTTATATAATAAAACAATAACACATTATTATCATGATTTATTTAATATTTACAATACTGTTGTCAACATCATATTATACATTGGAGTGGGTTAACCTCTAAGATGAGTTAATTAGTTCATAAGTAGGTAACTATATTAAATTTATTTATCAAAGTTTTAGTATACCTATACCACTAAGTTTTACTATATTGATTAATATTAACATCAAAAAAGTACCTAATATTATTATTACCTACAATCTACATATAATAAATTACTACATCCTTTAATATAAATCAGTATTTAAGTACTTTTTAATAGGTATCTATTTTAAAAATTTATTTGCAGTACCTAGTTTATTATAAATAAATAATATAAAGAGGTATATATACCAATAATTTAGACTATATACATTATAAATTATAAAACCATAATTATCAACAATAAAATTATTTGTATAGGTAGGTAAGCCAAAGTATTGTTTAGGAATAAGCAGCTTGAACTCAATAGATTTAATGAATTTTGTTTTATCACTTTATCAATATAGTACCTACTTAAGTTCATTTTATGCTTATGAAATTAATTATTATATCAATATGGTATTAAATATTTATGGTGGTAAGTAGGTATTTAGTTCACGATAATAGCTTGACCTTTATATTAAAATTAGATTAAATCTATGGTCGTATATTATCAATCGTACTACTTTTTATACATGCCTACCATCGAATCTGATTATAAGAATATGCTATAAAACTAATATGTAAATACATAATGTGTACTTAGCTACCAAAATAATGACGTATAAGTACTGTCTACAACAATTAAGTGATAACCTTTTATTTATTTTAATTATTAGTCAAAGATTAAAATATTTTACAGTTAAGAATGATTAAATATATTAGTACCCATCTACCTATACCAATTTATTAACATACGATTATATTATTTTTACGAATATTGACCAAAATATTACCTTATTTCAATATGTAAATAATCAGTGATAAATGTATTTGTTTTGTATGAACTGGACACGAACACGTTACAAGTTAAATAACTGAACTTGAATGTAAGTAAACTAAGTTCAAATTTTATATAAACGTGAATGTTTTTGTTTTATCCGTTGACAAGTTAACTTTCATATACCATTATTACATTAGTTAAGTTTATTACGAATGTTTTATTTAAACATTGAAGGAGAACCCAAAATAGATAATAATTTAACAGTTTTTTTCAACACATGAAATTATAATAATTTCTGTTGCACTTTAAGAACTTAAATTTAAATTTTTAACATGTTTTCTTTAGTAAAATTTCGGCCGATTTCCCAGAAAAATCTTAATATGTTGATTGGAAAGTGGCTTTTTTTTAGATCCGACTTTTAAATTACCAATTTACATATTCGAATAAGACGCGAAGACGAATTTTATTATTTTTTTCACGATTTTTATTTGTTACATCCCCTCCAATTGAACATTTCTAAGCACGCCACTGTTAACCATTGTCCAATAGTAACAAGTTAGGTAGATACCTGGCGAAAATTGAATTGGCTACTAATAATATTTTCAACAAGTGTATCTCAAAATAGAAAAATATAAGTACTATGCGAAATTATAATTTTTAGTAACACAGTGCCGAATTACTACGGTAGAATACAAAAGGGATTTAATGTACATCTGTAAGCAGCGATAAACCATTGCTAACCATAAAACTATTCCGAGCGGGTTCAGTTGATAGTGATACTTAGTCAACAATATATATGTCAATATATCATATAATGGAATGAAATTATTATAAGAAGTTGATGTAATATCCAGATAACAATATAATACATTATACAAGCACTAGCTAACAAATTTAAGCCTACTGAATAATAATTATTTATTTTTTTAATTGAACTTTATTATTGATATTTGAATTTGACTCAGTGTAATTTAATATTTATATTTTAATTATTTATTATTTATTTATTTATTGTTTTGAACCATTTTGATAACTAATTATGTATTTATGAAATAAATGTTGAGGGAGAAGTAAATTCAATATAAGTAAAAATATGCATTACCTAAGTTCGGGAACCAATTCAATAACCTCGAGGTACCCAAGTGGTAGTATCATGTGAAACAATATTTTGTTGAATAAATATTTAAATTTTAAAATTTTAGTGTTGAGTGAATATCCCAAACAGCACAATGACCGTCGTAAGACGGTATAGACGTGACTATAACAGGAAACGCCTGTTTAATTCCCAGACAGCTCCAGGAGTCTAAGACGGGTCTGTACGATTCCGAATGTCGGAATGAGTTCAAACCTACCAGCCGCCAGGACCCGACAGGAAACCATTTTTAAATGGTCATAAAAACGTCTTAAACGTTCCTAACTTCCCGGGTTGAAAAGTTGGAATTGATCCAGGGTGAAATTTTGAAATTTGTAGGCACGTAAAACACACTTCTTTAGCTACCTGATAATCATAAAATATTGTTTTTTTGGCGAAAGTGTATATCCTATAAATTAGACCAATTGATTTAACCCATATCTCAAATATGCAAAATGTAACAAATATGTTATTTTGTACTAAATTATGTTAAAGACACAAATCGTATTTGTTTTAAGAATAATTAGTATAATGATAAGTACAAGTTTTAAAATACCCTAATTTCATTAATTGAACATTTGGATTAAACCAGTTAACCTTAACTAGTTGTTTCCCGGTGTTATCAAAATGCGTCCGGGTGCGCATTAATTGAACTAAAACAGCCGGTTACCACAACCGTCTGAGATGTTAGGGTATTAGCGCTTAAGGGGATTGAAAATAATAGTTTTTGTCTGTCTTACATACGTGCAACATACAGACTTGTTTTATTTCCAACGTACCGATTGGTTCGAGTGAAGCGATAAGAATTTTGAAAGCAAATTTAAATATGTGGTCAAGTCTTCTTAAATGAAAATTTCCACAATTTTGATTTTATCCCCTTAAATTTTAAAAAAAGGAGTACAGTAATCTCTCGTTATCCACGGATTTTTTAATCGCGGTTAAGATTATCCATGCTAGAGTCGAAAATACCCTTTATTTAATAATTCATTTATTTTATCGCTATTATATGAGAACGTTGTAATTTTTTTTAAATAAAGTTAGATCATTTTATGTATAACTATACACATAAATTCTACGTCTTTAGAGATAAATGCCATATAATAGGTACATATGAACATTGCAACTTTAAAGACCCTATTGCGTACGAAAAACTTAGCAAAGGCATATAGAGAATAAAAGGAAAAAAAATCCATCGCATAGGTTTTTTCGTCCTTTTTAATATATATAAATATGTATATAATTTATATGAATAATTTACTAATTAATTGTATAAATTAAAACAAGTTAATAAAATATAAACAAAAATATCAGTGTTTTCAAAATTTAAAAAATAAAACATAACCTCCTTTCTACATTGATTTATGGTCTCATTATCCGCAGTTTTTTTATCCACACAACTTTATTGGAACCTAACCTCCGCGGATAACGAGGGATTACTTTATTTTTATTTTTATTTTGAAAAAGTGAGAAAGTCGAACTTAAGTAGACTTGATGACAAATTCAAATCTACTTTCAGAATTCTTATAGCTTCAAATAGAAAATCACCGCTTTCAATCATCCTCTGAGTCCAACACATTTTATTTATTTCATAAATACCTATATTAACAAATTGTTATAAGCTTATTAATTCATTATACTTAGTATATTAGGTATATTTGATAGTTATTAAAATAAGTAACAATATTATAAATAAATAATTTGTTCTCATTTCAATGTAACAAATTTGTAATAGTTCAAATAACTTACAACTATTTACCTGGTTCGTTTTTAAAAAGAACTTTCCTGTCATTTAAAATAATTATTCATAAAGTTTTATTTTATTTTTGTTTAAAGTCTTGTATTTTTTATGTTCAATTACCGGTGTTTTAAAATGATATTAATACTAATCCACATTCCATTCACATATTGGCATTATGCCAATTCTTTAGTATTATTAAAACAGTAAAACAGACATTTTAATATTACCGACAATTTAAAAAAATGATTAATACAATATAATATATTACTTTATTAAATTTAATAAATATGAAAATGTTTTCTATTTCTCAACTATAAATTTTAATAATTACTAATTTTATGTGCCAAATGTTTGTTTTAGTTCTTTTTTTAGATATTCACAATTGCACTAGCCAATTTTTAAAATGGATAAAAGAATATTGAATGTTATTATATTAGGCTTAGGTTTTATGTTTGTGTTCACTTCCTATTTTACCGTGAGCAATATTGAGGTAAACTAATAAAATGTTCATACACATTATTTTAATTTAGATTTAACAATATGTAAACTAAGTTAAAAATTTACATTTGTAAAAAACAGACTACTCTTTGAAAAAAAAATCTTTTATTATTATTATAATTTTTACGGCGTATTGATTGATATATTACAAAAAAAATTACTTACCTACAATAAATGTTCTGACCTCTTCGATTTTTAAATTAAATTTTTTTACTAACTAAATGGCAACTTTTAATAGGATGTTATGATTTACAATTTTCTCTATTTTTTATAATTAAATATAAAAAGAGATTTCTTTATTAATCATTTTGGGATAGGTATATCATGTGCATTATTAAATATTTCGTGGCTATGAGTATAAATCTTAACCTTGCACTTTAGTGCAGAAGAATTGAAAAATCGAAGAATTGCAATTTAATATATAACATAATTACTACGCACCTTCACTATTGTGCTGGACAATTTTGGGCTTCACAATATTAAAGCATTATAGTTAAAAAAACAAAAAAACAAATAAATAATAATATTAACGTCTTTGCAGTTTGACATCTACTTATTTTATTTGTATTCCAAAACGAATGAATATTAACTAATATCATAGTTTACCTACTATAAAACCCTATAATAGTTATCCGATTATCGATATATACCTCTTTGTATATTAATATTAATTCCAGAAAACAGTGTTGAAAAGTATAGAAAATGAAGACTTTTTGTTTACCGGCGATGGATACACGAGTCAGTGTATCATTTACAGTGTATTCGCCGCGTGTAATTGGTTGGCGCCGGCAATCATAAACGTGATCGGAAGCCGGAAGTCTATATATTTGGGATCGTTATGTTACGTGTGCGTATGATTCATACTATAATGATATAATATGTAATAACTAATATCGCAAAAATAACATCAACATAACCACGGATCGATTCGTTGCAGGACGTTCATGGCACCGTTTTTGTGGCCGTCCAACTTTCTGCTATACGCCATGTCAGCGGTGCTTGGCTTTGGTGCGTCGATTATCTGGACCGGACAGGGCACTTACATAACACTGAACTCAGACGCGTTGACCATATCCAGAAACTCCGGAATATTCTGGGCCATGTCGAAAATAAGGTAGGTAAGTATCACTTTCAATCGTGTTTAATGAAACATACTCGTACAATATCATCATTTTCGGCGTTTTTATTCCTCTCTTTCCGTTCACATTCAAACCATCATTACACTAACTCAGTTAATATAACTCTATATTCTCTGTCATCTTGATTCGACTACCTATCGAAATTGAAAATATTAACCCATATTCTGTATACATTCTCATCCATCTGCTCACTGCTACACATATATTTTGTATCTATGTAATGGTATATTATTATACACGCAGCATATGTATCGGTAACTTGTTCATAATCTTGATGCTCGGGGACAAGACCGACATGGACAAATCTGTCAGAGATTTAATGTTTACTGTGTTGGCCGCGTTGTGCGCTTGCGGCACGTTGACGCTGGTCGCGTTGCGGCCGTCCGTGGACTCGGAAGACAGGAAAAACGAACTGAAACAGCGGACTGCGGTCGTGGACCCGGTACACGAGCTAAAAAAATCAATGAAACTCTTACTGACCAAAGACATGCTCTTGCTCAGCACATCGTTCTTGTTTGTCGGTAAAGTATTTATAAATAATAATAGGTACCTATCTCGTATACCTAGATTTTAGGTACCTATACTTATTATAGTATTTTGTGTTCTTTGTTCTCTCAGGTCTACACGTATCATTCTACAGTGGGGTCTACACTTCGTGTATAGCGTTCACTAGAGCGATGGGTATCAACACTAAACAATTGTTGGGTTACACGGGAATGCTGATCGGAATCGGCGAAATCTTGGGTTCGAAAAGTTTACCATATTGTTATAATATTTAATATATACATACATTAAAACACATTTTATTATTTAATAAATTTAGTAAATAATATATTATACATAAATATATATAAGCATACACATAGATATTTTATTGTCATTACAGTATTTTAAAAATATCTTCTTATATTTATATATTGTACTTAATACAAAGATATTTACCCCGGTATCCGATCATTTTGACGAAAAACGATTCGGCGAAATAATTTATTTATTTAAAGTAACTATAATACAAAAAATAGCTGATACTGGGGACCGGTATGCTACTGTTGTTGGTGGGAAGTTGGGAAGGTAGGATTATACATTTATTTCATTTTTATTTGTACGCGCATTGATAAACTATTGCTAATGAAGAACGATTTAGAGCGAAATTCGGTAAGACATATTTTAAAATGTAGTTTCTGAATAAAAGGTGGACAAATTCACAAATAAGTATAAAGATAAATTATCTGATGCAATGTTTCTATGAAAATTATTACGATAACATTCGTCCGAACCGATATTATTAAGATTAGATTGATTGTATTATTTTTGAAATATAAAATGTTAAAGACAGAAAGTTTGACTTGTAAGTATAGATATTGTCTGAATTTTGCTCCAAACAAATAAATTGTTTCACCGAAATATCCGTTCACCAAAAACGATTTGCTAAATGCCTTTTTCGAAGATGTTCCGGATCCATAATTACTTATTATAATAAGGTAATATTATTATATTTAATTTGCTATAGTTATTTTAGATTCTGAGTGGAGCTACCTAACCTAACCTAACCTGTATTAGTTTTACTATGATGGTTCTTTTTTTATACTGTGTATACAGAAATCCTACGAGAAATTTTGCTCCGGTATGTACGTGTGGCACCATTTCAAAAAGGAAATATTGTTTAGATGATACATTAAGAAGGTCATTATTGATTTTTCAATTGGTTTTCATAATGTCTAGAAAACCCTGGATAAAACGTAAGAAAAATGAGAAATTTACGAAAATAATGCTTTTTATTATTTTCAATCTTGTTATTTGTTATCATTTAGTTAAAAATATTCGTAGAGACTTGAAATTTGTACAGACAATTTATATTTGCCTTTTCAAGACAGTAATATTTCAAAATATGTAAGTCACTCTTAAGCTTGTTATACAAATTTAAATTTTTTGTTGAAATTTAGTTTAAAATATTCGTTTGGACTTAAAGGAATTGAAATTTGGACAAAAACTTATATTTGCCTTTTACAAACGTGGTCAAATTTTTATTTAACCATTTTTAAGCTATTTATAGACTTTTAAATTTTGCGAAATTTGTACGTAATTTTTATTCAGTAGATACTTTGTGGTAAAATAGTTATACTAAACAGAAATGCTTGAAAATTAAATAGCAGATCCATTAAAAATTACTACTATACTATAAAACATAAGTTTTTAATTTTTTTGAAATTAAAAAAGCTGTCCTAGGATAATGGGGACGGGTGCAGCCATATTGTTATAGGTGAGAAATTGGGAAGGTAGTGGAAGGGAAATTTAATGTATATCTATATGCAACAATTAACTATTTGTAACAAAAAAGGATTCTGAGGAGAGTTTAGATGATACATATTATGCAATGTATTATATTTTTTTTAATTGTATTTATTTTATCGGGTTTTCCTCATTTATTATGAAAACAACTGAGAAAATCAAAAAATTACCTCTTTAAAGTGTCTTCCTAGTCAGATTTCTTCTTAGCAAAAGTGCTATCATTTTAAATCGGAACGAAATTTCTGGTTGAAAAGTTGTTTACAAAAAAAAAAAAATCTTAATATTTTAATAATTAATTTCGTTAATTGTATATTGTTAATACGTATTAGGTAATTATCCGTCTCTATTATACAGTATACTCGTACACAGTATATGTCAATATGCATGTTTGAAACGACTATTTAATTTTTGAGATAATGTCCACGTTTTTCATTGTACATATTATAGGCGGTGTTTTATGCAGCGTGTTTGGTAAAACTTCTTCAAACACCAATGATAAAATCAAAGGATTAAGTCGTTCGACTATTATAATCATCAGCTGTTTAATCGATATCATAGCGTATTGTTTAATCTTCATAAATTTACCAAACGATTCTCCGTTTCGGGATACACAAGCTAAATCACTCATTAAACCTAAGTATGCATTCATTACAATAATCATAGTCATATTGATTAAGAAATTATAAACCAACAGAAAAATGCTAATTATTTTAATGTTGTAATTTGTAGTCAATACTTGGCCGCTTTTTGTGGTTTTCTATTAGGTTTGGGTGACAGTGGGTTTACCATACAAATATATAACTTGATCGGAGTTAAATATTCAAATGAATGTGCTTCTGCAACATCTTTATTCTTGTTTATACAGGTAAAATGCACAATGTACATCCATCATTAATATAAGTAAACTATAATATTTTTATTTTTTATTATCGTGTTTTCTAGGCTATCGGGGCAGCTACAAGTTTTTTTTATAGCAACCAGTTTGGAATATATGCACAACTCATTATATTGATAATCACAATAATTATGGGGACCTTTTCTTTTCTTAAAGTTGATAAATCTATTTCCGTTTAACACTTTTAAATGTCAACATATTTTTCTTTTTAAATTATTAAAAGTGGTTAGATTAATATTTTTGATTTTTTTTTCTTTTTTTTTCTAATGAAATTAGAATAAATAATAAATAATTTGTTTACATATTTTTATCTTTCCAAGTTTTTTAATAGCTATAAAGATATTGAAGAATATTTGAGGATTCATATTTTTTTACCAAATCATAATGACAAATTTAAAATTAACATTTTATTATACAATTCTTTATTAATTCGGTTCTGGTAAAAACCCATAATTATTTTGTCAGAATAGTATTTTAACCGAAAAAATATTTTATCCGAAAATGTTTCGTCACTATTATGAGCAGTATTTTAAATGGTTAGATACCTATCTAAAAAATAATCAGTCACGATGGCTAATTTTTGAGTCAAATTCTCAAATGCTTGAGTTTTGTGTCAATATGTCTATTTTGACGTTTATGTACATAGATAATATGCTTATATGGGGCTAGCCAGGACCTATTTTTATCGTGCTTTGTATAACACATTTTTTTCTTGGGAAAGCAGTTTTGTAGCTGTTTGTAACACCTACAGCAAATATAATACCCATCGTGCGAAGTATGTCCGTCTTTTTAAACTTCTACAAATCTTCCACTAATCTTTATAAATTAGTTAAGTGGTTGCTAATCAATAAAAAAATGGTTACCTGACAAATTATAATTTTTCATCTAGCCCAAAATACTGAAGGTTAGGTTACTACTTCTACTGGTCAGACCGAGGATTTAAATAGATTAAAACCTTTTCTACTCATTTAAAAAAATAGTAGTTTCGGATATTATCCGATACAAAAAATACCATTCACATTTGGATTTTATATAATTTTATAAATGGGTAAAATTTTACTAATTGCGTAATTATTATAAGACATTTTCTGGGAAGCGATTCTCTGGTATTTTATTATTATGGGGCGGTCATGCCACGGATTTGGCCACGCCACAGGGAGGAGTTTACAATGACGACTTCGTCGAAACCGCGATCTGTGTACCAGGATCCCATGACATGACACGACAACGGTGATACCAACAGTGTGCCCACTTAGATTGCGTTCAACGTAATGTTTTTTAAATGTACCTAATGAATACGGTTATTTTACTATTTTTCTTACGAACAGTGTTAACCACAAATGGGTAATTGTATACTTCCTTAAAAAGTAAATAGTAAATTCCCTAGAAGTGTTTATGATTTTATTACACATAGGAACATAAGTCATCTAAACGATGTCTTAATTAAATAAAAAGAGAAGAAGAACAGTATTAACTGAACCCATTATTTTTTAGTCTTCTTCTCCACCTCTTTTATCCTAAATTTATTTTACAATTCTAACTGCTTTAGATTCCTCTATCCTCGTGATATTTCCAAACCATATCAATCTATTTGGTATTTGTCTACAATTTAATTAATGAGTAATGACATAATTGTATAAAAGTTTATATACCAGTACATACATTAAATCAAAATAATACATTTTTTTTTTTATTTACTTGTTAAAATCTAAAGGCATTACCAAAAGTGACATCTCCACGTATGTACAATGATGAAAATATGACATTTAAATGATTAATGGTTGTTTTTGCTTTTTTTTCAACATATTTTAATAATATTTAAATGCGTACAAATCAGTGTGGTGGTTATCAAATTCAAATTTTACATTTTGGGCATGATATAGTATTAATGATATGGAATTATGATAGTTATTAGAAATTAATCTGTTTTAAATAATTAATGTCATATGAACAGGAAAACGAAACAATAATTCTTACTGCTTTTCTCTCTTGTGACATTCTCAAACCATCTCAGTCCATTTTCTTTCATTTTATTCACTATCAAAACCACACCTAAGCTACTTCTTATGAACCTACTCATTCTTTATCATATCTTCTCATAATTTCACTCATCCATCTAAGCATTTTTATCTGCTATACTTATTTTCTGTGTTATACTTCTGTCTACCACCCAACACATACGTCATACAACGTATAGTTGATCTCATAACATTTTTGTAAAACTTATTTTAAAACCTCATTTGAATTCTCTGGTCACATAAAACAACTGAGGTCCACTTTATCCAAAAATATGCACACTTAATATCACATCCTGTTCCTCCTAACTATTTACACTCTCTTATACTTCTACTTATCCTTAGTCCCTTTCCTTCAAGTGCTTGTCTGCATTCCTCGAGCCTATTGGTAACTTAATTTAAGTTTTCTCTTATTTAATTTTAAAATAATTATTTTAGAAATCTATTTAATAGACTACTTCATATACTAATTTGTTTTTTGGTAGAGACGTTATAACTGCAGGTGTGGCGTGTAAGTATTTTTTACAAGTGCAGCAAAAAATGTTTTCATAATTTTGAAGGGTAAAAAAATTCAAGTAAATAAACAATATGTTGACTTGTGTTTATTTCAAGTACTTTTTTTTCTAGTTGAAAGCAATGACTTTTTAGTAGTGATAGTTTAGCATTATCTAATACATTAACATATATTTCCTACTTTGTATCTATAATATCTAAAATATTATATGTAAAAAAAAACTTTTCAAGTTACAATATTTTTTTGATATAAAAATATAAAATATAGAGCACATAATATATACCTGTACCACTATTGTTTAATTTTTTTGTTTCAAACTTAGCAGCTTTCAATAGTAGCTTAAATACTTTTTCATTTTTAGCACGATTTAATATGCTGTTAAAAACTATTTAATGAATTTCGATTTTTACCACAACAACAAATATTTAATTTAGAATTTATTTTGCGTTTAACAGTCAAACGTCAAACTTATAATAATTATAATAAAAAGAGCAATACTGTATACGAATACACAGCACATCAACATCACATGCCACATATTATTTTTATCAAATACAAGTACTATATAGCCGTATATGGATACAAATGTACAATATAGGTAATGAAATAAAAACAGAAAATAAAATCATACACCGTATATTTCCTATTCAGTTTATTATCTACGTTATTTGTTATACTGCAATATAGGTACATAGCTACCAGGATCCCATAACATGGATCGGTGGCCGCGGCAGCGGTAATAGTGTCTGCTGCCCGTAAACAAAAAAAGAGAGCCGATACTGCTGTTGTAGATAGGAAATTTGGAAAGGATATTATTATATAATTTATATCTGTAAAAAACGGTAAAATATTTCTTATATTTTTAAACGAAAAATAATTCTGAGCGGAGTTTGTCTTTTCTACATGATGTGAAAATATACAAATATCGTAATATTTACGATTTTCATCAAAATTTGATGATTTTTGTTGTTTTAATATCTATTTTAAAATTATTATTAAAAAAAATCGTTGTCACAAATTTTCGCAGGCCCTAAAATGTCCCAAAAATGTTCGTAGACCCAAGACACAGTACCTATAGTGCTTATGCGCTAATACGGTACTAATTACAACAGTAAAAATAGACAACCTAGTCATATTACAGGAAACTTTTGTACCAGATGTGCTACAAATGATACGAAGAGCGACAATTCCTGGCTACACGTTAATTTTAGCTCCATACTACAGGGGCTACGGATCTGCTACTTATGTTAGAAACGATATAAACAACTGAAGTTATTTATTTTCAACATCGATAGATATTAGATAGTATACTGCATACGTTATAATAACTAAACGTATCGCCGAGATAACCATTACCCATACTTAACATATATAAACCTTCTAATGAAATGTTTATATATTATTTACGGCTGCGTTTAAATTTGTTCAAAATGTCCGGCTCGGGACTAAATAGTTAGTATTTATTGCTCGGCATTATAATATAATGTACCATGTGCCAATATAAAATATGGATGTTAGGCAAACATCAGAGATTCAGAGACGCGATACTATACTAATAATTGTATACAAGGCTGTATCTGAGTGGGGTTTTGAGGAGTTCACCCCCTCCCCCCTTGAAATTATTTTTAGGTTATGGCCTTGATTTTATATTTCAAATAGTATTCTCAAAAAGTATGATGCTATGATCTGGCCGTCTGCACGAATTGTCCAAATATTGGTCATTTGACCGTGGCCGCCACGTTGCGTTCACCGCTCGGTAGTCAAGGTTTACGCGGGGCGGTGTTCTTTTGACAGCCACGCCGCCGGGGTGGAGTCTACGGTGACGACGGCGCCAGAAACGCGACTAGAGTACCAGGAGCCCAGCAGTCAGACAGCTCGCTATCGTGCATTCTACTATTTGTGTATTATTTTATAATCACAACAAACACCCTCCGCGTTGTATGAAAAAAGGCTATGAAATAAAACGACATTCCTTTCCTTCTCATTACCTGCTAATTTGTATTATATTTTAACACTATAAAGTTGTTATAATATTGCGCTTATAATCGACCAAAAATATAAGGTACCTACATATCTACTCAACGCCAATATTATTTACACATTTCGAGAAAATGTGTACAGGTACTCGTATAAATAGATTTATGATTTATGACATGTGTTGATCAACACTTAACAGTTTGTAATTCTTAATAACCACCTTAATTTTAATTGTTTTTGTGTAATATATTTCTTCTAGAATATTAAGATTATTAAAAAGGAAATCACTGTTTATTATTGTCTATAGACTATTGTAGGCTATAAAAAAAAATCCTACATAAGGCTACACATTTTACCAAAATAATAAAAACAATTTTTTTTATAACAAATTTACAAACTATGTTCAGTGATGGGCAAGATACTCAATACTTTTTAGAAATGCACAGCGATAAAACTATATATTTGTTTCTGGTTTACGTGTTTAAGATACTGTATATGCTAAATAAAATTGTAAAAATATTTTATTCAGTATTTAAAATGATGATACATCTTTTGATATTTATGTATGTGTACAAATATAAGCACATTTTTTATTTTTAATGCTTTCAGTAATTGTTGTCATATTGAGATAAATATACATAGCTAGGTGGAGGCGACAAAAAATAAGTTCCTACCTATTTGTGTAAGATATATTTGGATATCCAGTTTGAAAGAAATTTTAGATATTATTATACTAGAATAGGTAGTTATATTTATGAATTATATTTAAATATTATTACTTCCAAGTTTTATTTGACTTAGGTGCATTACATCAATACTTAGCTACCTGATATTTAATATCTATTCCTGAAATGTAAAAAAAAATTAGTATTGAACATATAATATTTATATAGGTACACAATATCCATACAATTTATAACATATTTTTATATTCCTATTGGTTCCAAAAACTGGATTTAAATAAATGTATTATTTAAGTATAAAAATACTAACAAAAACATGTTACAGAATACTAATAAAATAACTCCTTTCCCCAGATGAAAACTCAAATCACTGCTAGTGATTTACTGGTTATTTTTTGGTTTAAACAAACTTATATTTTTTGTTTTTTTAGATTCTGAGTGAAGCAAGGAATGTATTGGTTTTAGAATAATGTTTATTTTTTTTTCTGTGGACAACTTTTCTACTAACAATTTTACTCCAATTTACAATGATAGCAATTTTTTTGAAAGGAAATAGTACTAGAGACGTATTTAAGGAGGTAATTTTTTGGTTTTTTCAATAAAGGTAAAAAATTGGGTAAAAACATAGGAAAAAAAGGAAAATAGGTACAATATTAAACAAAATGTTTAATGCATATGTAATTATTTTACCATTATATTATGTTTATATTTTTGACCAAGCAACACTATTAACTGAACTTCAATCAGAATCATTTTATCGTTAGCAATGGTTTATTGTTACATACACGTATGCATTAAATTCCCGTCTATATCCTATCTTTCCCACTTCATACCTACAACAGTGGCTGCACCCATTCCTATTATCTTAAGACAGATTTTTTTTACCTGTGAACAATTTTTCTACCAGGAATCTTGCTCAGATTTAAAAGTTTAGCACTTTTTCTGAAAAGAAATCTGACTAGGGTAGTACTTTAGGAAGGTAATTTTTTGATTTTCCAAAAAATGGGAGAAACCGGGAAAATAGGTACAATATTAAATACATATTATTAAAGAAAATATATAGTACATGTGTAACTATTTTACTATACTATTATATATATTGTTGACAAAGCAACTACATTAATTGAACTTCTCTTAAAATTGTTTTTATTAACAATGGAATAATCGTTGATTACTGATATACATTAAATTTCCCAACATCTCACCTTTAACAGTGGCTGTACTAATTCCCATTATCCATGGACAGTTTTTTTTGTTTGATTTCATATGGTACCTAATACTCATATAGTATAATACATATAGGGTATACATATGCTATAGGTAATTTGGAAAATGAAATATTTGAAGTATCTTAAGAATTAAAGTAGGTACTACTAGCAGGACTGTATGTACTATATTAATAAGCTATAACTTATGAGTCAGCACCAAAAAGGTTCAATCATGATTAAATATATCCCTATCCTTTTAAACTATAAAAACCTATAAAGCATATTATTGAACATTTCTCAATTTAAATCCAGTTTATGTAAAAATGAATTATACTGAATTGATACCATATTCAGATTAATCATATTTTAATCAAATAATCAATACAACTTGAATCCTAAAACATATTTCTAGAAATAATAATTGAAAAAAAAAAAAATACAAATACAAATCACTATCACATTATTTTAATAATTTACAATATAGAAACATAAATTATACATGTATATTTTATATAATTTAATATTTTCGTCTTCGTCTCCTTGATCTTTTGTTATTTGGTTGATTAGGATTTTCGGGCGGATCATCATCATTATCATCATCATTTTCATTTTTATTTTTATTCTGAAAAATATAAATTGTTGTACTTTATCATGAACAAATGTATTTTGATAAAGTAAGAATGTATTCTACAATACCTAATTAAATTAAAATATGTACTTACTATGTCCCATTCTTTTTGTAATTCATCTAACATATTAGGAGTCAATAATCCTTGGGCTAAGAGTCTTTCTGTTAATCGTCCTTTTCCAATACTATTTTTATTAAAATTTCTTTGAGATGATTCTAATTAAATAAAAACAATATAGGTCAGATTAACCGAATAAATTACATGTTCTCAATGGTATTCTTGCCTCTTAAATAATTATGTTTATGTCTTGCAACATTAAAATCTTCCTCAATTGAATCACTATTAGGATTAGTAGCTTCAGAGTTTCTTAATAACCTAGTAATTTGAACTACACCTTGTTCAATTATATCATCCAATTCTGCTTGCATATCTCTAACTAAATTTGCTTCAGAAAATAAATCAGAAAACCTATAACTGTAATATAAAAAAAATACATAATAATAATCAAACATTATCAAAAACAAATGACAATACAAACCTAAACCATAAGTACAAATCAAGAACATCAAACACTGATTCTAAATGTACTAAATCAATAATAGTTTTTGGAATAGTAAAAGGCCATCCAATATGTTTGCACAACCAATCGAAAGTGATAGATTCATTTTTACTATATTGTCTTGAATACTATTCAAAATAAAAAGTTGTTTTTAATAAAAAAGGTAATTTTAAATCATATTAAAAATATCTACCCATATCTCATTTTTATAGAGTAATATTTCTTTTAAACAAAAGAACATATAAACATATATAGCATAACTGTTATAATATAATAAGTCGAACTATACAAGTAAGACCAACTTTTCACAACCAAAAAAATAAAAAATCATCTTGTCTCTCATTGTCAATAAACATGTCAATTTATACATACTTTAAGAAACATGGTGCAGACAAATGGCATTTTTCTATTAATGGGTGCACAGCAGAAAACATATCTTGCTCTGAGTGGCAATGGAACATGTTGTATCATATCAGCAAGAAATTTAAAGTCTTCTATATTGCACATAAAGTATAATGAGTCATCAACTGTTGACAATGAAATAAAAATATCCTAAGACAAAATTAAAAATAATAAAAATAAGAATTTAACTAAATAAATAAAAACGTTTTTGTGTTACTAACTACAAGATTGGATAAGGTTGAATTTGGCAAATGGTATGCATATAATTCTATCTGATCAGCAGTTGGATGAAGTCCTGCTTTGAGTATAGGTTCTGGTTTATTTGATAATATATTTTTTAAAGTAGATAAATCTTGAGGTTTGAATGTTGTCACGCAACCCTTAAATAATTTATGTTCAAAATTAATAAATAAAAACACATTGGTATTGTATTACTTTTTCATATTGTGTTCCATAACGTCCTGCACGTCCTGCGATTTGAAGGGCTTGTGATACTGAAATAGTGTCCATTTCTTTCTCTCCCTTTTCATTTAATATTGGTTTTATTAATGAATAAAATATAACTCTTCTAATACTCCTAAAAATACATAACTTACAGGTTTACAGCAGCTAATGATTTTATTAACAATTATTTTATAACTTACAAGTTTAATCCCATTCCAATAGCATCAGTAGCAACAAGAACATTACAAGAATTTTTAGGGTCATTAAATTTTTGTGCCTGAGCCAATTTTGTGTTAGGTGGCAAGCCACCATATATAACTGCTACTTCGACACCTCTAGATTCAATTCCACGACTTACCTATATAGTATATATTGATTATTGTCTAATAAAAATAATAATTATACAGAAAAACTTCTATATAACAGTCACCGGAGTGACTGAAAATAATGATCACTATTTAAAGGTGTCTTATAAAGACATAACACTTGATAGGACCAAAAAAAAAATTACTGTTACAAAGAGGTGATTGTTAGCGAAGAATTTACTGTACAGTAAAATATTTGAAAATGACCAATTACCGTATACACATCATTTTTGCTGAAGCAAACAATACAATCACCTGGCATAATATTGTCCAAACTACAAACTGCTGAATCTTCAATGGTTAATTCAGTTAAACGTTTATATCTGTAAACCTAATAAAATATAACAAAATTTCAAAACTAGTAGTTATATACTTCAACATATAATGTATTATACCTGAACATCTTCACCAGTTGTTGTCATTAATCCTTTAACTAAATCAACTGCACCTTCTTCACCACATAAATGAATTTCATTAGCGACTATACCCAACAAAGCTCTTGTCCAAGCCCAACCACGGCTGGGATCCTTCATCATTTGTATTTCATCAATAACTGCAATATCATCTTGAGGGGAAAATTATTATTATTATTATTATTATTATACAATAATTTATTTTTCATATTAAAATGATAATTTTAATATTTATTTAATTCACATACATGGTGTGTTTACATTTGCCATTTCAACAGTACATGAAATATGTTTGGAAGGTTCATTTTTCTCATCAGCAAATTTTCTTTCTTCTCCAGTGACCAAATCACATGGAGTACCCTAGAATATATAAAATATTTTACCTAATGTGTTATAAAATAATATATTCTATATCTCAGAATATGACTTAATTTTTAAATATTAAATTAAAAAATAAATTATTAAAGACATACATATTTTTATAGGTTTTCAAATTAAGATTAAGACTGTCTTACTCTTTCATTAGATTTGCGATATACTTCAGTAGCTAAAAGTTTTAATGGGCCACAATAAACTCCAGAATTAGATGAAAGATATTTTTCTAAAGCATGATATGTTTTCCCACTATTAGTTGGACCTGCATGGAATATTATTTTTCGATTAATAGCTCTTGCCTCTGAATACCTATGAATATAAATAATATTTTAAACATTATAAACAAGTTAAATCTATGGCTACACTTAAAATATGTTACAAATACAATTAGTGAGAAATTTGGTTAAGGTCGTTCTTTTTTTTTCTATCATCCAGTCTTGTACTCAAACTTTTAAATTTGTCCCTTCCATCATTTCTAAAATTTTTCTTTTCTATCCATCACTCCATAGAGGAAGATCTAGTTATTTTTCTTATAGGTCACTATTGATTACTGATTAATTAGCTCATCAGTTAGGTTAGGTTGAATTATTTAAACTCAATTGTTTAAAGTTATTAATTTAATATATATTATATAATGCTACTGATCAAAACCAGATTTAAAAAAAATTAAATAAAAATAGTAATAAAATAAATTATCAACTAACCAATTAGCAGGAGATCGAAGATCACTAATTTTTTTCAAGTCATCCATACACTCAAGATGTGGAAACATTTGTTTTGCATGTCTTAAAAAATATGGAAGTATATCATCGACATGACCAGCTCCTTGTAAAATATCACTAATAACAACATGAAGATCAACAGGCAAAGTATTAGCTTCAAGACAAAAACGTCTAAAACTTATATATGCTTGATGCTGTAAGTAATCTAAAATATGTTAACTTTAATAGGCATTGAGTTTGATCTAATTAAAAAAAATATATCTTACTATCTAATCCATTTTCTAAAGCTAACTGTTTGATTTCAGGTTTTTGATAAAACCGATTTAATATTTTTAAAAGATCGCCTTTATTTAGTCTTCCAGTAAGCTCAGCACCAACATTTATATCATCTGGATTTGGTTTCACAGGTACAGGGATAAATAGAGTGGATAAATTATCATCTTTTTTAAATCTTTTCTGTACCAATACCGAGGTAAATTTTATTCTGCCATATCTATAATTCAACATTTTACACCCATAAAATAAATAAACAAAAAAATAAAAAAAAATATAAAATACAATTATTTTTGTTATCTAGAAACATGTAGTTGGTAATTTATTTTATACAATATTTTTAAATAATAATATTATAACCTGTAATACCTGTGATACTTTATTAATGTACTATAATGTCTGTGTTTATTGGCACATAAAATGGTAAAAATATTCATTATTAAAAATTTCACTATTATACCTAACCTTAGTTGAGTTCTAGATGAACAATTTTGAATGAAAAATTAATTTGAATTTGTAAATTTTGCATACCTAAAATATATAGATAGTATTAAAGTAATAAGTAGATAATATTTGAAAAGATGTGCCTTGTAGGTTCTATCACCGGATAATTCTCTATTAAACATTAGAATTTAAAAGAACCGTGCTCCATACTTCTACAATATCATACTATCAGGTTTATATTATTATAATTTATTACCATAACCGGATAATCATAGATAAGGTTAAGCTTATGAAGTAGTTACCATAACTGTGGTAAATTAACTATGATAGTTAGAAAGTTTATGGTTATCACAATTATTATCTATGCCTTCGCTGTAGAACAGTCTTTTAATACTGTGCTGTAGAATATGTGAAATTGATAAAAAAAATATGATTATAATGTTCAAATCCAATATTATCCTGTATCCAATATCCATCTCTATTGTGTGCAATGTGGATCAGTCATAATAGTCCAAAAGGGGCTTCATATTTCAATACAAAACATTTGTATGACAAAATAAACATGCATTTATATTAATTAAACATTTGAAGCATATTAATATGAATGTAATTTGTTGCATAAAATCATATTAGTATTTTCAATATGTTCATAGTATTCAAACATGTCTATTCCAGTAATTTTATATAATAAAACACAATGAATGGATTATTGATTTAGTTTTATTTTATTGTTTACATATATTATGAAGAAATAAGCTTATTCTGCTTACTAAAGTGAAGCAATGGACTTCTTTAATTTTTTGGCAGATTGTTTAAAACAAGTAAGTTTATTAATTTAGAACTTCATTGTCTAAGTAAACTTAATTATTATCCGATTATTGGTATAAGTTAAATAATTAATAAATATATTGTATAATCAAGGTACAGTTTAAATTTTTTGTAGTAGATTTCATACATTGTACAAATATATGCTTTTTTAAGTTCTTTTCTTATTTATTATTTTATAATACATAAAGAAAATTTAGTGCCAACTTTAAATACTATAAATAAATATAGGTATTGCCCAAATTTATTACTTGACTATGAATGAACTAAGAGACAAGAGTACAGCTTTAAATATTAAACTTTAGTTTAATAATATTACAATGACAACAGGATTATGTATAAATAAAATATCTACCTGTTACATAAATTGATATTTTAAAATGTATTAACAATAAACCTATTATAGAAGACTCAAGCATAAAATATTTAATAGATAAATGATATTTGTATATTACTTATAATTATATAAAGGTTTATTGGTTTATATACCTACCAGTGCATACATTAAATCAAAATAATACATTTTTTTATTTTTTATTTGTTAGTTAAAATCTGAAGATACATTACCAAGAGTGACATCTCCACGTATGTACAATGATGGAAATATAACATTTGAAGGATTAATGGTTGTTTTTGCTTCTTTTTCAACATATTTGCAATATTTAAATGTATACAAATCTGTGTGGTGGTTATCAAATTCAAATTATACATTATGGGTATGATATACTATTAATGACATGGAATTATGATTTTTATTAATTAATCTGTTTTAAATAATTAATGTCATATGAACAGGAAAACGAGACAATAATTCTTCTGTTTGAAAATGTTCGACCTTGTCCTAAACTTCCACTTGAACTGATCCTCATATTGTCCTCAGTTACACTCACTGTCCTCAAATCATTCTCAATCACATTTAACCACCTTCTTTTTGGTCTTCTCCACCCTCCCCTTCCTTCCTCCTATATCCATATTCATCACAATTCTTTCTGCTTCTGATTTCTCTTTCACGAAATTCAAACTATCTAGTCTATTTTCTCTCATTTTGTTCACTATCAAAACCACACCTAAGCTACCTCTTATGTACTCATTTCTATATTTTCTTCACTTCACTCATCCACCTAAGCATTCTCATCTGATACACTTATTCTCAGTTTTATATTTTTGTCTACCGCCTAACACTCTGAACCAACAGCATACCCAGTCTCACAACGCTTATAGAACTTACCTTTAAGTCTCATTAAAATCTTCTTGTCTCATAAAACATTTTGATATTACTCTCCACTTAATCACATCCTCATTAATGCCATTGTTATTTTTTAAAAAAGATCCTAGGTACTTTAAACTCTCAACCTTATTTATTACATCATCACCTATAGTTATTAGCTGTTACTTGTACAACAAATTTAAAATCATAGCAATTGATATAAATTGCTTATAATTTCAATGAATTACATATTAATTGCCTTGTAAATTGCTTACGACACTATACAATTATTTAAGCTCTTTTTAAATTCACCTTTAATTGTAGTTATTAATATTATCACAGGGTTATGTAAAACATGTCATAATCTGTAATATTTTCAGAAAGTACACTTGATCGATTGTGAAGTGATTATATTTATATTAGCTATGCATAGTCGAAGATTTGTGTATTGCTTATTAGCATGGGTTTTTCATATCTTATGCCCACAAAATTATTGGAAATTTATCAGACTGTTCATTAGGTAAGATTATCGGAGTTTTATAAATTGGTATATAAACTATTGTGGTTCATTTTTTAATGAATTTATTTATTTTTATTTTCAGATTGTTTGTTACAGTTTTACTATTTATGTTATTAAGTGCATTAACACTTGATCTCTGTTTAAAGTATGATTATATAGTAATAATGTATTTATTCATGCCGTAAGTTTAAATTTCAAATTTAAGTTGTAATTCAAAGTTTTTTGAAAAATATATTTGTATTTTAGGATTATTGGTTATTTATTCTATTATGGTTTTAATGCTTGTCCATTTTTTGATATGATGTGTATTAGTGAAAAGGAAATAATTATAAATGGAAAACCGTTAAGTATGATTTAGTTATTTATTTATTTTATTGCTTTAAATTAATAGTTTTAAACTTTATTAATTATTAATGGTTTGTTTTCTTTTATTAACAAACAACTAACACAATAATTTTTACTAGTTATTTGAAAATAACATTTTACATTTATTATAATTTCAACATTTTCAGTTCAATATACAAATATGCACATATGTACTTCAAATCCAAAAATTATTCGAACAGAAGTGGAAAATATGAGGGATGATTTTAACAATAGACTAACTCAAATAATATTTTCTTCTTTTTTCTCAGCATATTATGCATGTTTTTTACCACTAGTGTTTGTACAAGTATGTTATTACATATTAAATAATTATACATATTAACATAACACAAATAGTATAATGTAATTTTCTACTTTTTAAATATTAATAATCCGAATTATAAAACCGGTTTTATAATATTCATAAAACAGAATTTTGCCAATTCTGTGCTACTGTTTTTATACATAAATATTAAATAATCAAACATTTTAAAATCATTAAAACATAATGAGTTATATATATGGTTTGAACAAAAATTAGATGATAAGTGTATTTGAATATGAAATAAAATATCTAATTAAAATTGAAAAAATATAATAAAACTAAAGTAATTAATTTATTGAGTTCTTTTAATTTTAATACAAAATTATAAAATATTCACTTTATATTTGTTTTATTGGGAATCTCGAGGTTGATTTAATCTTTGGGTTCAGTAGTGGTTTTTATTTATTTATAGAACTGATAGAAACGTTTGTCTAAGGATGCCTGAGTGTTGGGCATTGAATAAAAGTGATGAAATATAAATGTAAGTGGCTGTAATGGGAATGATATAATTATGAATAATTATAAGAGATAGGTTAACCTAATCTAATTGAAAGAGAAGTAAAGGATATGAATATTTTGAGAGAAGGAGAAATAATAATATAGTTTGGAAGATATGAGAGTTAAGAAAAATGCAGATGAAGAGGTAGGCTCTAGACAAAATGGTTAAAGGTTATAAAGGGTATTAAGAGGGCATGTATAGTAGAAAAAGTAATGGCTATATATGTGAATATGTATTTTTGGTATTTTGTTGTGCAATTAATATATGAATATTATGGAATTGCTTAGCTTGTGATTTATATATAATATATTGCTGATTTTTTTTTTATTGCAAAAATGCATGCATATAACACCATTTATTGTATAAATTTCACAGCCTTGATAATACATTTTATTATAATGCAATCATGATCTGAAATATAGAATTATAAAAATTAATTTACATTATTTATGCTTAAATTGATTTGGGTCTTCGTAGTATTTGCCAAACTAAACAATTGTTAAATTAATGCCTTAATTGGACTAAAAGATTGAAATGTGTAAATAATTAAAATAAAAACTAATATATTATTGTCCAATTTTGTCTGATAAAAAAAAACTATTGTAATGTATTGTGTCTGTTTTGTATACATATATAAAATAATACATAGTGTTTAACATAACGTAAGATACCCATTATCTTGGAAATTTAACTTATTTTTATAATTTGATTTTTATAACATTCATAAATAAACATCTCTAAATTGTTGCATACTCATTATTTTTTGTAAAACTTATTTTAGGAGGTAAAACTACTACCCACTTTTGACTTTAAAACTGCAACCTATATTAAAAATTCCTTACATAGCTGAAGTTTTTGTTTAAATAAACTTTGATGTTAAAATTTTTAATTTCTGTTAATCCTGTTTATTATTAATTTATCCTTTTACTTTTATTTTTTATCCCGACATAAATCAGAGAAACTTCACTGTTCTGTTTGGGTAGGAAGAGTTTAGGAAGAGAATTTACTTCATTTATGTAGTAGTGTGGCGCCAGGCGTTTGAATAGTACTCCACTACTTTCCGCTTACCCACAAAACAGCAAACTTAAATGTGGAGTACCTTTTGCCTTTAACATTGACATTGATTTATTTAAACTAAAATTGTCTGGAATTTGTAATTTAGGTTACTATTTGTAAATTAAAAGTAGGTAGTGGTTTCACCATCATAAATAATAGTTATATTCTAAAACTACTTGTTTCTTAAATGTACTAAAACATAAAATTCTGTTAAAAGTTAATGAATGTCTTACGTTTTGTTGATTATTGTATATATTTTTTTCAAAATGTTTACATTTAAATATGCTGAATTTATTCATATTTTTGTGGAAATTGGTCATTTTTTAGCTGTGTATAATACTTCAGGCCTCCAAATTAAGCTAGAGCAATGTCATTTTGTATATGCATGACATTAGTATCAATAATACTTTAAGGGTTTCAAGTTTCAATTTCCACTATTTTACCATACTAAAATATACTATTGTATAAATATTGAATTTATTTTTTTAGACATATGTAATTTATGAAGAACATTGGGTGTTGATGCATTTTCTTTTTGTAATGATGACTATGGGAATGATGTTATGTATTCATTATTATCCAGTTAAGTAAGTAACTATTACTTATTTTAAATATTTGTGACAATTTTAAAAAAGTTATACTACTTACAAATTTAATAAAACAATTCAATTTAAATTAACAGTTAAGATTTTTCTAATTTTGAGTAAATTAATAAATTTTACAAATGATCTACAAATCTTATATTTAAATTTCAAGTCATAATTCATGAAATACATTTAAAGAGCCACGGAGAAGAATGATAATAGTCAATATTGCAGTTTTAAAGTTTCAGAACTATATTAAAACCTTATCAGATCATATATTTAAACCTTTTTTTTTTTATATCACAGTCTGTGATCTTTATGCCCCAATTTGATCACATACCAATTTGGCCAGAAACAAATGACAAAATGATAATATTTTAATTATTCTATTTATTATTATTATTTTTCTACTATTATCATTTTTCCCCATTGCCCTTCATTTGTTTTTATCAAACTTCAAAATTTAAATAATTTTAAAAAATTTATCTAAACCAAATATCAAATTGTAGTTACTACTTAAAATTGCATGAATAATGAAAATGTGTTGGTCATTAAAAATAAAAATATATGTTTTAATTAAAATTAATAATACATATATTGTATGTTAGACATTTATCATACATTACTTGATCATAATTCAGAATGCAGAGTAGTGATAAATGTGTAAGTTAATTTTGAATGCTATAATTATTGCATTTAAAAAAAAATATTCAGTATGGAAGCTAGAATTAAAATAAAAGTTTAAAAATTGTTTCTTTTATGTTTCAATTTTCAGAAAATCAAAAATAAATTATAAAAATATTATGAAACAAATTGTAAACAGAAAGTTAAAAAAATTGTTAAAATTATAACTTCCATACTTCGCTTAAAATCTAAAATTATATTTAACTCATCATTACTAATCTAATAAGTTTTTTGCTTTAATCAATACCTTACATAATATTTAGCTACACAATTTATGATTATTTTTATCTAGGTATTTTGATCATTTACATAAAACAGCTATGCACCTAGGTCGATGGAAAAGAGTAAAATTAGATCGTCCTCATTTGCCTATACATTTGTAAGTATCTATATTTAATATTCTTATTTCTCATAGTAATAATATTATCAAATTGCTTACAATTTATTTAAATGTTTAGGTGGTCAGAAGAAGTGGTGTGGCAACAGGGCTCATTAGTTAGGCATAATCAATGTTTATATAAAGCTGAAGGGATATCAAATGTAGCTGAACCTGGAAAAATTGCAGATAAAGTGTTTTATGTAAGTATATTAATTAGTGTTATTAAGTATCAGGTATACAAACTTTTTTGTATTAATTTAGTTTAGGCATTGATACGTTTTTAAATTTAATGATTGAAACTATTTTTATTTTTAGAGAATTTTTATCAATCCTTCAGAAACAATATTTTTGACATTAGCAACTATTCAAGTTTCATTTATGATTTTATTGATTATTGCACTGGTCACTAGTTTTCAATGGCATCAAATATTTTATCTTTCATTTGTTATGCTATTAAATTATGTTACATTATGTAAGACTTTATTCAATTATCGTATGACTGCTAAAATTTACAAAATGGTAAAAGAAAAACCTCAATAGTTTAAATTACGGTATAAACAAATTTTTGAATAGCCTGCAAATTATTTGAAAAAATAGATATTTATTTAATAATTGTGTGAAAATATTATGGATATATGTTGTATATCAAATAAACAATTGATCTTCATTTTTTTTTTTTTTTTTTTTTTTTTTTTTTTATCACTAATGTATACTATTTTAAAAATAAGACCCTTTGCTTGGCTCAATTTGTAAATATTTAGATTTAAAAATAGAAACATATTGTTTTAAGACTCAATAAATGGTGATAGAAAGTTCCTTCGATTGTTTCTATAAATTATTTGTATTATTTTCTCAAATCTAGTCAAACAGTATATTTGAGTAGAAAATACAAATAACTACATAATTGTAATATATAAGTTCATGAAAATTGTAATTTTTTTTCGTTTTTATGTGTGGATATTTTTGTACAATATACTGCTTTATCCAATATTTATTAATTTATCTATATTTGTATAATTGGTAAAATTCACTCATTTTTCACACTGTAATACAATTTTAAATTATTTAATATTAGATAAATATATATATAATATTTATTCATTTTTCATTTTTGTTTTTTTTTTTTATGTCGGTATTACTTTATTATCTACGATATTTTGTATGGTTATTCATGTTTTGCATCCTTTCGTAGTTTTAACGTTTGTGGGTCAATACCAAATTTACATATTCATATAAAATATAAATACTACAGACTGAAAGAAAGTATTTTATTACCCTAAGCCTTTTTTCATTCTCAAACAAATATTCTTGTTGAAAATGTTAAATAGGATTAATTTTACTAAAATACTTCTCATATTATTAGTTGTTCCTATGATGACCTAGAACATTAAAATTAATATTATTTTATTATTAAAAATTATAACAAACATTTTAGAAAAATAATTTATTTTATATGAATGGTATTTCTATCATTTAAGAAACAGCTAGATTATAAATATAAATATATATATTTTTTATCAAAATTCAAATATTTTTAATATATACACATATACATCACGCTGCAATATACAAAGTGATTTGTTATCATATACCAGCAATTTTCTTGGAGGATTAACTGCAAAAAGTATATACAAGGGTAATAAATTACATATATATTTTTTTAAATAATAAATTGATAACTTTTCTACTCCTTCAGTCTAAATTTAAACTGTTTTTGACTCATAAATGGTAAATCTGATAGTGGTATGCATATCAACATTTCTAAAAAAATATAATCTATCCAAATAGATGTTCAAAATAGGGGGTCCTATTTGAAAAATAAAAGTATATATTTGTTTAAGGCATATGGAGTAGGGGTAAAAATTAAATATAGTTTTAAAATAAAGCTTAAACAATTTCACAATGATTAAAAAACAAAAAAATTTAATGCACTAAAAACCCTCCGAGATGATTGCTGGTTCATGACAAAACCCACTCTGCATATAATATGTGTCTTAATATAAGTCAATATAATTCTTAAAATTCAATTCAAAATGAAAGAGGTGATATTGGTAACGGGTGTGCCACTCTAGTAGGTAGGAAGTAGGAAAGGCATGGTACATTAAGTTATTTAATTTATATTTGTAAGAAATAATAAACCATTTTTAACGAAAAACTATTTTTAGAAAATTTTGTTTACATATGTTTTAAAATACTGTAATATTAACGATTTATGTACAAATATGAAATATTTATAATATTCGTTACACATAAATTTATACACACAATCTCATTGTATCTGTTCAATGGTTTATACGTACGTTCGTTGTGTTCTTATCGCTTGTTTGTCGACCGTTTTAAAAATAGCACATCGTTTTTACGCTTTTCGTCTTTATTTTTACTATATCTAATTTTCAACTACGGATAAGCGATAATGCTGTTGTGTGATTAACTGCTGTCTTCATCATTTCGAAATCGGTTCGCCAAACGTCCGTCCTTCTCTACTGGAAGTTATTTGTTTATTGTGCTGGCGAATAACTAATTGCTTACTTACACTATTTAAGGGATCTTGTTACTAATTTATTATTTACCATGCTGTGTGTGCCATGACTACTGGTAATTCGGAATTATTTGTAAATTAGCTCGGTAAATGAACCAATCCTATGCTGATTGATTTTATTTTAAATACATCACTCCCTGTGAGCGTGAAAGTGAGCGATAGCTTATTGCTGCATCTCAATGGTAACTCCATAGAGTCTAGCCCATTGGACAACACAACCAACGTTGAATTTATATTACAGTCAGTCGTCTCTGAGATCAAAAATCTTTCTGATAATAATCGGTTAATGAATGTGAAACTAAATAGTATCGTGATCCCTAGTTCCACTGGTACTTTTCCACAAGCCGCTAACCCTATACCATCTACGTTCTTAGTGGTTTCAGCTACGAATAAAAGCGTAGTAATAACGACTGACCGTTCTAAATTAATTGTTGGATCTGGTAAAAATTCTTCTACTGGCTTAGCTGCTGCTCCTCAAAAATATTCAGACTTGTTCGTTTCGTGGTTTAACCCTCAAGTCGCCGCTGATTTGTTGAAATCTGGATTGCTTTCTAATTATGATGTTATTACAATGACACGGATGGTCACTAAACATCCTAAGTATGTATCGTTCCATATCCAGTTAAACTCCACGATCTACTTGAACCTACATTTTGGCCTGATGGAATTATCGTTAAGAGATTCTGGGGTCGTTTTTGTCCAGATATGATTTTTGATGGAAATTCAAAAAACTAATTAGCCATAATGCCCTGTCATCACTAGGCTTCTACCAAAACTGTAGGGGTCTCAGAACTTAACTATCATGTTTTAAATTTAATGTATCTTTGTTCAATTATATTTTTATCTGTTCATCCGAAACATGTTATCTGATGTTTCTTTGGATAACGAATTAGGTTTAACTAATTATGCTATATTTAGATGTGACCCTAATAACTACACTAGTATTTTTTCTAAAGGTGGTGGTGTTTTTATTACCATTCGCTATGATATTGTTTGTGAGTTATTACCTTTCTTAGTTAACAGTGTTGAACATTTAATTGTTAAATTTCTTGTTTATAATGTTACCTTTGTTATATGTTCTATTTATATTCCTCCTAATAGCCCTGTTCCTATTTACGAGTCTCTCATATCAGTTGTGTAATCTGTTATTTTTCCTACGCAGGCTGTGTGTTTATAATTTGTGGCGACTGTAATATCTCTGATATTTTTTAGTCTTATGACGACTATGGCCTCTACTACTCGTCTTCCGGCTCTAGAGTCCAATGCGTTTCCGATGTATTTGCTTCCAATAACTATTTTCAGCTAACTGAGATTCCCAATAACTTTGGTGGTCTTCTTGATCTCGTGTTATCTAATAACACCAACATTTTAGTAGAAAAATCGGAAGTTGTCTCTATTCCGTGTGATCCTTATAACTCTGAACTTTTAATTAAATTTTCTAAAAACTGTAATGTTTCCCCTCTTAATAACTCACAAATATTTTAACTTTCGTTGTGCATGCTATCCCAAAATACTTTCTTTTCTTACGTCCTTTAACTGGTTTAAAACCATTGAATCTCTTGAAGTCCAGGCAACCAACGTGTTGTATGATGCTGTGCATTTGTACGTATTGAATTTTGTTCCGGAGATTACTAATGGTCCTTCTAAATTCCCCCGTTGGTTTTCAAAGGACCTCAACTCTATTGTTTTTGCGAAAAAGCGGGCTCACACCATCTATTAGATATCTCATTGTCTTAGGGATTATGAGGTGTTCTCCAATCTCCATGCACGTTACAAATTTGAATACAAAATATATTACAAATTTTTTCTATCTCGAATTGAGCGTATGCTCAAAATGAATCCTCAATCTTTTTGGGATTTTGTCCGGGATTATAAATCAACGTATGTTATTCCTTATACACTTTGACGACAAAATTGGCACCGGTTCTGATTCAATTTCTAGCCTCTTCTCCTATTTTAACTCAGTTTACGTAACTCTATCGTCAGAAAATATTCCTAAGATTCCTTTTTCTCATTTTACTCTGCCATCCAATTGTTTATTCAGTATTAATGATGTTGAATTAGGTTTATTAAAAATTATAAAATCTGCTGGTCCTAATGGTTTGCCTGGAACATTCTTATATGCTATAAAATCTGCTCTCTGCTATCCTCTATGGCTGATATTTCGTCATTCCCTTGACTCAAGTACTTTTTCTTCTATGCTTAAGATTAGTTCTGTTACACCTGTTTTTAAGTCTAGAGATAAAACTAATGTAAAAAATTATAGGCGTATTTTGATACAAAATCATATTTAGAAACTTTTTGAGCTACTTGTTCTTAGGTGCATTCAGCCATGTCTTTTACTAGGAATAGAACTATTATCAATTGTACGTACCTGATTAACGGTTCTGTTATTGCTACTGTAATTAGTAAAAACGTGGGCATTCTTTTTTACAAAAAATCATGAATTTCACTCCCATATTGAAGAAGTTTGCTGTCATGCATAAAAGATTTTAGGCTTTGTTATTCACACGTCAATAGAATTCAACCTCTCTAGTTCTTTTAAAGCTGTGTATAGCTTTCTTGTATGATCTTTTTTGGAGTATTCTTCTATTCTCTGGGACCCATATACTGCAGTGGACTCTTCTCTTGTTGAGCAAGTCCAGAGATGTTTTTGTTTTTCTACTTCTTTCACTTTAGAAATCCTTCACCCACCTCATGACTATAGTCCAGTAATGAATAAACTTGGTCTTATGTCTTTAGCAGATAGAAGAGTTGAAGCAAATTTTGTATTTTTGCGTAAGTTGATTGATGGTTATCTGGATGCTCACTATAACCTTTCTTTAATAAGTTTCAGAGTTCCTAATCACTCAATTAGATGCCACTCTTTTGCTATTCTTTTTCACCACAACAACTATGGTAAAAATAAACCTATCCATCATATGATGCGTCTGGCTAATGAGCACCTAAGATTCTCTTAGTTTGACTTATTATATTAGTTTTTTTGGTTCATTACCGCCACCTTTTTATTATTATTTTGTTTGTTACTATTGATTATGTTAAATTATTATTATTTATATATATTGTTGTAACTTAATGTACTTTTATATTGTGTTACTTACTGTTCAATTGGGTAATTAGCCCATACAAAATATATAAATACAAATATATGAAACTTACTCAGAAACTAGATCTAAAATGCAACAAAAGGTTTCTTGTAATTTTTTGATCAAAGTTATATTTCTGATAGAAAACATACTGTATAAATTAAAAATGAAATTGGTAAAGTCACATGCTGTAATTATTTGTCCATTTTCCTCCCATTATTTTGAAAATCCATAATGCATGTCACTTTCTGATTGGAACAAGATTACTTTCCTCACAAATTAAATCTGACAAAAATATGTTTTACCAGTTATTTATTTATTTGATACTACAATTTTTCTTCATAATAACTTTGACACCCATTATCAACCCCTTAGGATTTGAATTTTCAAAAATTCTATCTTAATGATTGCTTAAATTGTAAAAGGAACTTTTATGCAAAATTAATCTCTGAACTAGATATCATCCTATAACTTATTTTATGATTAATTATTTAAATTATATTTTTTAAATAAATATTATTTATTACTATGATTGACATATTTTAATATTTTGTTTTAAAATTATTATTTTATCATTACTGTAATTAACTACATGTTTATGTTTCAGTTATTTATTTAAAAAATATTTTAATGATACCTTATATATATACCACATGTAGGAAAGCCTTGCAAAACTTCTTTATGCTATTTAGAAAATAATTAAATCCAAAATTTGAATTTTCTAGATTTAGTTTATTGAGAAGTGCATTGATATGGCAAACAGTCAGATAAATTATAATATATAAGTCAAAATTACTTTTAGATATTGAGTGTAGTGAAAAATATATTGGTTTTACTAAGATGTTTATTATTTTTTTATACCGTGTACAAAAATTCTACCTGAAATCTTGCTCCAATATATATGTGTGGAACCATTTCTGAAAGGGAATGTTGTCTAGATGGTACTATTGGGAGGTCATTTTTTGATTTTCCATGCTGTTTTCATAATAACTGGGAAAAACCAGGATAAAACATAAGAAAAACAGGAAATTTATGAAAGCAATGCTTTTATTATTCTTCAATTTTGTTATTTGATGTAATTCAGTTAAAGATATTCATAGAAAACTTATATTTGCATTTTCTAGACATGGTAAAATTATTAGACTAGACAGAAATGCTTGAAAATATAACAGGAAGTTCATTAAGACTAGTCTTATTTTGTGGTACAAAAAAAAATTAGTTTAATATAGTAATTTTTGTAATTTCAAATATTGACGAAAATCGTTTGAGTAAAAAATGATGCGGAACAAATCTAATTTTTCAATTTTTTAAAATCTAAGTGGAGCAAGGAATGTATTGGTTTTACAATGTTGTTTATTTATTTTTTTTTGCTGTTAACATCTTTTCTACTAGCAATTTTGCTCCAATTTACAATAATAACACTTATTCTAAAAAGAAATCTGACTGGGGTAATATTTTTAGGTCATTTTTCGATTTTTCCAAGCAAATGTGAAAAACTGGAAAAAAAACATGGGACAACTGGAAAAATTGGTACAATATTGAACAAATAATATTAACGAAAATAAATATTGCCTATATATTTATTTTGTGATAATATGACATATATACTTTTGACAAAGCATCACTATCAACTGAACTGCACTTAGAATCATTTTTCGTTAGCAATGGTTTATTGTTGCTTAAAGATATATATTAAATTACCTATAACAGTGGCTGCATTCGTCTTTATTAGCCTGGGACATACTTTTTTTTCTCTATGTGTAAACACAATACATATCAATAAAAGTGTTCCGATCTTTAAACACATACCACATAATTCTGAGAGAACACTATTTTTTTTTATGAGTGAAAGTCCAATTAAAGTATATATAAAAATAAATAGTACATTTCCTGGTATTTTAATAACTTTGTAAATATATAACATATATGATGAGAACAAATTTCTAATCAATTGGAGTAGGAGAAGGTGGTCTTAAGATTGGTCTGCCTCATACAGCGAGTGAGAGATTAATTGATTACCTTAATTAATTTTAAGTTTAAACATAGTATTAAACACCAATATGTATTATGATTAACTGTATACTGTCATATGTTTTCAGTTTCAATCATTTTATCTGGCTCCCCATTAAAGGATAGAAAACCCGATCAGATTTTTATCAAATTTTATCTGAATCGTTTATTGTATTGTATAAAGCGAGATAATAATATTGCTATATTGGTTTACATTATTAAATTACGACAAGTACCGGCATTTAATACATGTTATTTTGACAGTTGATATTTGTTCTTTTGTATAAACAATCAATATTTTAACCTGTCAATACTCATATTTTACGATAATTCAACTGTTACCATTTCATACCACATCCGACATCAATATCAAAAAACTATAAAAAAAAAAAAAAAAAAAAAAAAAAAAAAAAAAAAAAAAAAATAGATAAAAAATATCTATTATATGTAATTAAACTCTAGAAACCTTAATTCATTTTAGATAAATTATAAATAAAAACAATTTAAATATTGCAATGGTAATAAGTCAGCTGGGAGAAAGTTTTAATATAGTGATAGGGATTTACTGCTGTGTTTTTACTTATATATTCTATTTAAATACTAATGAAATTATTTATTACTATGGCAATAACTAAAATAAAACATACTTAACAAATGGTGAATTAATTAATCTTGATGTGGACTTTCTTTGGCTTTTAACTTTGTAACACCATCATACCTCCATGATGATGATTTATTGATATCCTAAGGCATTAACAAAAGAATATTATAATATATATATATATATATATTTTTTTTTTGTTAATTTACTTGTACAATAATGTTAGCTATAGAAAGATCAGCCCTTAAAATATCACAAAGTTGAAGTATATCTTTTTTACTTATTTCAGAATCGGATTGTAATGCCAATTTTCTAAGTTTTTCTCTAAAATTAACAGTGATGTCAACAATAAAATTATTTTCAGCATCAGACTTGACCTATAAATGTTGTTATTGACAATATTTTAATAAATTTTTGTAAAATAAATAGTATTAATGTTATTTAATATCACCTGGGAGCTATTTAAATCAATTCCAAAAGAATCCATAGTCTTAGATACTAAATTTAAAGCACGAATCACTTCCAGTTTTGAACAATTAAAACTGCATTCCTAAATTAAAAACTTTTTTTATACTTGTTTTAAAAATTAGAATAATGTAGTGAATCAAATATTACCGTAGTAAGTAATTTGTTAAATACATTAATTAATTCAATAAGTAAATTTACAACTTTTGATGTATTGAAATTATCCATTAAACTATTTCTTATATTATTTTCAATATCATCAATTTTCTGAAATATAAATTAAACTTAAATAATAAAAAGAAAATTATATATTTTGTTATAGTACAATATTTTCTTACTTCTAGTAAATTGCTATCAGGAATATAATTACTGTTGAATGTATTTAAATAAGTATAACAATTCATAATGAATGAATCAAATTTGTTTAATACACCACATGCTACATTCATTGTATTATCACTAAATTCCAAATCTAAAAATAATTTCAATCAACATATTGTACAAATAATATCATTGGGACATGCAGTATGTACTATAATATGTGTATAGTAGTGAATAAACTAATCACATTAATTTTAGATTGCTATTGTTAATTAAGGAGATTGGATACTGACTGAATCATGTATAAGCCATTTTTTGTTTTGTTTGAGTTAAACAGTGCCTTTGTCTAAGAAGTAAATGATTATAAATGTGTCTGTTATTTTGTAAACGTATACTCTCCAGCCAATCTTTTGAGTGTTAATAATTAATCTATTTTTTCAATAATTGCACCATACAAACTAATTCTAATTAATTTCTATTCTATTTGTTGGTATAGAATTTATTTATTAACAATTTACTGTTTTTTTTTTTATTTTTTTCAATAGTCACGATTGTAATACAAAGTATTTTGACTATTTGCACACATCACATAAAAACTACTGAGTAGATTTTATTTTGGTTTTTACTTTTTCAGTAATGGATTGAGCATTTTAGGTTAATTTTTATTCCAGAATAGAGTATTGATATTTTCCAGTTAAATAATAAAATAAAAGAGGCTGACATATTTCACACCATGGGAGAACCATTGTTAGGTGGGTAGTTAGTTCAGAAGGTAGGATACATAGGGTAACTTAGTTTATATATACTGATTGCAACGATAACCATTATTAACAAAAAAATTATTCTGCAGAAAGTTCAATAAACAATGTTCTACCTATACATACATTATGCTCATTTTTATTTTCCAATAAGTACATCTTATGAGGCTAAATTAAAAGGCCAACAATTTTTTACATTTTTATCTACACATAACCAAATAAAATCTTAAAAATTTAAAATAGCTCAAAAATTCAATAAAATTACGAAGTCTAAAAGACTTAGTATAAGTCTAAACTTTTTGAACTGAATTATGTACAATAAAAAAATTAAATCGAAAATAATAGAATCCGCGAATTATTGGAAAAATTGTCTTGTTATTCCATATTATTTATAAAATTGCAAGTAAAATCAAAAAAATGAATGCACTAACTAAAATTTGATATAAAAACTTTTTGTTGTTGTTTTGAAACAAGATTTCTGGTTGAAAACAATTTTTCACAGACAGAAAAAAACATCTGTGAGCAGCAGAGCTCTGTCACTAGAGAAAAATTTTCCTCCAATTAATCTATATTATAGAAATTTGCAAACAGATAAATAACCAAACACTATAATAATAAACTGAACAGTAGTTCAGTCTCACTTGGACAATGTTTTTTTTAATTTGGCGTACTAACAATATAACCTAAAATCATAGTCTATCTACTACTCAGAACAACTATTTTCTAAGATACTTATCATATATATTCCACATTCTGGGTACAATACTACTTGAGACCTCTTTAAAATAATATTTAATATCTTAAATTGTACACTTTTGTATGAATTTTTACATAATATTATAAATTGTCCTGAAATTCTTGAGCGTTTAAAATTTTAGAGTAAACCAATCTAATTCCAAAAAAAAATTTTTTATCTTTCCTCTACTTCTCCAAATTATACATTATATACTTTTGCAAATTTCCACTAACTATTTAGATTTATTTAATACTGCATTATTCAATTGGCCAAATATTTGATCTAATTAGGTAACTATTTTTTTAATTTTTTTATTCATATTACTCTCTCTCTTTCTATTACCTATGGTTATCACCCTATTGTTCTCTTAATTAATTATACTGTTCATATCACATATTATTACATATTTAAGTTTACATAAATATTTAAAAATTATATGTTATTTTTTTTTTGTTCTTTTCTTTAAATAAACTTATTATTAATACAAAATTACTTATTATTACATATTATAGGTATATACTACTGTCATTTATATTTCTATAAATATAGAATTATTATTATTATTATTATTATTGTTATAATACAATTATATTACTACCAAAAAATTTAATAAAATTTGTAATAAAATGTTTTTGCTTTACACAAAATTTAAAAAAAAAATTTATGACTTAAAATTCAAAATTTTAGTCACCTGTTTGTTTTAGACTTGATGCTAAATTCAAATCTATGTTTAGAATTCTTATCGCTTGATTAACTTATTAACTGATTGCACAATGATAGTATATTTATTCAAAAAAATCAGTCCGTATCTAATCACCTCAAGAAAATTGTTTTCAAATTAAATTCTAAATAAATTTTACTTTAGAAAATTATGAGATTTATAAAATAAAAACCACAACTAAACTAACATATTCATATTAAGTTAGTTTTACCCAATATATTTGATTTATTGCACTTATAAAAGAATTATGTATACTATATCATTTAATATTTACCGTTTTTGAAGTTTGATAATAAACATAAAGTTCGAAATTGATTGGCAGTATATAATTTAAGTAAGTCTTTAACACTAATAGTATTCTTTAATGATTTTGACATTTTAATACTATCTCCTATATGCAAATGACCTGAATAATAAAGTTATTTAACTTATATTATTTTATTAATAATTATAAATTCAAAATAAGGTGAATGACGAAACCAGTATAAATCCAATATTTGACCCAATCATCAACTTTATGATATGCACAGCATTGTGCTTCTTCATTTTCATGATGCGGAAAAAGTAAATCTATTCCTCCTGAATGAATATCAACACTGGATCCAAAATAATAACTATAAGAATAAATAAAACTTAAAATGTCTAAATCAATTTAAAATCTAAGTATGTGAGATTCAAATAGTATGCAAAAAAAAATTAGTAGTACCTAGCAATAGCAGAACATTCAATATGCCATCCTGGTCTTCCAGGGCCCCATGATGAATTCCATGAAGGTTCTCCTGCCTTTGCTGCTTTCCACAAAGCAAAATCTAAATTACTTCTTTTAAATGAATGTTTTACAACTTTAGGCACTTTGAATAACTTTCCATATCTTTTGTATTTTGTCGTATCAAAGAACAATGAACCTTTTTACATTTTCAACATAACTTATTTATATACCAATTATACCTACTATCTTGCATCAATTTTAACTAAATTAACTATATATATGTATATATGTTACAGCTAACCTTGAAAATGTGCTATTAGTTTTAATATGAGAATTGATTGGCCTTTTATTAAACTTAAAGAAAAGAATATTATCTGTGTTTGCACATGGGGTTACCAACTTTTCATTTACAAAATATCAGCTCCTTGTCTAAAAATAAAAGTCATCATTTTGTATGAAATTTTATTTCAGTATTTAAATAATTAAAAATTAAATATTAAGTTAAGGGTTATATTAAGATATGTTTTGAGGTATTTTATATAGCATTTATTACATTTTTTATTTTTAATTGTGTCAAAGAACTCTGTACATGTATATGATAAGTTATTTCTTAAAACTAATTCAGTTCTAACCAAATCAACTCCCAAACAAATCCTCTTAACCGTCCACAAACTATTCTTATAGTTGAAAACAAGTTCAATTAATGCATTGATATTTTTAATGATGCCGAAGATGATATATTTATATCAATCGCTTGTCAAAACTCTTGATCAGCTTGAAATAAAGGTCTTTTTAATAAACCAGTGAGAGATTCATAACGACAGGTTGGCAACCCAATTTGTGCATTGATTTTTCGGTATTTACATTTTTAACGAGATACAATAATTTTTAAAATTAAATAATAATTCACATAGGTACACGGATTAAAAATTAAAATGTAGAAAAAACAAATGTACACAGACAATATTCTTATCTATAAGTTTAGTACTAGGCCAATTTACTCTAACATTAAAAAAAACAGCACAAAATTAATTTCATAGAATGAAAATTTAACATCAGCCATATCATATATATGTTATGGTTAATGTTGTAAAATCAGTTAATGTCGTTATATTTATAATTTTTGGACATAAAAACTGATTTTGTATTGTTACTTTTAATACTAGAATGTATGAGCCTATTATCAAACTTAATGGTAAAAACATTGTCTTTTTTTTACGTTGGTTTTTTCTCGGTGTTTTAATTTTCAAGTGAGTTACAAGCATGTGAAATACTACAATTTAAAAATTAAAATATCCAGAAAAAACTTATGTTTAAACACAAACAACATGCTTACCCCATACTTAAGTTAGTTAATCAGCCAATACACTCTAATATTAAAATTAATAGCACAAAATAGGTTAGGTAATGGTGTTGTATAATGCTGTGTAATGTAACACCAATTATAACAACATTAACCGTAACAAATAGACACATATTAAAACCTTACCATCAGAAGAATATACTAAATCTTTTTCTTGAAGGTCTTGAATAAAGTTTAAAATTTGAGGAATAAAATCTGTTACTCTAGCCATAATATCTGGTTGTTTAATATTTAACAATTTTAGATCTTCAACAAATTCAATTTCATACTTCCTAAAAACATTCAGAATCTTAAAATTAGGTAACGAAATATCAAACATTTATAAAAAAAAAAATTAATGGTTCCAACTTTGCTATCTGAGATGGATTCTTATTGTAGGCATGTGCTTTTGAAATAATTTTATCATCCAAATCTGTAATATTCATTACTTGAAATACAGGTACATGGAAATAATTTTCCAAAATTCTTCTAATTATATCAAATTTTATAAAACAACTAAAACAATTTTTTTTTCTCATTATATATTGATAAGCATATAAAATGTATCAAAATAAAAACCAACCTCGCATGCCCTATGTGCATAGAGTCATATACTGTGGGACCACAGATATACCATGTCAATATTTTGTTATAATTTAATGGTTCTTTGATTTTATTTTTCCAATTGTAGACAAGTACATTTGATTTATTTGAACAAAAATAACGATTTGATAAAACATTAACGAGAACATTGAATTTACGCATGATTATAATAATTAGGTAAGAAGTATGAAGATTGGAGGAGCGAAAATAATTGTCACAATTTTGATTTCGGTCAGTTATATATAATTTTAAAATTTTGCCAAAAAATACTTATTACCATTGATTATGAAAATAAAGAAAAATCTCAATATATGATAAGAAGTTGTGATAAATATAAATCTTTATGGTGAGATATATGATATAGAGTTCAGAGGGTAGACTTAGGCTGGGGATATACTTCAGAGCAGTAAGCGGTAAAGCGATAAGCGATATCAATGCTCAACGGCAAAGTGACCATACTACATTATGTTTACTTTTCCGTGATAATTGAAATATTATATAATATATAAAACTACCTAGGTTAAACAGTCAAACTACAATTGTACAAAACACAAGGCCACATTAAATTAAATAAAAACTTTTTTTGTAATTATTGAATTGGATTGTGATCATAAACTATGCTGATAGGGTTTGCTGCTCAGCGATAATCGATAAAAATCAAAATGGTTTAACGCCCACTGTTCACAACTGCAGTATGACTACTTTTATACTGTATTGTATATTTGATTTTGTCAACAAACATGACGCTTATCACTTAGAATTATTTCCCCAGCTTTATAATAATTGTAAAAGATATACTAGAAATTCATTTGATTATAACATAAAATACTTTTAATATTTTATATTTGTAGGTATTGGCCTGTATTTTTTTTTTTCTATCAATCCGAAGATTGGTTTTTGACAAATTTTTATAATAAATGTCTTTTCCATTTTTTTCTGTCATACGCCATATTCTTGAGCTCCCTGTAGGAAGTGACTCCTGTATCTTGCATTACTTGGCTAATATATTTCGTACTGGATTTTCCTCTTCGTCTTGTTCCTTTTACTATTCCTTCAATTATTAAACTATACAATTCATCCCCATGCCTAAACGTGTATACTATCAACTGCCATCTCCTTATAGTGTCTATCAATGATCATTTTTCATCTATTATCCTCAAGACGTCTTCATTCTATCTTCTTTCAGTCCAGCATATTCTCTGCATTTTTCTCCAACACCACATCTCCAGACCTTCCAACACGTTCTCTTTTTTATTAATTGTCCACGACTCGCTTCCATACAATGTCACACTCCAGACCTATGTTTTTATAAGCCTTTTCATCGTTGCTTTGTTCTTTTTTTGACGTCAATATTTTTTTCTTTTTAAAAGGAATGCATTTTTTCGCTTGGCCCACCTTGCTTTTAATTCCCCATTGTTCGTTATAATACTGCCTAAGTATTTGAAATAGTCTAGTTGGACAATTTATTTGTTTTCTGGTGTTATATTTTTGGTCTTGGCTGCATTTTCTTATTATACTCTTGGAATGTGGTATTCATTACATTTAATGCTGCTTGCAAGTATTTCTCAGATATTGCGATTATGTGGCTTGTTATCAACAAACTATTGTTCCTGAAAATTCTTCATAGATTCGATTAGACTGATAAGAGTAAACTTTACTAACTATACATTTTTGAACACACCCTTCAGATTATTGTACGGATAATTAATCCAAAGACATATTAAAATGTTATTAATAATTTAATATTAATATGCCTACGCAATAATTAGGTAACATGCAGCTAAAATCACTAGTAATGAGGGAAAATTGAAGTTATTACATTTAAATGTGGTACATTGTGGTATGAAACATATTATCATTACCCACAATATCATTAAATTAATTTTGAAATTGCAGACTGCAGTTAATAGTTATGATTTTATCAAAAAAACAAGTTACTTGTTAGCAAGCTGTTTGTCGGGTAGGATACAGGAGTAAGATACAGAAGAAGGGAAAATACATTTAGGACACTGAGGGTATAAGGATACAGGAAAAGTTAGTTGAGGTACGAGAGCAAGTAAAAACATCTAGACAACAGTGAATGAAAATGATAAAGGTTTTATATTATATGCATATTGAATTAATTTTTAAAACAAACACCTTCCTTATGAGAATCACAAATAATAACAAAATATAAAACTATAATATTTATACAAATAAATTTAGGTTACTTTTAAAAATTTCAAAAAACATAAATATAAAAATATTTAATAGAAAATAAGTATAATAAATATAGATTTTAATCTTTAGAATTTAATTTTTTAATTTTCTTGCTTCATCTTTAACAATATATTTATCTAATTGCTTTTCTGCATTCGGATCAAACTGAGATAACTCCCTGAATTCTTTATCTCCAACAAAACAAATTTCATGACCATCCTGTAAACAAAATAGAATAATAGAATAACATGAATTAATTACTTTAAAAATTTTGTAAATTAATTTTTTTAAGCACCCACCTAGCTTTAGTCATCACATAAAGCATACATTGAAATTTAAATAAAGGTACTTTAATAGGTACTGAAATAATTAATACTTACAGAGTCAGCAAATATCACAACAGACACTGAGGCTTTCCCTGGTGTGTCTAAAGTTACGAAAGGAGTTAAAATTGTATAATGATTATCTTTTGCTTTTTTTTGGTAACTTTCTAAATCAGACGTAGGAACTGAAAACGCTATTCTTCCATATCCTGTTGCGTGATTAATTGGCTCTCCTACAATCATATTATCAAAATATTATTATTATAAAAATGTATCAATTTTAAAACTCGTTGTTCATAAAATAAGTATTTAAAAATGACCTACCGATATCTCTTAATTTAAGTTTGGCTTGATCATCATCAAATCCTAATTCTACCAAAGATTCTGTTTGATTAAAAATGTTCAAACCAAGTATGCCATTCCAAAATTTCACAGAATTTGTTAAATTTGTAGATGATAACATGACATTAACAATAGGATCTAAAATAATTTAATTTAACTTAATTATTTACAAACGATACAAATATTAATTTACATTGGCATATATAACTATACATATTATATAGTAGGACCTAGACTAAATTATTTAAAGATTGATGATAATTAATAATTACACATAAATTAATTTTAAAATTTAGTTTAAGGAGTTGAATTTCAAAATGTTCTAATTTTGTAAAATTAGAATATGTTTTTATATATAATGACCACTTTAATGGTAAGATTTCTTCTGTCCAATATTCACTAGGGGAAGAAGTTTGGTTATTTTTACGCACAAATATGACGTTTTATATTGAAAAGTTAGACAAAAACATAGGGTAGGGTTTGGTAAAATTTAATTTTAACTGATGAATAAGTTTACTAGGTTATGACGGTTATGACCAGTTGCAATATCAATGAACAAAAATATGGTGTTTTTTATTTATCTATCATAGCATATCTATATCATTTTCAGAACATTTAAAATCACATCCATCAAAACCTAGTAAACTTGTTTATCAATCAAAATTCTGTCTAAACCCAAACCCTTAAGTTTTATTAACATAACTTTTTTTTCCACGATTGCAATCTTTTTAACAAAAAGAACTAATTAAAAAAAGTAATATTTTATCTATTTGTTTTTTTTTTTTTTTATTTGTTAGTAAAATTATAACAAAATTAAACAAATAACTTCAAATTATACACAACATGTTAACATAGGTTATAGCATAATTTACCTATTTATATATATTTTTATACGATCTATGGTTAAAATTAGACCATATTATTATTATTATTATTTAAATTAATATATTTTGGGTTTATAAACATACCTTTATCAACAGGTTGAGGTTCATCAATCACATAAAACTTATATCCACCAGGTGCTACAACATATGAAGAAGTATCGTCTTCTACTTCAATGGGCCAACCAAAAGTTTTAGCATTTTCTAGTACTTTTGAAGATTTTAATGTAATGCCAAGAAAATCATTTCCAAGTTTATAATCATCAACACCATAATTGTAGGTTAGTTCTATCACAAAATGTGTATCTTCTGGTCCGTAACCCATCATAGTTTTACTCCAACGGTTATCGTATGGTCTATAACATAGATAATAATTAAATAGGTAGTAGGTATGCTATACTATATGTTTTACTCTATGAGGGTTTGTAAGTTAACCATACTTTATACTATTAACAGTTATAATATTATTATTATATTAATATATTTACCCATTACATGCAGCTTCACAACCTTCAGTGAACTCTTCGTGTCTCAAAATCTAAATAAATACAATATTTAGGTATATTTATTATGGAAAATGTATTTTTTAAATAAATGAAAATACTAAAAATAGTTATATAATATACACTATTATTACTTTCATTCCCAACAGTTCTCTGTAGAACTTGATAGTTTTTGTTCTCTCGGCTACTTTAAACACAAAATGTAATGCACGTCCTGTCATTTTCAAAATTAATTAATTTAATATAAGTAGGTATCTATTTTAAATATTAAATCAAGACTAGTTTTCTGGGTATTTCCTATGACACGTAAGAAGATGAAGTATTAAGTAAGACAACTGAACCACTATGAAACTATAAGATATCACTATATCAAAATAGTAATTGTAAATAGTTCTGATAGGTACAATCAATAAGCGGGGGTAATGGAGGGGTCAGTGGAGTGGAAACGAATGAATCAGGTGATAAACAGGTTTTCTTTGATTCAAATGAAATATTTAATGCGAAAAAATCACACACACATCATAGTTAAACCCTTGAAAAAATATTTAAACCAACCATTCCTCGATTAACTTAGAATGTATAACATGTAAAAGTAATATGCCAATCGCTATGCTCAAAATCTATCGATAACAATAATAATATATTGTATAATATGAATGAATACTTAGGATATAACCTATAAAAGCTCTGTAGGTATGATACATTGTCCGCAACGATGGATGAAAAGTCTAATACCTACCTACTTACTGAATTCCGTCCTGAAATTATAAAAATGGAATTTTATTCCAGGATTCAATCCTTAATAATAATTGGTACTTAATAATCAGTTATTACTGGTTATAATATAGGCTATATACAAATTTATTATAAATCATAATGTGCCTATGTACGTATCTATTTATTATTTTATAATGTTAAATTACTATTATTTCAAATTAAATTCTGATTTCTGACTTTTGAGTATAAATTTTTGATTAGTAAATATGCTTTAATTTTCCCTATCTACCAGTTTAAATGATTCGGTATGCTCAACATATCACACATTCACTTGATACGGTTGGGATTAAAAATTATCTTGTTAAATGTCTAAGGGTTAATTTTTTACACGCGTAAAAATACATTATCCACTTTCAGATTTTCGATTGGTAGAAGTTGTGGAGTTAAGCGGCAACTTGTAACATAATCTTTTCTTTACATTAAATTATAGTGCAATTTAC